TTTGTGGTACTGAGGTTTGAAGTCAGGGTCTACACTTGAGCCATTCCACCAAGCCCTTTTTTGTAATGCGTGTATCATATTTTGCATGTAACCATTAGTTCTTTTTCCTTCCTTCCTCCCCTCCATCTTCCCTCCCTCCTTCTGTTCCTTTCTCCTTCCTTTCCTTTCCTTCTCTCCCTCTCTTCCTTCCTTTGTCCCTTCCTCCTTCCTTCTTCCCTCCCCAGGGCCTTGCACATGCTAGGCAGACACTCCACCACTGAGCTACATCCCCATCCCTTCATTGCTCTGTACTGTTGCATTGCACGGCTTTACCACGCTTACTTCTGCTTTCTACTATTCTACTAGCGATGGATACCTGGGTCATTACGATTTTTGGTTATTATGAGTAAGGCTTACTGTCGGCATTCTTGCATGTCTTTTGGTAGACATTTGTACTCAAGGTGGTAAGTACAGGTGTACAAGGGGACGTGACAGGAAGAGTTGGCTTAATTGGGGGGGTCTGGGAAATTGTTGCATCACAATGCTTTCTAGGTAGTAATGGTTTCTGAATTTCAAATGTGGAGGCTGAAACTCATCTCTTGTATCTGTGACATCAGTGAGGACTCTTCCTGCCCTCTCTGTCAGCCCTGAAGCCGTTGTGGTCATCATTGTCATTTATAAACCTGGCTCACTTGTCAAGGAGTAACTTGTGACTACACCCACAAGACAAGTAGTATTCTGTAGGGGATATTTGTTATTCTTTTTTGGCTCTCAGCAACCAAATTCCTTCATATTTGTCCTCTGAGACAAGGTCTCACTATATAGCCCAGGCTGGCCTCTAACCTGTGATCCTCTTGTTTCAGCTCCCAAAGGCCAGCAGATTACAATATGATTGTAGGGTTGGCTTTTTTTCTTTTTTAAAATCTTATCTGTTCTCATTGCTCAGAGGAGTTAAGTGACTTGCCTGGGGCCACATAGTTTAGACCTAATTCTGATTCCTTGTGCTTTCATCATACAATATGAACTTTAAAACAATGATAATACAATAGATTACATTAAAATGAAGAAATAGAAAACATAAAAATTCTAATTTTAGAAAAATTACATGATGTAGCTTTAGTTGAGCTGAAAGCTCAGCTGGGGTACTGGGGATTGAACTCAGGACTTCCAGCTTGTGAGGCAAGAGCTCTACCACTTGAGCCATGCCCCCAGTTCCATGTTTAGTTTTATTGATTAAAATACAATGCACTATACAACCTCACTTTTATAAGTACTAAGACTCTTCATATGTTTATATAAATGTGTATATGAGCAGGGCCCCAGTGGCTCACACCTGTAATCCTAGCTATTCAGGAGGCAGAGATCAGGAGGATCGAGGTTCAAAGCCAGCCTGGGCAAATGGTTCATGAGACCCTATCTCGAAAAAAGCTCATCACAAAAAAAAGGACTGGAGTGGCTCAAGAAGTAGGCCCTGAATTCAAGCCCCAGTAACACAATAAAGAAAGAAAATACCGCCCCCCCCAACACACAAAAGTCTTGTGGAGTGGCTCAGGCTCTGTGTCATCCCAGTAACAAACACAAAACCAAAGATATGTTGAAATCCTAGAATCTAGTATCTTACTTTGTAATCTTGAGGGCAGATTATTAATCCAATATAACAGGTGTCTTTATAAAATGACCAAGAGACACAGGGAGGCTGTGGGGGGCTGGAGGACTGGAGAAAGATACCTACAAGAAACATGTGGACCGCTCCAGAAGTGGTAGGGTCCTGTCACAGGTCTTTCAGGGAGCACAGCCTCACCAACACCTTCACTGCTGCCCAGCCTGCAGAACCCTGAGACATAAATCCCTAGTGTTTTAAACCACTTGGTTTGTGGTAGTCTTTTAAGCAGCCTTAGGAAACTAATAAAATGGCTTTGACTTTGAATTACTGCAAATAACAGGAGAGGGGGAACTACTGAGTCACATGTACACGGTGGTCTTCAGCTGTCCAATGGCTTTCCTCCTTCCTTTCCTCCCTTTCTTTTCTTACTCCTTTTTTCTTTCCTCCCTCCCTTCCTCTTTTTCTTTTTTTCTCTTTCTTTCTTCCCCTCCCTCCCTTCCTTTTTCTTTCTTCCTTCTTTTTTACTTTGGGGGGGGTACTGGGGTTTGAACTCGTTGGTTCTTTTAACATCTTATTTTTTTTTAAAAAATTAAAATTATTGTTGCACTGGGGGTACTTGTGACATTCACAAAAGTTCTTATAACTGTAGTCCTAGCTATTCAGGCAGCAGAGATCAGGAGGATCGCAGTTCACAGACAGCCTGGGCAAATAGTTTGCAAGACCCTATCTCGAAAAACCCTTCACAAAAAAGGGCTGGTGGAGTGGCTCAAAGTGTAGGCCCTGAGTTCAAACCCCAATACTGAAATAAAAAAAAATATCTTACAATAGATCATAGTTGAATTCACCCTCTAAATTATTCTCCTTTGTCCCCCCTTCCCCCATTCCTGGAAGGTCTGTTTTTTATTTTCTTTCTTTGAATTTTATTTATTTCTATCTTATTATTGTTGTACCGGGGGTACATTGTAACATTTACAAAAGTTCTTATAATATATCATAATTGAATTCACCCCCTCCATCACTCTCCTTTCTCCCTCCTCCCCCCATTCCTGGAAGGTCTTGTTTCTTTGAACTGAAATCTTCATGCTTGCTGGGCAGCTGCTCAACTTCTTGAGCCACTTCTCCAGTCTTTCCAGCTTATTTTTGGACAAGGGAAAATGTTTTCAAAAACATGTTCAGTGAACACAGGATGCTGGAAAAACAAGCAAGCAAGAGCACACACAGAGCAATAGGCAATTGATACTTTAATATACTTCGGTACTGACAGAAAGTTTTTCAAAGATTAACATTTACAGTTGTAGTCAGATAAAGCTTCACAGAATTAAATTTCACTAACACTTAATTTTAATGCTACCCTTTATAGTCTACAAAAAGTTAGTATTTTATTGTTTTTTAAACATTGGTTCCCTTCTTAAAGTGAAATGCTAGCATATGTCCCATATATCTACAAAGAGTAGCACAGGTTTCAATGGCAAATAAAAACAAGAACTTTTTTTTTCTCTAATGCTGGGGATTGAACTCAAGGACCCAAGCTTGCTAGGCAAGGTCTATATACTACTTGAGCCATACTCCCAGTCCCTCTACCCCTTCTGGGATTATAGGCGTGAATCATCACACCCAGTTTGTTTTTGAGATAGGGTCTTGCTAACTTTTCCAGGCTGGCTTCAAGCTGTGATACTTCTATCTCCACCTCTAGAGTAGCTGGGATTACAGGCATGAGCCACCACGCCCAACCCTTAGTGACCAGTGCTTTCTCAGCCTCTGCTTTCTGATGCTTTTCTTTTGTTTCATCACTTTATTTAGAAAATACTTTGAACATTAATTGTTTAAATGGCTGCTACATTAGGCAGAAACTGTAATTCTACATCTGGGACATTCCCAGATAGGTCACTGCTGAGTAGGAGCAAAAAATGATGAGTTTTTGTTGTTTCTTTGGTGATGCTGGGGATGGAACCCAGGGCCTCACACACTTACTCACCCATGTAAGTGCTCTACTACTGAGCTAAATTCCCAGCCCCAACTGTTTTTTAATTTTAAAAAAAACTGCTTTTTGAGATGGGGTCTTGCTACATTGCCCAGGCTGGTCTTGAAATTAGGATTCAAGTCATCCTCCTGCCTCAACTTCCCAAGTAGCTGGAACTATAAGTGTGCACCCCAACATTCCATTTTGTTTTTTTTTTGCAGTGCTGGGGATCAAACCCAGGGCCTTGCACATGCTAGGCAAGTTCTCTACCACTGAGCTGCATCCCCAGCCCACTGATTTTCTTAAACAAAACAAAACAAAACAAAACTCTTAAACATTTTTTCCCATACTAATAAAAATAAAACATTATTCATGAATAAAAACTCAAAACCAAGATGTTTCTTAGAAAGATGAAGCATCCCAGTAAATCAGAGGAAGATTCCAAGAAAATTGAGTATCTGAGGCCTTAGGAAGGATGTCACAGTGGACAGAGGCAACACTCGCCTGTGTGCAGGACTGGCTGGGCTGTGAGGACATGGGATATGTACACAGTGACTCTCACTGAAGATGGGAGGCCTTGGGGGACCCCAGTGGGCCCTAGAACTGTAGGGGCACCTGCCTAAGGCTATGTGTGGAAAGAGTGAACAGCACAAAAAAGTTAGGAGATGTGTGGCCTTCTGGTTGGCTAGCTGGGCCTGCTCCTTGAGGACCTTTTCTTGAGACTTGTTCTGTGGAGTTCATCCATTTCCCAAACACATCTACAGAGGTCACAGACACTAATACAGTGCTTCCACCATGCCAGGCTGTGTTGGAAATGCTTGGCGAATGGAATGCATTTCGTCCTCTGACTGCCCAATGAGGTAGGAACTACTTGCAGTCTTATTTTACAGAAGAAACAGGCACAGGGTGGTTAAGCTAACTGCTCCAGATCATAAAGCTTGATAATGTCGAGCTGGGATTCAAGCCCCTTTCAATGGAAGAAATCCCTTAGGAAGAACCTTCTAAGAGAAATCTGTCCTGGAAAAATCCTAGGACCCCGCCTGAGTAAAGGACAAAGCAGCACCAGAAGGAATAGTCCACTTGCTTGTCATACCCTGAGCGTATGAGCTCTAAACTACAACACAGTTCAGGCTGGGGATGGAGCTTGGTGGGTTAGTGTTTACCTGGCATGCACGAGGTCCTGGGTTTGATTCCCAGTACCACAAAGAAAAAAAAGTGACAACACATTTTAACAAGACAAAGATGAAACAATGCACAGGGGAATACAGGATTTGTCCTGTTCTCAGTAAAGGGCCTTAGTGGATTTCACATTGTTTTGAAATGCTGGAGTGAAAGCCTACTGCTTAACGTTGCATACCAGGCAAACAAGCAGAAGCTGACTCAGGAAGCACTCGCTTCTCTACTGCAGAGACCAGTAAAAAAAGGCAGTAAATAAATAGTCAATTGATTATTAAAAAAAAAAAGTAGTTTCAGATGAGGCTACGAATAACCTTGCACGTCCCAGTTCATTATCTTATCATATTCCTGAATTCTTTGCTTTATGTGGGAAAGCTTGTTCTTGAGGTAATCGCAGCGTTCTTTCTTCTCCAGAAATGAAGGGTCCTGAAAAGAAGCACCGTTATTATTTCAGAGTAGGCTCCTCATCAATGAATGCAAACACACATCAGAATGCTCCACACGGCCAAATTACTGGGCGCAGATTTTAAAATCTGCCTAGTCAGAATAATGGTTTCAATGGGAAGTATGACGAGCAGAGACCTTAACAGTCTGAAGTACATTAAAAAGTAAGTGAGTATAGAAAGTAACAATGAAGGTCTTTCCAGTCTCTACTGACGAAGGGGAAAATAAGATGTAAAATAAGTTAGTCTTTTGGAAGGCGATGTGGAGAAAGAGCCACGTGTCAACACTCATTTCCCTTGGCCGTGGAACTGACAGAGCAAATTGTGCTCAGGATACAGATGACGAGAAAAGGCATCCAGCACCCTAACAAGACTACATCTTAAGAAATGTGAAAAGAAATACAGCAGACTTCCCTTGCTGGAGGACGCTAAGTTCTAAGATCCCCCCAGTGGATGGCTGAAACTGCAGAGTATGGAACCCAACCTAAACTATGGTTTACCCTACAAACACACCTATGATACAGTGTAATTTGCAAATTAGGCACAGTAGAGACTCACAGCAATAACTATTAATAAAACAGAATGATTATAACAATATACTGTAGTAAAATTGCTAGCAGCACTACTCTTGTGCTTGGGGCCATGATTAAATAAAATAAGCATTACTTAACCATAATCAGAAGCCTGTGCGATCTTGACAGTCGATCTGATAACTGAGAGGACTATGAAATGACTATAGGCAGCATAGACAGGGCGCTGGACAGAGGGGTGACTCACATTCCTAACAAGATGGAGCGAGACTAGGCAGGATTTTACCACATGGTTTAGAATGGTGCACAACTTAAAACTGTTTATTTCTAGAATTTTCTATTTTTGAACTATGATTGACCACAGGTAACTGAAACCTTGGACAGCAAACCCATGGATAAGGGAGGACTACTATACTTTAGCTAAAAGAATCTATTATCTGTCAATCATTACCAGTATATCTGTTTGAGAACACATTTTAAAGTAGAAAATTGTTTTACTTACATTTTTCTTTTTGTTAAACTCTTCATGGATTCTTGAGATTCTCTCATGTTCCTGGAAACAATATATTGTATATTTCTGTTAAAACAGTTGCATTTACTCAAATCATGTCTTGAGGCACATTGAAAATTAGAACAGAAAACATTTTTACCTAAAACTGTAATGAAAATATTCAGACAAAAATATAACTCCTTGGACATATGTTTGAGAGAGTACTATCTGCAAGGCCTTGGGGCCCAGGAGAGAACAAGAGAGAAAGGTCCTTGTCTGCATAAAACCAGACTTGAGTTGCAGTGTCATCACTCGCCAGTAGTGTGACCCTGGGAAAGCTATTTATCCTCAGTTTCCTGATTGGTAAGATGGAGAAATAACTGTCCCCACACTTAAATGGTGGTTGGGGGGGGGTTCACTTCAACCTCTTTGGAAAGCTCCTTTTCACATAATTAGGTATTGAGATTAAGAGGCTGATATTCAACTTCTGAAAATGGATAATACGAGGCTTCTAACTCTCATAGTAAATAAAAATTTGTTCAAGGGGTCAAATCTTTCTAAAAGGAACAGATTACTAGAGCAATGACCTCATTTATCCATGCAATCCTATGGCAGAGACTTCCAGATAATGCAATTCTGATAAATAAAAAATGAAGTGTAATAATTTACAGTTCCAGCAAGGTGCAATGGCTCACACCTATAATCCTAGGTACTCAGGAGGTAGAGATCAGGAGGATTGTGGTTTGAAGTCAGCCCGGGCAAAACAGTTTGGGAGATCTATCTCGAAAAAACCCATCACAAAAAAAGGGCTGGTGGAGTGGCTCAAGTGGTAGAGCGCCTGCCTAGTAAGTGTGAGGCCCAAAATTCAAACCCTAGTGCCACCAAAAACATAAATAAAATCTAAAAAAAAAAAAATCCCAAAAACCAGAAAAAAAACCACCAAACGATTTACAAGGACTGGAGGTGTGGCTCAAGCAGTACAGTGTCTGCTTAGGAAGCATGAAGCACTGAGTTCAAACCCTAGGCCCAAAGGGGGGAAAAAAAAAGAGGAAAACACCCCCAATTTATAGTTAGTTCTAAAGAGTTCCTGTGGGAACACTTTCTATCACTTACCCATGTCCTTTTCCCAATATATTTTATTTCTTCTCTCCCACTCTATTTGAAGTCACGAGCATTATTTGTGTTTAGTCGTATACCAGCAGGGGAATGAACCAGGTCCTGGGCCAGGAATCTGGGCTAGTGATGCTGGCTGCAGATGCAGGCAGAGATGAGAGCTGTGAAACCTACCCTGGTCTGTCACTGACCCTGAATTTAAGAGCTGGTGAGGCCCAGAGGGATGGCCGGGGCAATATTCCTGCTTGACCAGCTCAGAAAAGTCTCACGATTGTTTTATCTTTCGGGGGTGCACAAGCTCATGTGTGAGAGAACTGTGCCTATGGGGCTCTGAACTGCCTCCCAAGCTTCCTGAGGACCTGGTGGGAGAAGGAATGAGCTCTGCCAACCACTGCCCAGGGCAAAGCCCAGCCTGTGCCAATGAGAAGTTAACTTTGCTGATACAATTAGTATTTCTACTTTAGACGAGAGCTGGTGGAGACACTTAACAGTATCCGTGGGACATCATTTTGACTATTTGCTTGCTTTGCCACATTCAAAATCAAGGTGCAGGGTAGAGGTGCTGCGCGGAGACTGTGTGGGAAGAAAGTCTCTGAGCTCTGCTGTAACCAGGACCCTCTATCTGCCAACTGTAGACTCAAACTGGGGCCTTTGCCATTCATACAAAGCACACAAGCTGGAGACCACTGGGCCTGGGCTCAAAGACGGCCTGTCACAGGCAGGGTTCTCAGTATGATTTTCTTCAAACAGCCTATTTTTCCCAAATTTTGCTGACTCAGATTCCTGCGGTCTGCTTGTTCTTTCCTATACTCTGATTTTTAGATAGGGTATTACTATGTTTCGCAGGCTGACCTTGAACTCCTGGGCTCAGGTGATCCTCCTGCCTCAGCTTCCCGAGTAGCTAGGACTACAGGCACGTGCTACCACACTTGGCTCTTCCTGCACTCCTCTGTGGCCTCTAAACTTGGTCACCCTTCTTGTATCCGTAGAAACTGCCTATTTTCCAAATGCTACTAACTTTCCTCACTACCTTAATCCCAGTGATCACTCCGGCAGTCCTGCCAGCAGCTCACACCCATGTCTTGAGACTGCTCTCTCTCCCCCATCCCCTCTGCCCTCTGGGCCTCGGGCGGAATCCGTGGGAGCTGGCTTGGCAGGTTAATGGGCTTTCCCAATTGACCCTCCTCAAATTATTCTATTTTGAGTGTGTCATCTGTCTCCACTGGTACTCTGGCCAACTCAATATCTATCTTATGTAAATTTACATTTTACTTAAATAAGTCAATAAAATGCTGTTTAATAATTGAAAGCAAAGGGCTGGGAATGTAGCCCAGTGGCAGAATGCTTGCTTAGCATACTTGAGGCCCTCGGATTGATCCCCAAAGCAGAGGGAAAAAAAAAAAGACAAAAAGATTACCATTCAGATTATATAATTTAGTCTTTTTGACTTCTCTTTTTTGCAGTGCTGGGAGCAAGCCCAGGGCCTTTGTTGTGTGGTAGGTCAGCATTCTACCCAGCACACTCCAGTCTCAGTGGCAACTTGGCCCTAGAGCTCACATGCCTTCCTGGACCCACACAGTAGGTGCAAGCAGCGGCATCACCCACCTGGCGGCTCTCCGAGTGCTGTGGCAACCTGCTCATCACGGCGTCCAGCTCGCCCAGCTTGCGCAGCACGGCCTGCACCTCGGCAGACAGCTCCTTGTATTCGGAGAACTGGTCCTGGAACACAGCTTTGTAGCGTTCCCTCTCGTCATTTGTCTGGATCACGGGGTATTTTCTGAGGCAACACAGGGGCCACAGGTAGAACTTTTTTCCCGAAATCAGAGGAATGGGAAAATCAGCTCAGCTTATTCCTGACTGGCCATGTCAGACCTTCAAGTCAACGTTTTACCCTTGGACAATAAACAGCTGTTCACATAGATGCTACAGGCAAGGAAGCCAAGTGTTACCTTGGAGACAAACAGGCCTTACCTTCTACCTGAAGCAACCAGACAGATACTCACGCCACGTAGTCGGGCATCACGATGGGTTTGGGGATGTGACCAGCGGGGATGTGGCCACTCAGCAGTTCGGTTTTCATTTTTGTTGTTCTCAATTCTTGGAAATTAACTTCTGGGTCTCTCTGTCTGTCACTGGTGGCCACTTCGCACTGCAGGTAGGGAGAAAAAGAACTGATGTGTAAATAGGAACAGGAAAAAACAAAACAAAACAAAAATAAGTTATTCATAGTTTTGAGAAAATGGGGCAGGGGAAGGAAGAAGAAAAGTGGACCTAGACAGCCACAGGCGTGTTCTGAATGTTTTTGATAGCTACAGGAAACCACATTTGGATATGGGAGTACATAATAGGTAAAAAACAGCCTATGGCCAACTGTGTGTATGTCAAAAGTGGATGACAAGGGTGGGGATGTAGCTCAGGGGTGGAGGGCTTGCCTAGCATGTACAAGGCCCAGGTCATATCCTCAGCACAGGAGGCGGGGGGGTGGGGGAATAATAAAATGCCAAATGAGAGATCTTAAATACTTATTTACTTAGCTAGAAGAATAAAATATGTAGTTCAAAATAAGAAATTTTCTGGGAAAAATGAGACAAGGGCAAATGGAAAGAGAAAAAAATGCTGACAGTGGGAACTTGAGATGAAAGGTGAATCAATCCTAAGCAACCCTGTGAAGAAGGAAGGGAAGTGAGTTACACTGAGTTCCATTGTTCTCATTATCAAAAGGAAAAGCAAATCTGATTCACAGAGAAACCCTTTCTGATCCTCAGCCTTTTTAAACAAAGGCAGATTTCCACCACAGAAGACAGGGAGTGGTATCTTTACCTTGCCTGAGTGCTCTTAGCCTGTGATTCCCAAAAGGGGTTTTGGGAGTCCTGCATATAGGGGATGGTAGATTAAAGTCACCCTTTAGGGAAAAAATGCATTTAAAAAAGAGAAAGAGAGCACAGGGTGAAACAGCTCAGAGAAGCCTCAGGAACAGGTTTCTACCATGGCCAGCAGGGATGGAGGACTGAAAGACATAGTGGAATTCTCTCTAGAATGGGCAGGCCACAGGCACAGTGAGCTCTGGGGCTGGGAAAGGCTGCTCAGAGGCCCTACTGGACAGTGACCAGAATACCAACCAAAATGGGAGGCTGGGAGATACCAGGGGAGGCTTTTCCACTTTATATATACAGAGATGAGGTCTGGAGAGGCTAGGTAATTTCTCTAAGGTCAACGTTAAGTGGAAAAACCATGATTAATTAAGACCCAGAACTAGTTGGTTCACTGATACATTTGTTTGTTTTTGCCATGCTGGGGATGGACACAGGGCCTTGCACGTGGTAGGCAAGCGCTCTACCTCTGAGCTACCCCCAGCGGGGGTTCATGGATACTTTAAATGAACATGAGGAAGTCTGTTTACTTAAGTGCATACCATCCATATCCAAAAGGTCCCTGGAGTTCGAGAGCACACTGGAAGTGAGTGTGTGATGAAAAGGGTGGCAGTGCACATGGCTAGAGGAAAGGAAGGGCATGCCTGGAATTGGTTCTTCTTTGGGCCAGTGACCTGTCTGCCCTCTACTCGTGCCTTGAGCCTTCAAGAGCCAGCAAACACACGAAGCAGGATTTTGAAACCTTGCTCGCTCACAATCTCACCAAGGCACGATCTCTTTAAGGCCTGTTTTCCTGACTTCCCTACTCCGAGACAAGCTTTGAGGTTTGGTTTAACATTACATCATTCTCAAAACCACTACCTCTGTACTTACCACAGGCTCTGCACGGCCCCAGGGACTGAATTAGACATGGGAGTTAGGGAAAGGAGAAGCTCCACACCTGGAGCAGGTGGGAGGAAGCTGGAGGACCTCGGTTATGTCCAGAAAGCAGAGAGAGCAGGCGGAGTGAGGAAGGACTAAGCAAGGGTTTTGTAGGGAACACCCTTTGAGGTTCACATGCATTCAGAGGCATTCTGCTGGTGAGGAGGCTATCTCTTCACTCTACTGAACTGCTGCATGTTTAATCTTGAAAGTGAGGGGACTCTCATGGCTTAACTAAATAGATTTCCATTTCATGGTATCTCTCTTGACAATCAGGTAGGTTCTCATGCTTCCCGGCTGAGGAAGCCTCTACTCACTATCTTGATTTTCTAGCCCTAGGCACCAACTTCAGATTTCCTGGTCCAGAGCATAAATTCTGCCCAGGCAGCCTCATTGGGCAGGACAATCCACAATTAAATTTTTCCTAGGTAAATGTTTTTACTGGGCATGGTGGGGCACACCTGTGATCCCAGCACTCGGGAGGCAGAGGCAGGAGGATTGAGAGTTTGACATCTGCCTGGATTACATCTACAGACTGTCTCAAAGAAACAAATAAATAAAATAAAAATTTTTTGAGACACAGTCTTGCTATTTAGAACTCGGATCCTCTTGCCTGTCTCCTAAGTGCTGGAATTATAGGCATGTAACCACCATGTCCAGCTAGGTAAAACATTTTAAAGCAGGAACTATTCATTTTACTTCTCCATCCCTAACTCAGATTTATTTGTTAATATGAAGGGTTTTAAGAAATAAGAGTATCTCTATACAACTATCTCATCTACTTTAATTTCTCAAAAAGTTGATGGTCTTAACATTTTCTTCTGTTCTCTTTTGGATGAACCTCATTGATCCTAAATTTGGAAAACTCAAGTGGGAAGAAATAAAAAGCCAGACACAAGACCAAGAATTAAAACCTCTTCATGCTTTCATGGAAGGATGCATTAGGCTATAGCCCTGAGAGGGACCATGGTTAAACTGTGTGCCAGATTAAAACACACCCAAGGGAGCAGGGGGAAAGGGCTAGGGCTCCAGGTTTTACTCTGACCCTTCTTTGCTTCTAACCAAATTTAGTTTGTTAACAAGCATCAGAAAGGCTTCACTGTGATGCCAGAGAAAACAATTAAGCAACAAGTAATGCTATGGATATGACTATTACGCTTTTTAAATTAAAAATGAGCTGAGTGAATATCCCGTCAAGATATTAGAAATAGGGAGGGCTCTATGTGTACTTTGGTGTACTTTTGTCCAATTCGGATTCTCTCTCCCTTTGAGTGTACACTGTGATGCTCAGGCCTGACCCCAAACCCACGCCAGCACCCTCAAGGCCCAGATTAGATTTTGGCTTCTCTAGCTTGAGAAAAAAATCCACCGATTCAGCACAATTTGTAATAAGAAACTGTTGCTATCTCTATTTAATCTTATTTTATGCCTGTATATTATTTCATTTTAAAATGATTTTATTTGCTCTTTAAAAACTGAATTCATCGGGTGGCTTACTCTAGCTACTTGGGGGGTAGCCAATGTGAGGTTGTCCCCTTCCCCAAATGACAGAGTGCTTGCCTAATAAGCATAAGGTCCTGCACTCAAATCCCAAAACAACTGAATTCATCTTGCCTAGCATGTGGGAGTCCCTGAGTTCATCCCCAGCACTGTAAAAACAAAAACCACACCAAAATAGAACACAGAGTGCTTGCCTAACATACGTAAGGCCCTGGATTCGATTCCCAGCACCACAAACACATACAAAATGTATTCATTGCAATACAAAATAAGAAGGTTCAGCCTAGTACACTGTCCAAAGGACAGGAAATAGAAGTTGAGAGAAGATAAGTACTTCCTGTAGGATTACAGAGCTGGTGAGTATTCCCATTCACATCTGTGTGATTGCAAATTTCATTTCCCCTTCACACGGCATTGGCTTTCCCAGCTAGTTCTTATCTGCTATGAGCTAGGAAGGAAGCAGGTGAAAATCATACCCAGGAAAAGCTGGGTGTCCGACCTCCATCAGGCTTTCACTAGGAAGTCCAACAGAGATTCATCAGTAAGTTACGGGATTCCCCCTACCAAAGCCGGCCTCTGGAATACACCTAAATGTGTTGACCCATCAGGTCCAGCTGCAACAACAGTCCTGTAAGATGCTCTTGAGCTGGTGGAGTGGCTCAAGTGGTAGAGCGCCTGCCTAGCAAGCACGAGGCCCTGAGTTCAAAACCTAGTACTGCCAACAAAACAAAACAAAACAAAAGAAGATGGTCTTTGGGGCAGAGCTTATGTGGTGGAGTACATGCTTAGCACACCTGGGGGCCCTGGGTTCAACACAGACTTGAGTCCTCAAAGAGTTGGGAAAACTTGCTGGACTGATAGGACTTTCCGAGACGTCATAAGAATGGGCACTCAGATACCCACTGAGGTTATTCCCGACTATTCCAGGATCAGGAAGGCTGCCACACTCCGCCAGGCATGCTGGCACCAACCTCCCAAGGCAGCCTGAAAGGGGCACCTAGGACTCCAGCAGATTGTCCTTCTTGTCCCACCTACAACTTTCTCACCAAACAATGACCAGTGACCTTTGATTATCTGGGACAACTTCCTCCAACTTGTCCTGGCATTTTGCAGTCATTCAATTTTGCACTGAATCCCACTGGAACATCCCACTGCCTTAGAGGGACTGGCCAGGAAGCCCATAAATTCTATCCTGGGCAAGAATGACTACTACTGCCACATCCGTCCAGACTGGTGCACAGCAATGTACACCTTTTACCCACCCCCCAAAGCAAATCAACTCTGCTCTTCTGACCCCAAGGAAAGTTTGATTGATTGATTTTTATTTTAATGCCGTGGACTGAACCCAGGACTTTGCACATGCTAGGCAAGCACTTCTACCACTAAGCTATATTCCCACTGCCTGAAGATGTTGTGAACACACTTCCTAGTGTTAGCATTCTGTGACTAACTCTGATACTTGATTTTGACATCATCTGTTAACAAGGGTGTCAGCTTTTATGAAATGAATTTCATGTGGGAATGTGTGTGTGTGTGTGGTGTGTGTGTGTGTGTGTGTGTGTGTGTGTGAGTGATGCTGGGGATCAAGCCCAGGTCCTTATGCATGTTAGGCATGCTCTCTGCCACTAAGCCATAGTCATAGGCATTTATTTATTTACTCATCTATTTATTTATTTGATGGTGTTGGGGACACTGTATAAGCTCTACCACTGTGATATGCTTCCTCATCTGTATTTCTGTAATTTTGTTCCCTTTATCCATAATAGATAGTCTCTGTAATCTGATTTGCCTTCTAAAGCAAAATCCTTTTAAATTTGTTATCTTCCAGGCAGAGAGCACCAATTTAGGACTCTCACTGGTCTGGGATGTAGCAACAACAACGGTTCTTGGCCAAGGTAGAATTTGTGTTTCCTCACCAGTCCCTCAGAAGGTGTGGGATTTACCAATGGGTCACTTTTTTTTTTTTGAGACAAAGTTGTACTATGTACCCCAAGCTGTCCTTTAACTTGTGATCTTCCTGCCTCAGCCTCCTGAATGCTGTGATTTAGGGATGTCCCACAATGCTTGGGGCTACTGACAGTCTTGAGTGAGAATGCTGGAAATGATTCAAGCCACTCTCAGGAGGCTCCCAGTTGGGAAAACTGATCTGCCATTTGGTCAAACTCACTATGCCTCTGTCCTAACAATGAAAGGCAGACAGTAGGATCAATGAGAGAAGGTACATTTAAATCTTTTAATTATTTAAGCAATACCCTTATATTGGTTATCTTTAACTTTAATTTTTAAACAATACACATGCCATATTACTTCAAAAGGCCCAAGCTGGGTGTGGTGGCACACACCTATAATTCTAGCACTAAGGAGGCTGAAGCAGGAATATCAAGAGTTCAAGATCAGCCTAGCTTACACAGTGAGACCCTGAATAATAAAACAAAAACAAGGCAGGGGAGTGGCTCAAGCAGTAGAGTGCCTGCCTATCAAGTGCTAGGCTCTAAGTTCAAACCCTGCTGTGGCCAAAACAAAACTGTCCAAAAGTTAAGTCTCCCTGTCCCCACAGTTAGCCACTTGTCCTCCTGTAAGGGCACTATTATCAACCACTGTTACCAGTTTCAGGGTATCTAATACATATATTTGACAGCTTAAAAGTCTTTTCCTTATTTAATTTACACTGATTAGTACTACTGTCATTGAATAAGAACAAGTATAAATTGAAATGTACACACTGAGAGCAGTAATTACTGAATACATAACTGAGTATGAAACTACCTAAAACACATTAGGAGTCAGAAGTTCAAATGAATTATGACAAACACCAACCAAAACTCGCACTCACAAGACAGGATCACTGTATTCTATGCCCGACAGCTAAAGTGTGGGTTTGCAGCACTAGGTCCATGCTGCCTCAGAGAGACTAGTGCTTCAACATTCTGCAAACCAGCTCATGCCAGCCTCACCTGTCCAACCCTTCTCAGTCTAGACTGGTCAAATATCCCTTGATTTCTAAAGATTTATGAGTATCCAGAAAAATCTCAGCAAAGGTGTTAAGGCATTTCACTTATAGTTCAGGTAACTCAACATGTCAGAAATAATTTAATGTAATTGATCCCTTAAAAAAAGCACAATCAAGTTGGGTGCTGGTGGCCTAAGTCGTAATCCTAGCATCTTGGGATGGTGAGACTGTAGGATCGAAGTTTGAGGCCAGCTGGCAAATAGTTTGCAAGACCCAGTCTTCAAAATAACCAACACAAAATGGACTGGAGGTGTGGCACAAGTGGTAGGGTACCTGCTTTGCAAGCATGAGGCTCTTAGTTCAAACCCCAGTTCCACCAAAAAACAAACAAACAAACAAAAAAAAAACTATTTGGGTTCTCATTTTTCCGTGCACAGAGCTTCTGAGACCAAAAAATTTGAGGACAACTGACAAAGGTCAACCTTGAGTCCCTTCCAGATCTGAAATTATGTTTACAATTAATATCAGTGCCCCAAAACTATGAAAAACCTAAAATTGTTTTTTAAAAACAAAGGTATCCAAAGGTTGGATTCTCAAATTCTTGCTCAGAAATAATGCCCAATATTTTGAAAAAGAAATGCCCAGAACTGGATGCTGGTGGTTCATGCCTGTAATACTAGTTACCTGGGAGGCTGAGATTGGGAGGATGGGGGTTCCTGGTCAGCCAAGATAAAAACTTAGCAAGACACCCCATTTCACCCAATAGCTGAGTACAGTGGCAGGTACCTGTCATTCCGGTTACTTGGAAGGCTGAAATTGGGAGGATCATGGTTCAAAGCAAGCCCTGGCAAAAAAAAAAGGTTGAGACCCCATCTCAATGTAAAAAATCTGTGTATGGTAGCATATACCTGTCATCCCAGCAATGGTCGGAAGCATAAAATAGAACTGCAGTCCAAGCTGGTCTGGGTAAAAAGCAAGACACAGTCCCGAACATAACCAGAGGTGGGGAAAAAAAGCCCAATATTTTTCAATGGCAAATTTGTAATTATTAAAATGTATAAATAATTACATCCATGTAAATAATTATGATAAGTGCATCTCACTGAATTCTCCCAGCAGACTCGTGAGGTAGAATTACCATTCCTATTGGACAAATGAAGCAACAGAAGCTTGGAAAGGTTAAAGAACTGGCCTAACATGCCAGAGCTGGCAAAAAAAACTCCCATGCCACAGCAGGTGCTACCTGAATGCACGTGAGAAGGACAGGAAGGAACAGAACGAATTTTAGCGTAAAATTAAGAAAATGGGGGAGAGTCACTTTCATCTAAAAAAATTAAATTTTAAACATTTAAGGAAAACCAACTATGCTCACTGACATCAACCTTCATGTAACAAAATTAAGTGGAGCTCCAGGAAGGTATAATTGGGTCCTTTTAATATTGAAAAAACCTGAAGGTCCTCATATAACTGAGCATAACAGCTACACGTTCATAAATGGGTGCTTCTCTGTAGATAAATAGACATGAGAGAAAAGTATCTGAGCGGATCTAGAGAAAAGTGGAACGTGAAGTCAGCTTTATTCTTACCATTTTCCTTTTGGATGGCAATGATGATTCATTTATCTGGAAGAAAAAAAGAGTTCAAATGATTCTTCAAAGATGTGAAACTACTTTCCAAGTCTTTTCATCCATCTGAATTTATAGCAGACTGTGGAGAGCAAAGGGGGATGGAGGATGGAGGAAGGGTGGGTGTCACTATCTGGATTTTATACTTTAGAATGTAAAATTCTTCATTTTTACATAGAGATGCAAATTTAAGAAATATGCTTAAAAGTACTTAGATAAATTTTAAGGAATAACTTGAATCTATATAGAATTCTAGAAAGTAAGTGTGTGTGTGTGTACTTTTTACAAATTACTGTTGTACTGGGGGACATTGTGATATTTAAAAAGTTCTCACAGCTGGGCACCAGTGGCTCACGCCTGTAATCCTAGCTACTCAGGAGTCAGAGATCAAAAGAATCCTGTTTGAAGCCAGCCCAGCAAATAATTTGACAGACCCTATCTTTAAAAAACCCTATTACAAAGAAATTGGGCTGGTATAGTGGCTGAAGGTGTAGGTCCTGAATTCAAGCTCCAGTACCACAAGTAAATAAAGAAATAAATAATTCTTACAATATTTCATAGTTGAATTCACCCCCACCATCATTCTCCTTTATCTTCCCTTACCTCCATTCCTGAAATAGTTTCAACAGGTCTTATTTTTCCATTTTCATACATGAGTACAGAATATTTCCACAACATTCACCCTCCTACACCCTCCCTTATCTCCTTCCCCCTCCCACTGGTGCCAAACCCCAGACAAGACCTGGTTTATCTTCATGTTCTTCGTTTTTGAAAAAAGACATTTTTGTTTGTTTAAGATAGCTATTAGGGAGTTTCCTTGTAACATTTTCATGTATATATGTATTTTAACCTGGATTGGTCCATCTCCTCTATTTTTCTTCTTTCTACCTTAGTCCCCTTCTTATGGTGATTTCAACAGGTTTAAAAATTCTATATCCATTCTTGTATAGAGAGTACATCAACCATATTCACCTTGTTAACTTCCTTCTGATAAAATATATTTTATCAATAGAGTGAGTCACATTGAAACATGTTGAGGTTTTCCATGTAACATGCGGGGTACTTGTTATAAAACAATTTGCCAATGTTATGCAACAGTTTCATGAAAAATAATTAGGACAGGATTTAATGTTTTTAACTACGTGCAATCATATCTCTAGGAGGTCTTGGGAAAAGTAGGAAAGGAAAAATTCATGCCACAGTTACTTTAAAATTAAGAAAAAATTTAAGGCAAATACTGAAATTTTCAGTTGCACAGGAGATTCTGCTGCTTTAGAAGAAAGCAAAACATCAGTCCTTTGTCTGATGTATAGTTGGCAAATATTTTCTCCCACTCTGTGGGTGTTCTCTTCAGTTTAGAGACCATTTCTTTTGATGAACAGAAGCTTTTTAGTTTTATGAGGTCCCATTTATCTATGCTATCTCTTAGTTGCCGCTCTCAAAACTAATGAACCAATAAAGAAATGGGCAAGTGAACTAAACAGAACTTTCTCAAAAGAAGAAATTCAAATGGCCAGAAAACACATGAAAAAATGCTCACCATCTCTAGCAATAAAGGAAATGCAAATTAAAACCACGCTGGGTGGGTGGCACACACCTGTTATCCCAGTACTTGGGAAGCTGAGGCAGGACGGTACCAAGTCTGTCACACACACACACACACACACACACACACACACACACACACGTACAAAATATCTTATTTCAGGGTATTCTGAACCTGGGAGAACACACCCTAACATTTTTGTTACTGTTCAACTAAAATAGTTTTAAATAAGAATTTCCCATAATTTTAACCTCCAGGCATTATTATTTTATATCCTTATTATTCTCATTACCATCCTATTTAGTTAGTTAAATGCAAGAAATAAAAACATACACCTCCCCAAAATAAGAATGAGCTATCAAGAGCAACAGGCAAGTTTTCAGAATATGTTCATTATAACTCAACCTCTTAATGTTAAAAAAGAAAGTTAAACGTGGTTCACCATATTCTTTTTGGAGGGAAGGGCTCATGGCATTGGAACTCAGGGCCTCTCCCTTGCTAGGCAGGTGCTCTCGGACTTGAGCCACGCCCCAGCCCTTTTTTGCTTTAGCTCTGTTTCAGATAGGGTCTTGTGCTTTTTGCCCAGGCATGGCCTCAGATCTCAATCTTCCTCCCTACACTCTGGAGGAGCTGGGATTACTCTGTGCACCATCATACTCATCCCTGCCACATCCTTTTGTTGTTTGTTTTGTTTCTTTGAGGCAGGGTCTTACAGTGTGGCTCAGGCTGGCCTTGAACTCAATCCTCCCTCAGCTTCTCAAACGTTGGGATTAGAGAAGCATACTAACACACCAGATTACCATATTTTTATTGGCATCATTTAATCCACTAGAAGAAAGTAAATTATAATACACAAATGGATACTTTCCCCTTGTGTCTTTATTAAGTTTTACCACAGTAAAGAATCAAATTGTGCTCAAGTTGACATTAACGGAGATGTTGATTTTCCTGAGTATGTTACTCTGTTTTACTGAAATTCAGTGGCTGCGTTTTTCTCGTTAGCATCACAGAGCCATAAAAATGCAGTCAGCAGCTATCTATACACATCTGGTGTCTACTTGCAACAGCAAAGGGAACACCAGACTGGGTTATCTCCGTCACAGCAAGGAGGACTTTGGAACATTAGCTCATTTAAGTATATATGGCAAGACTTCCATAATAGCTTTCTGTTCTGAGGACTATATATTTTTCACAAGTTTGCAAGTAACAAGAAAATACGAGGGCTTGGCGGAGGGGTAGCTCAGGTGGTAGAGCACCTGCCTAGCAAGAGGGAGGCCCTGAATTCAAACCCCAGCACAACCCACCCCGGAGTGAAGTCACTCACCTCCTGCTGCTCCATATATTCCCTGTGCCTGCGAGCTGCCTCGTGTCTCCACAGCTTGAGGCACACCAGGGCGCTGATGAGATAGAGGATCATGGTGACGAACAGGAAGATCATGGCCGCTATCTGTCCTCCTTCTACCCGGCAGAACACTGCATTCATGGGCGTGTTAAATAGAGGATAGTAGCACAGCCCACCTCGGTTGGTGTCGTTCACATAGACTATGGCTGCGGCCATGTACAAGATGAACAAGGCGACGTTAATTCCAAACTCAGTAAGGGGCCACCAATTCGAGTCCAGAAGAATGGTCCGGTAGTACATGGACATGCCAAGGACCAGAAGGATGATGGTGACCACCCACGCTAACCCCGCCACCACGAGCACAAAGGGGGTCTTGGGGCCGCTGTAGTAGTAGCCCCCGTAGGTGCTGCCCAGGCTGCCCACGCCCGCCACGCCGTAGGGCTGGGAGTAGCCGAACAGGTTGTACCACTCGCTGTCCTTGTGGATGTAGGCGGTGACACAGGCGAAGACCCCCGCGCCCAGCAGCAGCTGCGCCACGCCCAGGATGCGCAGCAGGCCGGCCCAGGACTTCATGTAGGCGTAGCGCAGCTGGTACTCCTCCACCTTCTCACTGTAGGTGCGCGCCGTGGGGGACCACGACGGGTCGCGCTCGAGATCGTGGCCCGGGGGCGACATCCCGCTCAACGTGTCTTCCCACTCTCCCGAGGGCTCTGTGCCCGCGCGGGGCGAATGGCGCCTCGTTCTTCCTGGGGAGGCGGGAGGGGAACACTCCACGCCATCCGAGATGTATCTGATGTCCGACTTATCCCACTCGGGGTCCTTTTTCTTCCCTCGGAAGAAGTTCTTCCAGGAGTCGGGGACAAAGCGCCTGACAGGTTTGAGATCCGGTGCGATGGCTGGTTCCTCTGTGTCACCTGAGGAGAAGTCTGGGCCGAAGGGAGGCTGTAATGGGAGAGGGGGAGGTGGCAAGGGATCTGCGCTCACAGCCAGCTCACTGTCGTGAAGAGTCTGGAGGGTTCTTAGGGTGCCATCTTGATAGGGCGAGTCCCTCGGGACCTCACTGTAGCCCCCGTCCCGAGTCCTGGATCTTTCACCATTTGATGACATTTGTGATTTTCACACCTGTGGCCAAGATTAAAGTCATCACTCCTGTTTAGTTATGGATCCTTCAGTGGTGCTGATTTTATTCACTTAGTTACAAAGAGTATCCAGGAGACCGACCTGATCATGTCTAATTATTACCATATACAAAATTGAGAAAATGCATACATTTTAAACACATGTAACAATTAGATTACCCAAGTATATAGTTAGTATTCTATGCCATTTTAAGTGTAATACAATTTTAAATCTGTTTTGAATTTCCCATAATGAAACATTTAGAAGACTAATTTATGAAACCTATAACAAGAAAATGTAAAAACCAAAAATTGAGCAACACAGAAGGCTAACATATGCGAGAGTCCTTTCCTCAAACATCTAAGTGTAAATATTTAAGCGTCTGAGCACACCAAAACTGACTGGGTCAGCAAATACTCTACATTCTCATTAACTCACATGTGCTCTAGGATGGGTCAGGAGAAGCAGTTTCTCCAAACACAGAAAGTGAGAGCTTCCCTTCCCAAATCAAGGAAGTCAGTTTAGAGAACTTCCCTCTAAAACATTTAACACTTGACAGTACATGCTAAAAACTGAATTCTCAGAGGTAAGAATCAGCAGACTGAGGCGCCCCAGAGGACAAAACAGCAGCAGCAATGATCATGAATGCTATTCTTTCCAGAGCAATTATCTAAAAGCCATTTGGTACCACCATGGACAAACTAAGTATCTTAGAAGGACTCCAATCCACCTCAAAAAATACAGTGTGGAAAAGGTACTGTTACTAAGCCTGTGGATTTCGTCCATGAAATCAGTGACCTGCACACATACATAATAAGGAAATAATTTCCTAACGTGCTACTACATTTAAGAAACATTGAAGGGAGGGGGTGGGGGCAGGGGGGAGAAATGAACCAAGCCTTGTATGCACATATGAATAATAAAAGAAAAAAAAAAAAGAAACATTGAATTTCTCCCTCCAATTGCCTATAACATTTATTGAAGACTTACTAGACACATGGTATTGTACTTGACACTGTAACAAAATTCAAATGGGTAGTTCTATCTTTAAGGTATTGAACAATCTGGAAACTCCTAAAGCTTTGTTAAATTTTACTTTATAAAATGGAGACCTATAGCTGGACGTGGTGGTTCACACACCTGTAATCCCAGCTACTTGGGAGGCAGAGGCAGGAGGACTGAGAGTGAGACCAGCCGCCACAAAATTAGCAAACTTTAACTTAAAAGCAAAATACAAGCTGGTTGCAGTGACTCAAACAGATAATCCTAGCTACTAGGGAAGTAAAGATCAAGACCTCATCTCAACCAATAAAATATCTGGGAGTAGTGGCACATACCTATCATCCAACTAATGTGGGAAGTGTGAATAGAAGGTTTGTGGTCCACACCAGCCCAGGCATAAAAGCAAGACCCCTATTGGAAAAAGAACTAAAGCAAAAAGGGCTGAGGGTGTGGCTCAAGTGGTAGAGCACCTGCCAGCAAGCACAAGGTTCGAGTTCAACCCCCAGTAACACACAGACACACACAAAGGCATGCTGAAGTTGCATCTATGAACAAAGCTGCCTGTCTTCATGGAGTTTAAATTCTACTGGGGTGGTGACAAGTGATAGTAAAGTGACATATGTATTACGTGAAGGGACAAAGTTTAAAAAGGTGGTTGAGGAGTGCATTGCAGGCTCAGTCTAATTCTAATTCTAATTCTAATTCTAATCTTAAGTGGAGTGGCCACAGAGGTCTTCACAGAGAAGGTGGCACAGAACCAAAGAAGAGGAGAAACCCAGGCAGGTGTCAGGGAGGAGCCAGTGCTCCAGGCAAAGTGACACAGCCACTGCAAAGTCGCCAAAGCTCTGTGACAGGAGTGCCTAGCATGTTGAAGAAACACCAATGCATGGCAGCCAGTGTGGCAGTGGAATGAGGCATGTGGAAGAACCACGGCTATCTGAAATCCACTGAAAGGGACTATGGCTTTTACTTCCAGCGAGTGAGAGACAAGTGACAATGATCTGTCCTGTTTTAACAAGATCACTTTGGATGCAGTGTTGAGAACATGCTCCAGAAGACAGCGCTAAAACATGGAAACATGAGCCAGTGAAATAATCCATTGGCTCATGGTGGTGCCAGGGAGACAGTGAGGAGTTAAATTCTAGAGAGAGGAAATTGAAAAGTTCAAACACAATAAAAAGAGGAGAACCTCTGAGCACCCATCCAGCAGCTTCAACAATTAATCGTCCATGGCCAATCTTACTTCTCTATATGCGCCCATCCTAGTCCCTCTGCCAGTAGGTTACTTTGAAGTGCACCCCAGACATCTGATCATTTAACTGTCAATTTTTCACTTCTCCATCCTTGGGGAAGAGCAGGTTGAACAGTTTCAGATGCCTGTTAGGAGATGTCACAGAGGCAGCACACCTACAGAGGTATGTACAGCCACCAACCCATGCAGTCCTCTGAAGGGTGAGGTGGACGGGGAAGAAGTCCAGGAAGGAGTTTCAGGGTCTCCTAATCCTCCAGTCGGGGAGGATTAACGGTGATAGCCCCAGCATGGTGCTGGTGCCAAGGAAAGCACAGCTCTCTAAATGACAGCAGTTATTTTTGTCCCTTTGCCTGAAAAGGTCTACATACAAGAAATGTATGGAACTGATATATTTTTTGAAATACATTCCTAAGAAATGTGCACTCAAAAGCACAATAACTTTAGCAAGTCTTACGCAATATACTTATGATATATATGCAATCACAGGATACGCCATTGCTTAATTCAACTCCCTTGTAAAACTTTGATTCACAGCAATGGATTCACCTGTGTAAAGCGGCTTTTTTGAATCAGACCACTTTATCGTTCACATAAAAAACACAAGATGTAAGTGTTTAGATTGTGGAAGAGCAAAAAATGCGATCTTAAAGAGAAGCCAGGAGTATTTTATCACGTCTGGACACTCCGACATTTTTCGGGCGTTCGCGCGGCCCGGCCGGCCGAGGCTGAGCGCGCCTTTGTCTGGCTGGAAGCCGGGACCCGGCTCCATTCCTGGAAGGATCTCAGGGGCCGCGGCGGTGGCGGGAGAAATGGTTTCTTGGGCGAAGTGTCGCAGGAAGCTACCCGGCTACCTGTGCGCACGCGAGGTCACCTGTGTGGCGAGTAGTTTTCCTGGAACCCAGGGGCCTGTGCAGCAGGGGACCCCCTCTTCCTCCCCCGGACAGGTACCGAGCATCCCGGCGCGAGTGCCCCGGCCCGGTCCCCGCGCGTCCCTCCCCAAAGCGGCCAGAACTCAGTCGGCCGGCGTCCCGCCCCGTCCCGGGTCCGCACGGCAGGACGGCCGCAGGGAGGGGCGGCGCGGTGCGCGCCGGAAGGCGGCGGCGGGGACACCTGCGACCGCTCACCGAGCCCGTCCACCGCCCCGCCGAGCCCCGCACCTGCCCCCGCCCCGCAGCCGCCGCGCTCACCTGCGCCGCCGCCGCCGCCGGGAGGAGGACGCGCTCGCCGCCGCCGGGGTACCGAAACCCGCTCGGGCGCGCGGGCGGGCGGGGCCGGAGGGCGGGCTGTGCGGGCTTCGCCCCGCCCGGCTCCGTCAGCAGCTCCCACCCGGCCAAGCTTGGCCAGGAAGGCAGTTCCGGCACGGTGGCACCGTCCCCTTCCGTCCCCACCTTTGGAGACGTTTGCCCTGAGGAAGGGACGAGGCACCGGGCCTAACACATGGCACGCAGTGCAGGTTAGGCAGTGTCGAAAAATAGGAGAAGCAAGATGAAAGCCAACACTTTAATTTTGACATAAATTATGTAAATACTTTACAAAAAGTATCTAAAATATTCTGCTGTACAACATATAAAACGGTATCTGAGAAGCTGGCGATAAACTGAAAATAAGGCACAAAGTTTTATTTACACTCATAATTGCATCCTATACTATTTTATAAATATTTACAACATTCCACAAAATTCTTGTATTCTGGATTATTCGTTCACATTTTCTGATATTTGGCATAATATTCATACTTCATACACACTGACCTCCTCTTCTCCCTAAACCATTCGCAAATCTAAATAAATACTACAGAAAAATGTTCAGAGTACTTGAAGGCTTGATTTTCCATTTACTTCAAGATGACATAGTTGCTTGTGATGAAATACTACAAGAATAAAGAACTAAACTGTCACTCACCAGAAAAGTATATTAGCTCTGTTCAAGTACCCCTAAGTAACACTAAAATCAATCTGTCCAATAGCAATCTGGTTGGCAGGTGGGTTTCTATGTGCCATCACTGTCATAGTCCTCTATTATCATGTCTTCTTCTTCCATGTCCACTTTTGAGGACAGGGGCTGAGGCTGGCTGGCAGGCAGGTCACTCCCACTATTCTGACTCAAAGGAAGAGACCAGGCTTCAGGCTCAGCAGGAGCCGCTTCCCTGTGAGTCTCCTCTGCAGGCCTGGCTTCATCTCCGCTGTCAGGGTCCATCACTCCATGCTCCCTGTCAGTCAGCGCTTCCATTTTCAATCTGTGGGATCCACAGGGCAGACATTAATAAAAAAGGTGGTATTCCTTTAAATTGTACCATGAATGTGGTGATTATGAAGCTACCTCCTCTAGTCTTCATTTGCCTTCACTGAGCTAGTCCTTTTAAACTATATGTAAATAAACAAGGTGAGGACCAACTGTGAGTAAATTCTTACAACTCTGCAATACAAAAAAGGGTTAATTAATGTCTTCAGTAAAAAGTTCTTAGGAGAAAGAAAAAAAAATGTAACAGAAAAATGGGCACAAAAACAGAGAACTTACAAAAGAAATACAAATGTTCCTGAACAAATTGTTCAATCAAATTTGTAACTTTGAAAATAGGAAGTAAAATAAACTCCTATTGTTATCTTCTAAACTGGTGAACTTTTAAGTGATAAAAATCCAGTTGGTGGCAAGGGTTAGAAGAAAAAACATACTGATACAGTGTAAGTGGGTATAAAATTGGCAAAGTATTCTTGCAAGCAATCTGGCAATACGAAGAAAAGCCCTCAAAAAGGAATATACTTATTGATGCAGCACTTTCATCTTTTTGTCCTTTTTAATTATTAGCATTTTATAGTTGCACAGGGAATATATGTTGTGACATTTACATAAGAGCTTACCTCTTTTTTTTTTTTTTTTTTGCATTAGAAAAAAAGTATTTTGGGGGAGAGATGGCCCAAATAATGTATAAACATTTGAATAAATGTACAAACAATTAAAAAAAAGGAAAAAAGTATTTTTATTGTTATTTATCATTTTTACATTTACTTACATGTGTCTACATTGTTTGGGTCACTTCCCCCTTCTCCCACCCCTCTTCTCCCCCCTCCTCCAGTACATCTTAATTAGATTCACCCCTTCCATCTTTCTCCTTTATCTGTCCCCTGCACTGTTTCTAGTTCATCCTAAGTAATATTTGATGTGCAGGATGGTTTATTTGCCAGGCTATAATGATAGAAGTTGAGAAGACGCGAAATGCACAAAAAATTAGGTATAAATTCAATTACAGGAAATTATGCAGCTATTAAAGTATATTGAAATTATGACTTTTTTTAAATGGTGGGTCTGGGGTTTGAACTGCAGCTATTAAATATTAAGTTAAATACTGATATTTAACACTATCATCAATATGAATCGTAGCTAATGTTAAATATGGTTAACATAAATTAATGTAACAGTACTAGTTATTATAATACAAAACACTAACAAATCCTACCTTCCAAATCAGATCAAGTAGGTGAACCAGTAATTGCATAAAGATTCCCATTCAGACAACAGATGATATTTAGCTTCAATTTATGTATAGTATGTATACATGCGTGTTTGTCTTATTTTTTTCTTGTGGTGCTGGGCTTGGAACCCAGAGCCTTGAGCATGCTAAGCAAGTGGTCTTCCACTGAGCTACATCCCTAGCCACCTCCAGGGGAGGTTTTTTTTTTTTGAGACAGGATCTCAAAGGTTGGCCTTGAGCTCTCAATCCTCCTGCTTTAGTCTCCTGAATGCTGCAGCTACAGGAGTGATGGAATTACAGGTAAGCACCACATACCGAGCTCTTATCCTCCTTTTATTTTAATGACATAATCTTGGGCAAAGAGAGGCGGTCCCTCTTTGATTTAGAGGGATGTAAGGGGAAGGGCAATTTATAAAAGGTCTACTCACATCCCAGTGGGATGATCTTTAGGATCTACCATTGTCTCTTTGTAATAGGCAAATGGCTCCACATAGCTAAGACCTTATTCAAAAGAAGCTACAAAAGCCTTACAAAATCTATGAGGGTAGAGGAGGAAAAAAGTATGGACAGCAAGAATTTCTAGGAGAAAAGCTAGCAGGAATAATAGGTGCCACTTCTACCACTTACTTTTGTCCTTGTGACCAGTAAGCAAACCCCTTTCAGAACTTTTTAAGATGGCTGAGTACTTAATTTGATCCTATAAATAAGCAAAGTCAGACATATATACATAGGCTTTGTATAAGTCATTGATAGTACCCCAGGAGCTATTTTCTAATAAAAGGAACAATACACTGGTATCTCTATTGTTTTGCTTGTCTGAATTTTCTACGATAAGGAAATGTAGAGGAAACGGCTACTTTGGAGGCAGTTCCTGGCCATGGCAGGTCTTCAAGCACAGGCTGAGAATATCTATAGGCAACAAAGCTGAAAAGGTTTCTGAGTCACAAGATTTGTTGAGTTAGAGAGGCTTTTAAAGATTCTTTTGCCTTTTTGATTCATGATTCAGTTTGGTCTGATATATTCCACTGGCAGAGGGTGAATATATGCTGTTTTATTTAATAAGATGAAGGATCTACAATGTTTTATATAGTTTTTAATCACTGGGTACAGTATATGCATTTTGCATTTTACAGGTCACATTTTCTGACTGTAGGCTGAGTGCATTCAGTGGACATTCTTAAAGCTCTTTAGAAGTTAAGATGATCAGCTTACCTTCCAAAGTGGTGTTTCAGAGGAAGTCTTCCAATATCTTGGATAAAAGAAATCTGAGCTGAAAGCATATTTTAAAAAGTTTTCTTTTTAATGACAGTCTTTTATTTTTTCAACTGAAAAATAACAACTGTATATATTTATGGTGTACAACAGGACATTTACACACACACACACACACACACGCACAGACATTGTGGAATGGCTAAATCAAGGTTTTTTTTTTTTTGTGGACTGAGGTTTGAACTTAGAGTTTTGTGCTTACAAAGCAGGCACTCTACTGCTTGAGCCATACCTCCAGTACATTTTGCCCTGGTTATTTTGGAAATGGGCTTTTCATGAACTATTTACCCTGGCTGGCCTTGAACTGTGATCCTCCTGATCTGTCTCCCAAGTAGCTAGGATTACAGGTGTAAGCTACTGGTGCCCAACTAAATCGAGCTATTTAACATATGTATTATCTCACATACTTTTTTGATAGAAAACTTAGACTCTACTCTTAGCATTATCAAATATACAATATATTATTCACTGCAGTCACCATGATATACAACAGATTTCTTGAACTTATTCCTTCTAAAATTCTATGTCTTTTGACTAACATATTCCCAGTTCTCACACCTCAGCTTCTAGTAACCAAAATTTTACTGTTTCTAAATGTGACTCTTTTATATTCCTCATATAAGTGAGATCATGCATTACTTGTTTTTCTGCACCAAGGATTATTTAACATAATGTCCCCCAAGTTCACGTTGAACCAAAAAAAGTTTTAAATAGACAATTCTCCAAAAGAAACATATGAATAAGCACATGATACCACTTCACAGGATGGCTACCAAAATGCTATAGTAGGTCTTTGAAAATTAAAATTGGAATCATTAGGATTTGTCAATTTCACTATGGGTATAAAAGAATCAAAAGGAAGGTCTTAAAACAGGTATGTTATCTCATGTTCATTTGTATACCATGTTCAGCATTATTCAGGATACAGTATGAATATTTCTTATTCAAAATGCTTGGGATCAAAAGTGTCCCACACTTTGGATTTTGAAATGTTTCCATGCACATATTGAATCATTTTGGGGATAGAATCCAAGCGTATATGAAAAATTAACTTGTTTCATATGTACCTTATACATATAGCATGAAGTTCCTTTTATATGATATATTTAGTGCATTTTATACTGTTATCACATGAGGTCAGGTGTGGAACTGTCCACTTGTTGAGTCATGTTGGTGCTCTGTAAATTTCAGTTTTGGATTATTTCAGATTCTCAGATTTGGGATATTCCAACTACAGTCAAAAAGTACAAGCAACCCTAGTGTCCATCACAGATGAACGAGTAACCAAAATGTGATCATATACATACAATGGAATAGTATTCAGTCTTAAGAAAGAAGGGAAGTTTGATACATGATACAACATGGATGAGCCTTGATGTCATACTAAGTGAAATAAGCCAGTCACAAAAGGCCAAGTAGTGTATGATTCCACTTATGTGAAGTATCAAGAGTAGTCAAATTCATGGGGTTATAAAGTAGAATGATGGCTGCCAGAAACTAGGGGTAAAGGAAAATGGGGTGAAGTTTAATGGCTTTAAGTTTCCAAGATAAAAATGTGCTGGAGATTGGTTGCAGAACAAGGTAAACAAACTTAATACTACTAAACTGTATATTTAAAAACTGCTACGATGATGGATTTCATGTTATGTGTACTTTGTTATGACTGATAAAGAATGGCATAGTAGACTTCCAGAATGACTGAATGAGTTCTTGTGTTCCCCAGTGAGATAAGCAACAAGGGTGAAAACTTTTCTGTATTTATTTATTTATTTATTTGCAGCACTGAGGTTTGAATTCAGGGTCTCACGCTTGCTAGGCAGGTGCTCTTACCACCTGAGCTACTCCACCAGCCATCAACGGTGAACATTTTAAAACAAAACAAAAACAATTTGAAGTCTCTGGAAATTATCCTAAGAACAAACAGCAAATAAGGAAATATTTATTTAAGAAAATCTAACAAGAAGAGTATGACATTTGAACTACTATCTTCTCCCTTCCGTTTCAAAGATGAAGGTTGATGAAAACTTCTTTTCAGGTGGGTGCAGCCAAGTGCACAGAGCTCCTTCCCAGTGATTTTATTTGAAACACTGTGTGAAGTTCAAGCCTCTTGTTTTGAGACAGGATCTCGATATGTACCTCGGGCTAGCCTCGAACTCTCCACCTTCCTGCTTCTGCCTCCTGAGTGCTGGGCTTACAAATATGTACCACCATGCTAAGCACAGCTACCTAATTCTTTGGAAAGAACCAGGGAAAGAGACAACTGAGAAGACTCCTGGAATCAGAATAAACCTTTGAGACTAGCCTTAAGGCCTAAAATGTGCCCAATCATGACTGGATCAGACAGTGGACAAATTTTTATGCCCCCCACACTGTTGAAAACAATAGAGCAATCAGCCAGTAATTAGTGAAGCCAAACAGGTGGATGTGTTGCCAAATGAGATGCATAACTATTCAGAAAGATGGAAGAAAGACAGTCAAAAATGTTCTGCTAAACCCACTGCCAACCAAAGGTGACTGTGGGCATACCCAAACAGAGCTCTCTATGTAGTAGCAAAGGCTTCACAATGCAGGGGCAGACAGGGTTCAATAAAACAGCTTAGTCACATCACTGAATAAGTACATGACAGCAAAAACAAGCCCCAGGGACTGGGGATTTAGCTCTGGGGTAGCATGCCAAGGCTGTGGGCTCAATTCCCATTACTAAAAAGCAAACAAAAAAGACAAGCTCCAGAAATGAGAAGGAAAATCAGTAGTTACAAAATATTCCCTAAGATGTCCAATTTTCAACAAAAAAATTGTGAGACATGCAAAGAAACAGGAAAATGAAGGAAAAGGAAGGCAAAAGAAATTGGCTCAGAGAAGTCCCAGACAAAAATTAAATAGAAAAAAACCTTCAAATCCTAGCTAGTCGGAAGGCCAAATGGGGAGGATTGAGGTTTAGGGCAAGCATATAATCCCAATTATGAGGGAAACATAAATAAGAGGACTGTGGTCCAATGCTGAGCTGGACAAAAGCAAGACCCTACCTGAAAAAAAAAAAAAAAAAAAAAAAGGGCTGGGAGAGTGGTTTAAGTGCAAGAGCACCTGCCAAGCAAGCTCGAGGCCCTGAGTTCAAACCCTAGAACCACCAAGAAAAAGAAAAAGACTCCATAAGTTCAAAGAAAAAAAGGAAGCCATGCTTAAAGAAGTAAAAGTTTATAATGACAATGGCTCATCAAAAAGAGATTATCAATTAAGTGACATATAAAAAGAACCAAATGGAAATACTGGTCTTGAAACATACAATAACCAAAGTGAAACACCCACTAGGGAGGCTCAACAGTAGATCTGACCTAGCAAAAGAAAGAACCGACAGGGAGGATGATGAGGGAGAAAGATGGAGGGGGTGAATCTAATTAAGATACATTGTAAGCACATATGTAAATGTCACAAATAAACTGTGTACAATTAATATATGTGAATACTAATAAAAAAAAGAATGAACCAGCAACTTTGACATGGATTCCTGGAGATTAAGCAATCAAAAAACAGAAAACAGAATGAAGAAAAATGAATAAATTCTTGGGAAAAGTGGGACATCTTTAAGTATAACAATATACCCTAATGAAGGAGTAGGAAAGGACAGAGAGGAAAAAAAATATAAAAAGAAACTCTGGCTTTCCCCAACACCAAAAAAAAAGACCAAAAAAGAATAAAAAGAAACAATGGCTAAAAATGGCATAGTAAATAAATGTGAAAGAAGTGAGGAAAAGAGAAGTCCAAGGGTAACTTCCAGCTCTTGATTCAACTGCCTCCACCTCCCATGTACTGGGATTATAGCTGTGTGCCATTTCACTTGGCTCCAAACATCTCACTTTTGACTAAATTTTATAAACTCTCACAATATTTACAAATCTAACAGTATGATGGCTTTAAGGATACATTTTTCAAAATCTACTATACAATTGGGGTTTTTAAGAAACAGCTCTTTGATATGGAAAGCTTAGAGCTGTGATTTTAGAGTTCCACTTTTTTACCTAGTGGATAACATGACTCTCCAGATGAATCTGATATAAGTAACATAAACCACTACTGCTCAAACACCTTAAACTTCTCACATGTGAGAATTCTGTGATCATGTTTTGTGACTGAGTTAGTAGGTGGGATCTGACTCTGAATTCCTCACAAGGCTCAGGTGATGCTGATGTTCCTGGGCCAAGTGTGCTAATCAATTGACTCTCGAAGAAGTAGGCATGTGCAAGGCAGCTCCTGTGGCCACATCAAATTGATGTATTCTGGCAAGGACTAAAGGAAATGGGCTATGGGTATGTAAAAATGGGAAATACGGATTTTCATTCTTCAAAAGGTGAGGTATGCCCATGGAAAGAAAAAGGTTAGCATGAACTCTGAGGTGTTAGCCTGCAACTGACTGTTCTTGATAGAACTCCCATTTTATAAACACACAGATTTCCTAGCTTTTTTTCCACGGAAAAAGCCTAGAATAGTGCCACTCTAATAGAAATGTGGTATATATAGGGCCCAGGTCCTGTTTTTCTAAACACCAGTCCTGCTGAAAGGCTCTAGACTGTCCCAAAATTCCTGACTGGAACAAGGAAAATACAAAATGGTCCTCGAATACATCCTTTCAGAAGGTTAAGAAAGTGTCCAAAGATTAATGGGGACATATCAAAATAAACACAGCTAGCTTAAAGAGGTACCCCCCAAGTCAAATATGGACAACTTGATATCAAAATAAATAATGATAGCAAGGAATTAAAATTAAAAGAAATAAAAATCTAAAGATATATTAATAAATACTAACCAAATAAACAAATAAGTGGGAGAGAAGTCAAAACTTGTACTACAACTCACCAACAAAAACGTAGAGGAGATGATGGCTTATTAAAAAAAAAAATCAAAACAGGTGAGATGGTGTGTGGCCATAATCCCAGCAGTTGGATACTGAGGCAGGAGAATGACAAGTTAAAGGGCAGCCTGGGTTACAAAAATGAGAAAACAGAAAAAAAACAACCATTTGCCAGTCATAGCAGACTCAGAAAATTGTCAGTGGATGCTACAACCGATGGGTGGAATTTTTATTTTGTTATTTCATTTCATGCACCAGGGTTTGAACTCAGGGTCTCCTACTTGCTAGTCAGGTGCCCCACCACTTGATTTAATCCACTAGATCTTCTTTTGTGTTAGGTACTTTTTCCCCACCCAGACTGGCCTCAAACTGCGATCCTCTCAATCTCAGCCTCCAAATAGCTCGGATTACAGAGTAAATCAGCCCATACTGGGTGAAATTTTAATTAGAAATAGGATCTTTACATAATCTCAAGGTTATCTCCCCACAAAACACTTATTTACATGTCACTGGAAAACCCCAAAGATAACATAATCTTACCAAGTGTAAAAGTTAGCTTTACTAGTAATAGTATAAACAGACATCATATTCCTTATATGATAGGATAACAAGACAGCATAACTTTTACAGTACTCCTGACAAAAACACATATCCTAAATCCAATCAAGAGAAGTCATCAAATTGATATGCTTCTAAAATGTCATTAATAAATAAATAAACTGTTCCAGATCTAGAGATTAAGAGCTATGGCAACTAAACGTACACTGTGTGATCTTCATTTTTTTTGAGACAGAATCTCACTATGTAGGCATAGGCTGGCTCAGAACTCGTAATCCTTCTGCCTCAGCAGTAAGGAATTACCTGAGTGGTAGAATTATAGGTAAGTGTCACAATGCCCCGAACATCATGTAATCTTGTACTGGATTACTGGACAAGAAAGGGGATAAAAATAAATAATGGACGCTGGTGGCTCACGCCTGTAATCCTAGTTACTCAGGAGGCAGAGATCGGGCGGAGGATCGAGGTTTGCAGTAAGCCACGGAAAACAGTTTATGAGATCCTGTCTCGAAAAAAATCCATCATAAAAAAGGGCTGGTGCAATGGCTCAAGGTGTAGGTCCTGAGTTCAAACCCCAATACCACCAAAAAAAACCCCAAAAACAAAAACAAGTTGTTATTTTACAAAAGGAATTGTCAGGACTAAACTGGCAGAATTTGGAAGGGATTGATAGACAACTAGATGATTTAAATTTGCATACTGTGGTATATAGGAGAATGTTCTTGTCTCTAGGAAGTACATGAGAATAATGGGACATAAATGCAATCTACTCAAACACAATCTTGGAAAAAATATGTATATGTGTGGGCTTATGCATTTAGAGGAAGAGACAGAGTGTACATAAGGCAAATATTATAAAAATTTAAGAGAGCTAGGCACCAATGACTCACACCTATAACACTAGCTAATTAGAGGAGGATGAGATTGGGAGTATCGAGGTTTGAGAACAGCCCAGGCAAACAGTTTGTGAGACTCTGTCTCCAAACTAACCAAAGCAAAATGGATTGGAGGTGTGGCTCAAGTGGTAAAACATCTGCTTTGCAAGCACAAAGCCCTGAGTTCAAAACCACAGTATCACCCAAAAAAAAAAAAAAATTAACAGAGAAATCCTGACCAGTACGCAAGTTTTTTTTTTTTTTTTGCAGTACTGGGGTTTGAACTCAAGGCCTCACACTTGCTAGGCAGGTGTTCTACCACTAGCCCTTTTTTGTGTTGGATATTTTCAAGATAGGGTCTCTCAAACTATTTGCCTAGGCTGTTTTTGAACCTCAATCCTCCTGATCTCTGCCTCCCAAGTAGCTAGGATTATAGTGAGCCACTGGCCTGGCTACAAGAAGTCTTTTGTACTGTTCTTGAATCTTTAAGTTTGAAATTACTTCAAAAAAAAGTTAACAAATTAGTGTAATCTTAAAAGAAATTGGGAAGGATAAGGAAATGTCTGGCTCTGACATACAGATTAAATGTCTACTATCCAAAAAGTTATCCCACTTTTGCCTACGAATACAGATAATTTAAAAATATTAAGTATCAGTCAGATGTGGTGGTCATGATTATAATTCCAGCTACTCAGGAAGCAGAGACTGGGAGAATTTTGTTTTGAAGCCAAGCTGGGGAAAAAGCAAGACCCCACATCAACAAACAAGCCATGAGTGGTGGTACATTCCCATAATCTCAGCTACATAGGAGGAATAAGTAGGAGGATTATGTATGTTCAAACCTGTTCTGGGCAAAAAGTTCAAGACTCTATTTGAAAAATAACTAAAGCAAAAGTGGTGGAGAGAGGGCTCAAGTGGTAAAGTGCTTATCTAGCAAGCACAAAGCCCAAAGTTCAAACTCCAGTAAAAAAATGCAATAATCTCAAAAGCTACAAGATGCTTATTGTGTTAAGTCTTCTCATCACATAGAAGGTAAACACAATCTAAAAATTTCTGAGAAGTTTGGTGAATTATGTGGCAGATTATTAGTATTTTTATTTTTTATTTCTTTTTTGGTGGTACTGAGGGTTGAACTCATGGCCTAACACTTGCTAGGCAGGCACTCTTACCACTTGAACCACTCCATCAGCCCAATATTTTTAATACAACACAAATTCTGTCCTACTTTGAAGATTAGCACCACAGATGTGATCACTAACAAAATGTGTCTTTTATACATCAAAAAAGAGACAAGTACGGAAAAACTGGGAAAGTCCATAAAGTCAAATCTCAGAAGAAATATAACTTGTCCAAGTGCGCACTGCCACAGGTATACTCATGTTGTTTGTGGCATCATTTATTTATTTTGGTGGGACTAGGATTAGAACTCATGGCTTCCATACTTGCAAAGCAGGCAATCTACCACTTGAGCCACACCTCCCATTGATTTTGCTGTGGTTATTTTGAGATGAAGTTTGGTGAACAATTTGCCCAGGCTAGCCTCAAACCATTATCTCCACCAATTTTAGCTTCCCAAGTAGCTAGGATTACAACTGTGAGCCGGCAATGAGCTATTGTGGCATTATTTTAATCTCATGACTTGGAAATTCAATGTGAATATGCTATAATGGGTACCATTTGTAATACTGAAATCAGCCAAAATATTCATCACTACAGAAAAGAAGGAGTTAGATTTAAATATACTTCAGCATTACTGCTTTGATATTAACTTATAAAATATGAAAGACTACCCACATAAGTGACAGAAGAAAATTAAAGCTTGTCTCATTCCATCTATTTCTATATCACAAAAGAAAGTTGGGGAAAATGCTGATCACCTACCTGTGGGTGAAGGAGGAGATACCTTCGATTTGTTTGTTTATTTAAACAAAAAACATATTAATTCTGGATCAAAAAATAAAGGGAAAAAAACTTAACTCAGGAATACATAACAATAAGATGACTTACAAAAAGACTGAAATGAGCTACGCGCCGGCTCACGCCTATAATCCTGGCTATTCAGGAGGAAGAGATCAGGAGGATTGTGGTTTGAAGCCAGCCTGGGCAAATAATTCTGCAAGACCCTGACTTGAAAAACCCTTCACAACAACAGGACTGGTGGAGTGGCTCAAGGTGAAGGCCCTGAGTTCAAACCCCAGTCCCAAAAAAAAAAAAAATTGAAATGAAACACTAAAGGAAAAGCCATGATTACCTTGACTTCGCATAGGAATGGTCAGCAGAGCAAGGTAAGGTAATAGCTGAGTTTGGAGACATAAAGCTGGTAGGCAGAAATCAGAAAAAAGTGCTTTTGCTGCCAGGCAATTTTCCCGATACTGTATAGCAAAGATAAAAAAGTGACAAGAAAATAAAATTTAAAAGGTGGTTATGTATTCCAAGACACAGTTTTTTATACCACAAAGTGTGTGGGCTTATATACCATAAATACACTCTTTTTCTTTTTGAGACAAGGTCTGGCTATGCAGCCCAGCTGCCCTCCACTTCCTCAAGGGCACAAATATACTTTTAAGAGTTTATGTTAGTCGTTTGTAATTTTCCCAGCATTATCTAACAATATCATGTGAATTAGCAGCAGCCTCACACAACTTATGTTTACCACATCTCATGATTGTTATAAAGAGGTCACATTAAATGACTGACCCATACAACTGAGGCTTGTGTAAGAACACACAAAGCTGTTTACACCATGGTGAAACTGCCTAACAATGCAGTTCTCAGAACAGGTTTCTATTGACAAACTTCTCAATGTGTCTCCATCCTTACAAAATGCATGGCTACCCTTGTTCCTTCCTATTATAGCTTATACTCCCTCTACAACAAAATTAGAAATAAGGGCAAAATAGTTTCTGCTGGGTACTGAGGGGGTGGGGGGGAGAGGGAGGGGGCAGAGTGGGTGGTAAGGGAGGGGGTGGGGGCAGGGGGGAGAAATGACCCAAGCCTTGTATGCACATATATAATAAAAGAAAAAAAAAAAAAAAACAAAATGCATGGCTATGGGCTGGTGCATGGCTCTAGAGGCAGAGCACCTGCCCAGCAAGTGTGAGGTCCTGAGTTCAAATCCCAGTGCTACTCCCCACAAAAACAACTAAATAAATAAATGCACGACCAAAAAAAAGAAATGGTTAACTATATGGTCATTAATCAGTATAGCCACCATATAGTACAACAAATCTTTAACTTATCTTTCCTGAGTGAATCTGTACCCTAGGATTTATTTTATGCTTGTTTGAGATCAGGCTCCCTGTATATCCCAGGTTCTTAAAACTCCTGCCTTAGCCTTCCAAGTGCTAGGTCTATAGGCTGGCACCTTTATGCCCAGTCTCTATGCTGTACCTTAATTCTAAGAAACTGTGGGGCTTAGCAACTATTTTACTAAGAATGAAACATTTTCTTTTTTTAACTTAAAAAAAAAAAGCCAGCTTTATTGAGATATAATTCATATGCAATAAAGTTCCAAGTATACGATTTAAAGTGCACCTGACTCAAACTCAAAATTCATAATTCTTTTTCTTACCTTTTTATGTATTAGAAGCCACTGAGGTTTGTGCAGGGGTCGAAAACTTGATCCTCCTCCTTGGCAATGAGCAAATCCTCGGGCTTTGTTGGAATGTATCAAACCTCTTGTAGCTACAGAAGTACTATATTCCCTGAGTAATGAACGTATCTAACAAATGAGACAAGATGTGAAATAAGTAAGAGATTTGTAAAACAGTATATTGGTACTACAGACACACAAAAAAAGACTGAACACATTTAGTTACTCTGTATTCACATTTTTCAGCATCACTAAAGCTTAATAATACTGCTACAAAATTATTTAAAACAAATTCAAATGAGACAGCAAGTAAACACAATGGGTAAACTAAGTAGGTCTTGGATGGCAGTAGGGGAAAAAAACTTTACATTTTTGAGGCAAATGGAGAAATAAATATGGACAATATATTACTAAATCAATGTTAATTAAATCAATGTCAACTTTCTTAGATGTGATGTTACTATGGTTGTAATTTAACAAAATCTTTATTCATGTATGATGTTTACAATTCCTTTCCAATTACTCAGTCAAAACCAAGTATCTAAATACATAAAGAAATTAAGTAGCCGGGCTCTGGTAGCTCACGCCTGTAATCCTAGCTACTCAGGAGGCAAAGATCAGTAGGATTTGGGTTCGAAGACAGCCCTGGGCAAATAGTTCGAGAGACCCTATCTCAAAAAATTCCTTTACAAAAAAGGGCTGGTGGAGTGGTTCATGGTATAGGACCTGAGTTCAAACCCTAGTACCACTCCCTGACCAAAAAAGAAAAAAAAAAAAAAAAGAAAGAAATTAAGTAAATGTAGCAAAAATGTAAAAAATTAGTCAACAAGCCAGGGCACCAGTGGGTGCCCTTTCTATATGCCTACAGGAAGACTGAGATCTAGAGGATCACTGTTCAAGGCCAGACCAGGCAAATAGTTTGTTAGACCCCACCTCTAAAATAAACAGAACAAAATGAGCTGGAGGTGGGGCTCATATGGTAGAGTGACTGCTTTTCACACATGAAGCCCTGAGTTCAAACTCCAGTTCCACCAAAAAAAAAAAAACAACAAAGCAAAACAAATTAGCCAACAGCAGTTATGGGTATACAGGTTTTCAATGTGCTATTCTTTCTACTGACATATTTCAAAATAAAAAGGAAGTAATTACATGAAAACATGATAAAAGAAGTGATAGAATTTGAGGTGATGCTTATGCTGATTACCAAGTTGATTACCCAATGTATACATGAATGAAAACATCACATTATATTTCATAAAGATGTACAAATATTCTGTTGCAATGTTTTCTTTCTTTTTGCTTTTTTTGACAGCACTGTAGTTTGAACTCTGGGCCTCACACTAGGCAGGTGCTCTTACCACTTGAGCCACCTGTCACAATGTTTTAAAAAGTAATCCTTTTTAAAAAATAAATTAAATGAAACTAATGAGTAACGAAAACCATTAGAGTTTCTATATCTTTCCTAATTTTATTAATGCTACTTTAATATTTGTAAGAGGAATATTGACATCAAAACTGTTGTCCAACAGAACTTCCTACAATAATGAAAATGTTTTATACTTGGACTCTTCAATACAGTAGCTACTAGCACATGCAGTGATCAATACTGGAAATGTGTGGCTTGTATGACTAAGGAACAGAATTTTAAATGTAAATTAATCTTAATAGTCACATGTGGTTAATGGCTATTGCCCTGATCAGGGTAAAGTTAAGATGTTAAGAAAAAATATAGAAGCCTGGGCATGGTAGCTCAGCTACCTGAGAGGGTAAGGTCAGAGGATTACTAGAGCCCAGGAATTTGAGACCAATCTGGGCAACATAATGAGATCCCATCTTGAAACATAAATAATTTTTTTTTTTAATGCTGGGGATTGAAACCAGGGTCTCATGCATGCTAAGCACATGTCCTACCACTGAATTACACTCCCAGCTAATATAAATTTTATAGTGAGCAATTCTGCATGTATATAACAAATTTTAATATCAGGAAGTATAGCAAGATGTACAGTTCTTATCCATTTTTATATATTTAATTTTTAATGGTTGTTAAAATTTTTGAGTATGTACTAATTTTAAAATAACTTAAGTAAAAAAATAGTGTTTATATATTACCAGAAAAATAAAGATAACCTGCTGAAGTTTCATTACAAACACTGGATTAGATGAAAGAGTCACAAAATATGTCAGGTTGTTAAGGTAAAAGTAAACTTTCTTTTATCAATTCTGAAGAAATATAAACAAAATCATTTAAGAAAAATAGTCTTACATTCCAATCACCACTGAGGATATCTGCAAAACTCAGAAATTCACTGGCTCTCACAAGATCATCTATTTCCATGAAGAAATCTATGTAGTTTTGGTGAAGATACAAATTAAACAACTCTCCCGGCATGTGTGACATTTCTACTACTTCCTATAAAAAAAGAGGCATAACTTTGGTCAAACTGTGGTCAGATATATATGCACATATATAATATACAGATGGTACAGTACTGTTATTAACAACCTTACCTCAGGCTGAACAAGTAATGTATCCCGTTCATGCTCTGATAAGTGAGAAGGCAACCGGGGTGAGTCTAATTCTGTTAAAGGTGCTCCTATAAAAAATTCCTGGAATTAGTAAAGATAATACTATCTCCAATTATATAGCACCTTCCATTTGAAGATTTTCAACACTTTAGATACATAATGGCAAAACACTAAACAAGCTGTTAAAAACAAAATAAATGAGTTTGCCAACTTTATAACTACTAGCAAGAACTAAATTTAGAATTCTGATGCTTGTATTATGACTTTTCTAGACTTGAAATATTTCTACTTTTTAAAAAAAAATTTATTTTTTTATTATTCATATGTGCATAGAATGCTTGGGTCATTTCTCCCCCCTGCCCCCACCCCTCCCTTAACACCCACTCCGCCCCCTCCCCCCCACCCCATCGATGTCCAGCAGAAACTATTTTGCCCTTATCTCTAATTTTGTTGAAGAGAGAGTATATGCAATAATAGGAAGGAACAAGGGTTTTTGCTAGTTCAGATAAGGATAGCTATACAGGGAGTTGACTCACATTGATTTCTTGTGCATGTGTGTTACCTTCTAGGTTAATTCTTTTTGATCTAACCTTTTCTCTAGTTCCTGGTCCCCTTCTCCTATTGGCCTCAGTTGCTTTTAAGGTATCTGCTTTAGTTTCTCTGCGTTAAGGGCAACAAATGCTAGCTAGTTTTTTAGGTGTCTTACCTATCCTCATATGTCCCTTGTGTGCATTCGCTTTTATCTTGTGATCAAAGCTCAATCCCCTTGTTGTGTTTACCTTTGATCTAATGTCCACATATGAGGGAGAACATACGATTTTTGGTCTTTTGGGCCAGGCTAACCTCACTCAGAATGATGTTCTCCAATTCCATCCATTTATCAGCAAATGATAACATTTCGTTCTTCTTCATGGCTGCATAAAATTCCATTGTGTATAGATACCACATTTTCTTGATCCATTTGACAGTAGTGGGGCATCTTGGCTGTTTCCATAACTTGGCTATTGTGAACAGTGCTGCAATAAACATGGGCGTGCAGGTGCCTCTGGAGTAACCTGTGTCACAGTCTTTTGGGTATATCCCCAAGAATGGTATTGCTGGATCACATGGTAGATCGATGTCTAGCTTTTTAAGTAGCCTCCAAATTTTTTTCCAGAGTGGTTGTACTAGTTTACATTCCCACCAACAGTTTAAGAGGGTTCCTTTTTCCCCCCTGCATCCTCGCCAACACCTGTTGGTGGTGGTGTTGCTAATGATGGCTATTCTAACAGGGGTGAGGTGGAATCTTAGTGTGGTTTTAATTTGCATTTCCTTTATGGCTAGAGATGGTGAGCATTTTTTCGTGTGTTTTTTGGCCATTTGGATTTTTCTTTTGAGAAAGTTCTGTTTAGTTCACTTGCCCATTTCTTTATTGGTTCATTAATTTTGGGAGAATTTAGTTTTTTAAGTTCCCTATATATTCTGGTTATCAATCCTTTGATGTGTAGCTGGCAAATATTTTCTCCCACTCTGTGGGTATTCTCTTCAGTTTAGAGACCATTTCTTTTGATGAGCAGTAGCTTTTTAGTTATATGAAGTCCCATTGATCCATGCTAGCTCTTAGTTGCTGTGCTGCTGGGGTTTCGTTGAGAAAGTTCTTACCTATACCTACTAACTCCAGAGTATTTCCTACTCTTTCCTGTATCAACTTTAGAGTTTGTGGTCTGATATTAAGATCCTTGATCTATTTTGAGTTAATATTGGTATAGGGTGATACACATGGATCTAGTTTCAGTTTTTTGCAGACTGCTAACCAGTTTTCCCAGCAAAATACTGCATTTCTAAGGTCAGGAGTAGAGCTCAAAAGGAAGAGTGCTTGCTTAGCAAGCATGAGGCTCTGAGTTCAATCCCCAGTATGAAATAAAAAAATTCAATTTCTCAAAACACTTCTCACTTTGTCTTTATAGCTCTGGGTTGCTTCTTCCTTTGATCCAGTTCAATATATAAATGCATATTACTGAGTACCACCAAAAATGAAAAAGGTATCTATTGTTTTATCTATTGTATAGAAGATGCTGTTCTCTGTATGAGAAAGCAGGAATGCTATTTAGAATGTGATTTAGAATGAACACTGGGGAGGAAAAGAAAGGGTGGGAGGAAAGAATGAGGTGAGAATGGCCATTAATGTTCACAGGTGAGAGGATGCAGTGACATATGAGTATTTTCACTGCTAAGTGATGCCTGTTTCCTTATATGGCATGAAGGCTTCCATTTAGAAATCCCAATTTCTTTTTTGTTTTTGGTGGTATTGGGGCTTGAACTCAGGACCTCATGCTTGCTAGGCAGGCACTCTACCACTTGAGCCACTCCTGTTTTGTGTTGGGTATTTTCGAGATAGGGTCTTGGAAACTATTTACCCAGGCTTTGAACTGCAATCCTCCTGATCTCTGTGTCCCCAAGAGCTAAGTTACAGATGTGAGACTCTGGCACTTGGCTCCAATTTCTTTTTTCAGTATCATAAGACTATCATAGACAAATACTACAAGCTAGTATTTGTTTCATAAAGAACAGGGGTTTGGGGTTTTATTTGAAAGGAGGGAAATGTGGGTGGAGGGAGATGGGTAATATGTATACAGAGGCTGAGAGAGAACAGATAAAGACGATAGAAGGGAGCAATGAACATTTCTGGTTTGGAGGACAGCAGGTTAGTGAGAAGTACTGAGAAATGTATGAGGAGTAAAAGAAGCCATAAGCTGTCTGCCAACTTGCCTAGAGCTGGACCCTAGTGCTAAGATAGTTTTGGGCTACAACTTTTGCCACTAAAAGTCTAGATGAATCGATGTTTGATCTTTAGTCAACTATAACTTCTATAACTTACAGACATGGATACAGTAGTTTGTTTTTATGTTTAATACTGCTCATAGTCATAAAATGGGCCAAATAGCTAAAAAAATTTCCCTGTTATGTTCTAAAACAGTATCTGATTGGCCCTAACTCCTTCTTAAAACAAAATACCAAACATTTAAGAAATGTGGTATATTACTTCTGTTGTAAGACTAATATCCAACAAAGAAAAAAAAAAAACCATAAAGTTTCTTACTTTTACAATATAGAATCTTCCCCAAAGCTCTGAAGAGAAAGAGAGAAACATCTTTGCCACCAATAGCTTGGACCTCTTGATTTTCAGAAACATTATCAGGTTTTTTTCTTCGCTTTGATTTTGATGGTGCAGCATCTGATTTTAATGACAGTCCTTTTTTCCTTGGCCATAAATCATTCTTTCCTAAATAATATATATCCAAGTGATAATATTTAAAATAAAAAATATGGAAATTAAAATTAAGAGTATTTTAGATAGTTATACTAAAATTCTAATTTAAATATTCTTTTAATAAACAATAATTACAAAATATGTGAACTGAGAGTCTTCTATGGGTTGCTAACTATTAAAATGGGATAAAATTATCTTGGGCTAGAGACATGGCTCAAGAAGTAGAGTACCTGCCTTACAAGCATGAAGTCCTGAGTTCAAAGCACAGCATCACCAACCCCCACCCCCCAAAAAAAAAAAAAACCTCATCACCCCCAGCAACAAAAATAATATCTCATGATGCCTACTGTAAATTGTCATATATATCATTTATTACACACTAATACAATCACACCACCTTAGTTTCTCATGGCGTTATGTGTAAAGTAATGTTCTTGCTGTAAAATACATATTTAACTAATTTAACCCTCGTAACAATTCTATGAAGGGGGGTATATTACACTGAGAGATAGCCTATGACATACAGCTACAGTTTTAGCACTCCAAAGGCAGAGGGTAGGAGAATACAGTTTGAAGTCAGCCTGAACTACGCAGCAAGACCCTGTCTCACAAAACCAAGAGCTAGGGATATAATTCAGTGATAGAGCCCTTGTCTAGTTTATGCAAAGCCCTGGCTTCAATGCCTAGCACAATAAATTAATTAATTGATTAATAAAAGAACTAAGATATAAAGAGTTTAAGTAACTGGCCCAAGTTCATCAACGAGTAATTTAAATCCAGGCAGTCTGGTGCTGCAATCTATGCGGAACAACTCTGCTATAATAACTCTCTTCTAATTTTGGCTATTCCCAATTTATGAATGTGCCTGTGTTCAAATTTCATTTGTAAGTCTTCTGTTTCAAACTTAGAATGCATGACTTAAAGCAGTCTCAAATACCAGAAAGAACCTAAGATCTGGATTTGAATGATAGTGTTATTTATTTCATTAAGCTGATCAGAATTAAATGAAAAAAATGTAATTGCTAATATAATATCTGGCTTCCTCAAAAATTATTTTCTTTCCTTTAGATTTGTGAGCATAGAGAAATATATTAACTGTTAGGATCTTAACTGGCCCATTTCAAGTTTTCCAGGTTCATAATTCCAGTTCTAAACTGTAGTATATTTATACTTCCACAGGAATAAACAGGATTCTGGTTTTAGTTGTGGTAGGCTACCTATTTCTCTATGGATATTCTGGAAAACAAAGATACAAACTAAATGAATAGTTATACTTGTGAGCAGAAACATTAGTATTTCAGATGGATTTTAAGAGCTCTACAAATGGCTTTTTTATGTTTTTTTGTTTGTTTATATTTGTTTTTCATGTAGCCTATGCTGGTCTGAAACTTGCAATCTTCCTCCCTCCACCTCCCCAGTGCTAGGATTACAGATGTGCACCATTATGATCACAAAGAACTTTTATTTCTTTCTCAATTCCTCAATGCCAAGCATCAAGTTAGGTTCTCCCCAGATTGTCATTCTAAATAACATAGAAAGGTAAAACAGCAAACCATTTAAATGAATTCTCCTGTCTCAAACATTTACCAGGATATATGATTCATAGAGGGGTGTATATGTATGTGCACATATATAATTTTCAAAAAGTATAAGAAAAGAAAGGTGTAGGAAGGTACACAGTAGTCCCCCTTTATCCACTATGGGACATGATAATTGCTGAGGATCTTCTTTAGTGATGGGTGAAACCACAGATAGCACCAAATCCTATACATACTGTGTATTTTCCCTATATATGCATAAATAAATTTAACACTTTTCCATCTTAACTAAGAATTTATCACACACTATGGCCATAGGTAACAGTGGTTTTAGTTTTGTTAGTCTGAACATTTTCTTTTGTAGATTGAGGTGTAACAGCAAAACTAGATGGATTTCTTTTTCCTTCTCCACAATTTTATGGATAGAAAATTTGTTTCTCAAAGATCTCAGTAACTTCAGCACACATTTTTTTTTTTCCTTATTAAGTCAAGAGCTTTCACTGTTTGACTTAAAGGAAGCCTTTATGGCTTCTCTTTGATGCCAGAGTCAAGAAGCCATCATCAACACTCTAGCACATTATTAAGTAAAATAACAGGTACTTGAACACAGGCACTGCAACACCATGACAGCTGATCTGCCAACCAAGATGACTACTGGCTAGCTACTGCACAGACATTACATACAATCCTGCAGTAAATACAGTATGGATATGTTGGACAAAGGGATGTTCTAGGAAGGACAGTAAAAGAGCTCATCACATTACATAGTACGAAACTTAAAACTTATTGTTTTATTTTTAAATTGTTTATTTGTGGACTTTTCCCTTTAACATTTATAGACTCCACTGACCATGAGCAACACAGACCACAGACAAGGGAGATATAATTTAACAAAAGTTAAAGAATGTTCAGTGACAGAACAAGGCCCTGGGTTTGATCCCTGGCACAACATTAAAAAAAAGTTTCGTTTGATTTCATTTCATGAATAATTAAGAGAAAGTCAGTCACACATATAATGCGGTATGACTGTGTCTTCTCTAGTTACCTTTTGAAGAAGAAAACTGGAGGCTGTTTATTGCACTTCTGATATCACCAGAACAGCCTTGACAGAGCAACTCTAGAGTAGTTCTATCGGGGACAGTAATTCTTCCTCCATTCTAAAATAGAAAATTAAATTAAAAAGATGGGTTTCTTTTGTTTATTTTATTGGCAGTACCGAGGCCTGGACTCAGTGCTTCACTCTTGCTAGGAGGGCACTTTACCACTTGAGCCACTCTATCAGCCCAAAGGATTTTTTTTTTTTTTTGTGTAAGTACCGCGCGCTAACCGATTGCGCCACTGGAGCCACTTTTTTTTTTTTTAAAACAAAAACGCACCTCCACCAAAACCCATTTTCTCTCTTTTTTTTTTGGTGGGACTAGGGTTTGAACTCAAGGCTTCACTCTTGCAAAGCAGGCACTCTACCACTTGAACCACACCTACAGCCCATTTTGCTCTACTTAATTTGGAGATGGGATCTTGAGAACTATTTGCCCAGGCTGGCCTTGAACTTTGATCCTCTGAATCTCAGGCAAACCCATTTTTTTTAACTTAATGAAAATAAATTAGATTTGTTCAAATGTGAGTGCCAAAAAGCTCCCATAGCCAGTTATGGTGGCACATGTCTATAAATCAAGCACTCAGGAGAATGAGAATGGCCAGACTGGATTACATGGATTACATAGAAAGACTGTCACAACGAGAAAAAAAAAAGCCTCTATGTTAAACACCAATCTGTTTATGACTGTAGGAGTCAAGTATTCTACCACTCAGCGACACCCCCAGCCTCATAATAATACAAGATTTTAAAGTAAATGCTATTTGCAATTAATAACCTAAGACTTTTTAAACATTTGATTGTTTGAGACAGAGCTTCACGTAGCCCAGGCTTTCCTCAACCTTGAGATCTTTCTGCTTCAGTCTCCCAAGTACAGGGATTACAGAAGTGTCCTACTATGCCTGGCTCATGACTTAGTCTTAAAATAGGAGTTCTGGGTTTAATGTGGTAAAATAGTATGTCAACTGTTTTCCTTTTTAAAATTATTTTTCTTGATTACTACTTAATGTTTAATAAATATCTAAAACTATGATTTACAGTTATCATTCTCATAGCTAAGAATGTAGAAAGACTTTAAGTTAAGGTCTCACTATATCCTCACTATATATCCTAGACTGGCCTCAAACTCACTCTATAGCCCAGACTAGCCTTGAACTCACGATCCTCCTACCTCAACCTCTATAGTGCTGAGATTACAGGTGTGTACTACCATGCCAGCCTAGAAAGATGTTATTCCTATCCAAAGCTCAGCTTGCTTACCTCTAAAGGGGGATAATTATGTACCTGTTGGTATGCATGTAGTAAGAATTTAATAAGATCATGTATGTAAAAAATACTACCTGACATACATCAAGGGGTGATGACATCATTTCTCATGCTAACATTATTATATAACTGCTTGATTTTTTTTTTTTCGTTTTTGATGGTACTGGTGATTGAACCCGGAACCCTACATGCGCTAGACAAGCTTTCTATCTCTTGAGCCATGTCTGCAGCCCTTTTGTTTTATATTTTGTTTCTGGGATAGGGTCTCCTAACTTTGCCTGGGCTGTCCTCAAACTCATGATCCTCCTGTTTCTCTGTCCCCTCAGTAGCTGGAATAACAGGTGTGCACCACTATACCTGGTCTGCCTCTTATTTTTAATTTGACAATAAACTGTGAGCATTTTCCCGTTTCATTAAATATTCTCAAAACTAATTAATGGCATAATAGTTTGTCATAGAAACTACTCAGTTTATTATTAGACTCTGTTTCTAATTGTTTACTATTAATCGCTGTTTTTATTTTTTATTTTTTTTTGGGACTAGGGCTCAACACATACTAGGCAAGTGCTCTGCCACTGAGCTAAACCCCAGTCCCAATAGCTGTCATTTATTCAGCTAAGTGCTCCACATAAATTATGTCTAATCTTCAAAAAATCTTCTCCTTTGGAGATTTCTCTCACTTCATGTGATCCTGCCATTACAACAAAAATTCTGTCTCATACAAGATTTGAGTTGATTTGTAGCAGGAAGACATCCTAGAATCATGCTGCTAAAAGAAGTTCCAACAGCTTATTTTAACATCACTTAGATCTGAAAAATAGGAAATATGATGCAGCAAACATTAACAATAGTGGGTGGAGGTGTTGCTCAAGCAGTAGAGTGCCTGTCTTGCAGAGTTGTGAGTTCAAACCCAAGTACCGATGGAAAAAGAAGAAGAAAAAAAAGAAAAAGGTAAGATAGCTGCTTCACAATAGCATAAATATAATTAACACAACTGAAATATATACTTTAAAATGGTTAAGATAAGTTTTATGGGTTTTCTTTTACAGTGCTGAGGACAGAATCTAGGCCCACAGGCATGCTAGGCAAGTGCTCTACCACTGAGTAACATCCCCAGTCCAGTTCTCGTGTTTTTAAAGTAACAAGACAATAATAGACCTGAACATTTTCTTAATAATAATTTAGAACAGTAAATCAAGCAAAGGGAAAATTTACCTCAATGTGAAAGTTAACTTTAATAGTAGAAAAAGGTTAAAGATTTTTTTAATCAATATTTCCTACACTGCCGGCTCACACCTGTAATCCTAGTTACTCAGGAGGCAGAGATCAGGAGGATCATGGTTCGAAGCCAGCCTGGGCAAATAGTTTTCCAGACCCTATGTCAAAAAAAGACATCACAAAAAGAGCTGGAGTGGCTCAAGGTATAGGCCCTCAGTTCAAACCCCAGTTACTCTCCCCCAACCCTCCCCCAAATTTCCTACATATGCTAAAATACCTCATGAGTGTAATACAATTTTTAAATCTTAAGGACTAAAAATGAGCCTGGTGTTGGTGGCTCTTGCCTATAATCCTAGCTACTCAAGATCAGAGATCAGGAGGAACTCAGTTTGAAGACAGCCTAGAAAAATAGTTCCTAAAACCCTACCACGAAAATATCCAACACAAAACAGGGCTGGCGGACTGGCTCAAGTAGTAGAGCACATGCCTAGCAAGCATGAGGCAAGGCCCTGAGTTCAAACCCCAGTACCACCCAAAATATAAAAAATAAAATAAAAATGACATATCTCCAATTCTTCCATTTAGATAATTTGGGCTTTCTATGGCTACAATGTAAGATTCAAATTAATCAGACTTACCTTATTAGCTTCTATAGTCACTATTCGATTAAGAAATTTCATCATAATTGTTGGTGCCACAGGGTTGAAACTGTAAAAGTTTAGTTAAATGGTTAATTTTAAAATACAACATGTATCTACTCCAACATTATAAGCAGATGTTTCTTTCTTACCTAATGTTTGAGATAGAACACTCTTCTTGAATTTCTTTGGGAAATAGTAACCTATGGCTATTATCTCCATTGACACTGTCAGAGATTATAAATACAAGAGGACATCGGCCAATCTGAACATACCTCCTAAAATAATAAAACATAATAATGTTAAAGTTTAAGTCATTTGCCATTTAATGTGGAGTTTTACTTATTTTCATCAAGATTTTTGGTGCTAGGGATCAAACTTATGACCTTGTACATACTAGTTAAGTGCTCTACCCTAACCTCTAATGTACACTTTTAAAATACTATACTCTAGGGCTAGTGGTGTGGCTCAAGTGCTAGATCCCTACCCAGCAAGAATGAGGCCTTGAGTTCAAACCCCAGGACTTTCCCCACCCCAAAAGGAGATAAAATAATATATTTCACTGATACTTACCTTAGAACTTCATGTAAAGTATAAGAATCTCGATAAAACTGGTTAGGTAAATCCTATTAAGATACAGGATTAAATATTAGTTAAGAAGTATTCCATGGAACATTTATTTTACAATTTATATTTATCAAGGAAAAATTTTATCTATCCAATGTATTTTAAGAACAATTTTCAGAGAAATTAAGAGAAATATGAAACAGCTGAGAGTCTACACAGTAATACACATCAACATAAACCCTAATTTTCACACAAATTTGTAGGGTCATTTTACCAGTTATAGTATTCTCATTGAATATTTCCACAGATTTCCTTTGCCTTTCTATTCTTAAGTCATTATATTTTTAAAGTCTGTATAGCTACTATATTGTTAACCTACAGCTATCCTATTTAAGCTTATTGAAAAAGACTTTGGGCTTCTAATATAACAAAGCCTTTGTGCTCTGCTATCATAAAGCCACTATTAGTACTTTGGAGAAAGTTAATGATAACACATTTCACAACTGCTCATCCACTAGGTATAGCAGGATTTTAAAATGTGTACTTACTTCAACCAGAATTATCTTCTTATCAGTTCTCAGATCATCTCCAAGCATCTGCAGTTTATTATACTTTGTTGCTCTTAGTAGAAACTCTTTGAAAGTTGCTATCTGAGACTGATAGGGAAATATATGGAATCTTGATTCTGAAAGGAATCACATTTACCACTTTTACTTTCAACAAATTATATATACATTGATAATATACATATATATGCAAACATATCACATATAAATTCATTTGAATATATATGATAAAGCTCACAATACTGAAGAATATTTTATAATTGTGAAAACATAAAATTTAAAATAGAATATTTATTTCAAAGGACAATATGTTGTCAATAGCAATTTTTCTATACCAATGAATGCAGCATGGAGTTAACTGACTTTAGCCTGGAGTTAACTGACTTCAGAAAAGATCTGTCAATATATAACGCTCATGTAATTGGTAAAAATATCTATAGAGTTTGGATTATAAAATAAAGACTCTTTGAATGAGTTTGAGGCTACAAATGAATTATCTTCATAATAAAGATTTAACGACATAACAGAATGATTAGTGAACTTAGGAATAAGAAAAAGTTCTCTGAAGACATTTCACATAGAAGACTTTAAATAAAGAGAATTATCAGACTGTAAAAATTACTATCTAGAAAGCAGGAAAAATTTGAAGAACATGGGAAAATAGCAGCATTGTGTATGCCAAAGACACAGTACACACAGACCATATTAAAGACAATCCCAGAGAAAAGACTTTGAGGAACATTCCACATTATAACAAAATTGCTGTTATGTTTCATATATATTTTGAAGTGATTTGATTCTATAGGTATTTACTGATGTAGGCTAACTTATTTTGGAAGGCAAGTTTTTAAGGCTTTATTTATGCTGAAACAGATAAAAAGATCTTATACCATATACCCTCCACAAATACTGAAAACGTAAGAACTTACAAAAATTGCTAATAATTAATTCTCAAATAATCTCATTTTCCTCTACTCAAGACACCATTCCCCTCCTTCTGAAACTGGGAATTATGGGAGAAAAACACGCTTACTCATACAGCTTCATCTGAAAGCTCCATCAAACATAAGTTTTGTAGCAAGTCTTACCAAAACTAAGTATTTCCTTGAAATCATCTTTTTGGAAGTCTTGTAAGACTGGATTAATCCATTCTTGTACTTCAATACCATGTTCCTTTGACAGTATTTTTATAGTTGTTGTTTTTCCACATCCAGGAGGACCTGTTATTAATAAAATAGATCCACCCTAAAACAAAATACAAACAATTAAAAACCAAAATCAGGCTGGTGGAGTGCTTCAAGTGGTACGAGTGCCTACATAGCAAGCATGAGGACCTGAGTTCAAACCCCAGTGCCTCCAAAAACAATACCACTACCATCACCAAAATCATTCTAATGCTATATTATTTTAAAAATTTCATTCAAAGAAAAATGTCTTACACTTACTAACATCATTGCAACTTTTATAAAATAATGATAATATGATTGGTTAAAGTCCAAGCTTCTAAAGTTCTAAAGAAAATACTCCTGGGCTGAGGAAGTAGCTTACTGTTAAAGCGTTTGTTTGCCTAGCATGAATGAGGCCTTGGGTTCAATTCCCAGGACCATAAAAAAGAGAAAAAAAAAAAAAAAAAAAAGAAAGAAAGAAAATACTACCCCCTAATACCTAATATTTATACATATATCTAAGTTTATTAAACTGGTAGAACAACAGTAATAGTTATGCAGGTCTAAGACTTGAGAGGAAGTACATGGAGAGTACTCTAAGACAGTATTGCTGTGAGAAAACATAGTGGGCATGGAAAAATATAAACTATTAGCTGAGGAGAGGAGGTGATCAAAGACAAATTAATGAGAAAACCTTCCATCCTTCCATATAAGAGGTACAAGAAAGAAACTGTCCCCAAATCAATAGTCAGAGAATACAGATGAGAGAGATTTGTATGCGACATCAAAGGAATATTGAGGCAGGCTGACACTGAAAATCTACCTTGAATACATTATGTTAACCCTAAACAGTAGGGAGAGATCTACAGACTGATAGGAAGGAATCAGACTCAAGAAAGAAGGGTGTGCTCCCTTTGAAGCAATTAAAACACCAACTCTTTCATTTCAAAGTTGAAAATTAAATGCAAACAATGGAAGTGGTTGTTAGTGACATGTCAAAGTAGGCCCATCAAAGATGAATAAGTATACCACTATGGTATTGGATATTGATAATGAGGGAGGCTATGTACATTCAGGTGCACAGGGCCGATGGGAAATCTCTGTATCTTCTGCTCTGTTTTGCCAGGAACCTAAAATTGCTCTAAAAAGTAAAGTCTACTACAAAAAAAAAAAATTACAAGGCCTAGCAGCATGGCTCAAGTGATAGAGTGCTTTCCTAGCAAATGTGAGTCCCTGAGTTCAAACTCCAATACCACCAAAAATAAAAATAAATAAATAAAAGACAAGATTGATTTAAAGCTTATCCTACATTTCCACCTGGAACTGTATTTCAAAATAACTTAATAGTCCCATCTAGCAATGACAAACTTTTCTTTTACAGCAAGATCCCTGCTAATTGTAGAAATAACAGAATTATTAGAAAATTGTCATTTCACAACCCTAATTAAATAAGTGATTGAGGCAAGGATTGAAAATGCATGTTAAAACATGTAAATGGGAACTGGGTACTCACATGCTGCCAAAAGATCTCCCCATAGATGCTATGCCAGCAGCAAAGAGGAGGTAACTTATAATGAAGATGTCTGACTATCACCTCCTTAATGTAATGACCAAACTTAGTATCAAAGACAGCAGGAGAAATGCTGAGTATAGTGGTGCATGTCTATAATCCCAGCACTCAGATGGCTGGGGCAAGAAGACCACTTGAGCACAAGAATTTGAGTACAGTCTGGGCAATATAGTGAGACCATGTCTCAAAAGAAAGGGAAAATAAAAGTCAGATTATAGAAAATTCCAATATGTGATAAAGGTTTACCCTCAGTAGGAAGAAACAACGTGACAAATCCAAAACTGGCCTGGCCTTTTTAATTAAGTCAATGTCTTGGGGGAAAAAAAAAAAAAAGAGAGAGAGGTTAGAAGAGAATGTTATTAGATTAAAAACAAGCAAAAAAGAAAGAAAGAAAGTGCAATTCTTTTTTAGATTTTAGCTGAAACAAGCTAGCTGCAAAAGACGTTTTTGGGGACAAGAAAAATGTGCATGTGAACTGGTCATTAGATAACATTACCGCATTATAGTTAATTTTGTTAGCAGAATAATGGTATATATAGTTAATAAGGAAAAGAAATTTTCAAAAGAAGCATACTGAAGTATCTCAGTCTGACTGAAATGTCATGATGTTTATAATTTATTACAAAATACTTCAGGGGGAAAATGATGCGCATATTATGGACATATGAGAGTTTCCATAATTTTATTTTCCTTTATGTTTGAAGAATCTCAAAATAAAGTCTAAGACGAGGATCAATAGGAGAGAATATTCTATCTTTTGGGGAGCGAGCTGAGGATAACTGTGGGATTAGGAAGTGAAACAAAAACCACTAGCTTAAAATGAACTGTTTTAGGCTATATTTAATATAAAAACTAGTATGTAATTTGCCTAACTTGCTTCAGTGTGAGATAATCTGATGTGCTAAAAATACTAGTTGGTTTACTGTGCACATTATGGTTATAAAAAGGAAAGAAAGGGACAAACTCCAAGTCTCTGGGTCTTTTTGTGATTGGATACAGTAAGGTCAGGGACCTTTCTAGTGGAAGTGATCTAGACTTATCTGAACAAAGTTATCATAAAAGAGTAACTTTTCTAGCTGGGTTTTGGTAGTTCATGCCTAAAAGCCTAGCAATCCAGAGGCAGAGATCAGGGGGATCAGGGTGCGAAGCCAGCCCAGGCAAATAAGTTTTCACTATCCTATCTTGAAAATACTCAACACAAAAAAGGACTGGAAGAGTGGCTGAAGTAGTAGAGTGCCTGCCAAGTAAGCATGAGGCCCTGCATTCAAACCCCAGTACTGCCAAAAAAGATAAAATAAATAACAAAAAGGTTAACTTATCACAATTTATTGTAAGTCATAGAAACATTTGATATTAAACATGTTAAAACACATTTCTTACTTAATTACCTGTTTTGGCTGCCTTTCCAAAACTTCAGCTTTTAACCAGGTTTCAACTTCTTCAATTTTCTTCTTATGTACAGCAAGCTCATGCTAAGATAAAAATTTGAGGTTTAAAATGAAACATTTCAACTTGAACTTCATAGGGTTCATCAGCCCTATTAAGCTAAATATTTTCAGTGGAAAAAAAAATGCCAGGCTGGAGGAGTGGCTCAAGTGGTAGAACACCTTCCTAGCAACCACAAAGCCCTGAGTTTAAACCCCAGTACTGCCAAAAAAAAGAAAAAAACCCCAAAACATTCTTTTGATTATACTTGCATTTTTATATTGTTACAAGGAAAACTCTATTGTTATGTTGTTATTACTGTATGGTAATGTTGGGTAAGACTGTAGTTATAAAACTTCTTAAAATTCAGAAATGTTTTTAAAGGAATAAAAAGGGTTATTACAATTTAGTAAAATTAAATAATGAAATTAATTCCAGGATGGGGTTAAATAAATCTAAGATAAAGAACAAATGGTACAATTTCTGAATATCTTAATAAAAGCAACCTTACTACATAAAAAATATATAAACTATTGGCTTTTTTCCCTACTTCACAAAATGGACATCCCTCTCTTTCCCATCCATCCTCATCTACTTCCAAGTTAAATTATGTAGACATGCTTATATGATAGTTAGTACCTGAGTTTCTGGTTTATATTTATCCACCCATGGTTCATTTTCAGACAGACAGTCTTTTGAATTTTCTAGTCCAGAAATCTGTTCTAAAGAGGATAGCTTTCCTTTTTTTGTAGCTGGAAATCTGCTTTCTAATGCTGAAGGCACATTTTTTCTTCTATGACTTGAATTATTAACACCTAAAGATTCTTCAGTAATAGTAGAGACGGCTGTATTCTCTGGAAAATCATCAAATGATGGGTCTACCCAGTCTGTTATCTGAAAGAAAGAAACTACGTAAATATTATTTTTTTTTACATCAGAGTAGCTGAACTACTCTAGAAGAAAATGTTCATATAACTTAAAAATAAAAAAACTCACAAATTAATCTTTGTTTACTTTTTTAGGTTTTTTGACAAGGTTTCACTACGTAGCCCAGGCTGGCCTCAAGCTCACAATCATCCTGCCTCAGTGCTGGGATTACGGGTTGACATCACCACACCCACCACCTTTTTATTTTATTTATTTTTTTAAAGACAAGGTCTTGCTATGTAACCTAGGCTGACCTCAAAGTTGAGATCCTCCTGTATTGGCCTCCTGAGTGCTGGGACCAAATTAGTTCTTTAAATAGAACTGGTTCTCCACTCTTGGGGATATATCCAAAAGACTGTGACACAGGTTACTCCAGAGGCACCTGCACATCCATGTTTATTGCGGCACTATTCACAATAGCCAAGTTATGGAAACAGCCAAGATGCCCCACCACTGACGAATGGATTAAGAAAATGTAGTATCTATACACAATGGAATTTTTATGCAGCCATGAAAAAGAACGAATGTTATCATTTGCCGGTAAATGGATGGAATTGGAGAACATCATTCTGAGTGAGGTTTAGCGCTGGCCCAAAAGACCAAAAATCGTATGTTCTCCCTCATATGTGGGACATTAGATCAAGGGCAAACACAACAATGGGATGGACTTTGAGCACATGATAAAAGCGAGGCACACAAGGAAGGGGTAGGATAGGTAAAGACACCTAAAAAATTAGCTAGCATTTGTTGCCCTTAATCGCAGAGAAACTAAAGCAGATACTTAAAAGCAACTAGGCCAATAGGAAAGGGGACTAGGAACTAAGAAAAGGTTAGATCAAAAAGAATTAACCTAGGAGGTAACACACACCACAGGAAATTAAATGTGAGTCCAACTCCTGTATAGCTATCCTTATCTCAAACCAGCAAAAAACCTTCTTGTTCCTTCTATTATTGCTTATACTTCTCTCTAAACAAAATTAGAAATAAGGGCAAAATAGTTTCTGCTGGGTACTGAGGGGGTGGGGGGGAGAGGGAGGGGGCAGAGTGGGTGGTAAGGGAGGGGGTGGGGGCAGGGGGGAGAAATGACCCAAGCCTTGTATGCACATATGAATAATAAAATAATAATAAATAAATAAACAGAACTGGTTCTATATGTTACTAATTATTTTTCTACTTTACAGTAAGTGCACAATTTGCATACTTGTCTACTGGCCCATGGTAATGATGAATGCCATATAAAAGAGTAAGAACAAAAACTCAATTCTTTCTATTAACTATAATCTTCCCAGGGCAAGGAATAGTATTTTTCTTTTTAACTCTTAGTACATCTGAAACATAAATATTAAAATTACCTACTTAAGAAAACATTGTGTGATTCTCGGTGCCAGGGCTCAGGCGTGAAATCCTAGTTACTTGAGAAGCAGAAATCAGGAGGATTGAGGTTTGAGGCCAGCCCAGTCAAAAAGCAAGACCCTAGCTACAAATACCCAACACAAGCAAGGGCTGGTAGATTGGCGTGCACAAGTTGTAGAGCACCTGCTTAGCAAAGGTGAGGCCCTAAATTCAAACCCCAGCGCACCAAAAAAAAAAAAACATGTGCAAAGTTCTGAGTTCAAGCCTCACCACTAAAAAGAAGGGGAAAAAAAGTTAGAACAAAATAAATGTTATTTTAACCACATGTAGCAGTAAGAAGAGCAACACTTCTGTGGTGGCCAAGTTAATAAAATAAGAAACTAAGAACAATTTCATATATATTCACAAATAATTCATATCGGCTTTAAGACCTGCTAAAGTAAAGGTGAAAAATCTTAATGCTGTAACCAGTAATTATGACTGCACTATTATTTTCTTCAGTGCATGAAACAACTAGTATTTTTATACTTGATCTTAACCAAAATGCCAAGAAGTGATGGAATTAATATTTTTATAAGTGAAATGAGACTTGTGATGGAGAAATGTCTAGGAAAAGAAGACTGGACAACAAAACAGGAAAGTCAATGAGCTCTATTTCACTTCTTTTGCTCTGTAGAAAACACTGCCCAGTCAGGTACCGGTGACTCATGCCTATAATCCTAGCTACTTAAAAGGCAGAGATCAGGATGGATCCTAGTTCGAGCCAACCGGGGCAAATAGTTCGAGAATCTCGAAAAACTCAACACAAAAACAGGCTGGTGTAGTGGTTCAAGGTGCAGGGCCCAAGTTCAAGCCCCAGCACCTCAAAAGAAAAAAGCAAACACTGATTAATCCATAGTTCCCTCTTATCGTTTCCTCTCTTTAAATCCTTTGTAAATGCATATAACAATCCTGAATTGAGCAATTTTAACCTAAACTATACTTAGCATTAAAAAGGTTTTTCTTAATTAGAAATTGAAAAAATACATTTTCTTAACACTCTAGCATAAATCTAGAAAATTCTAGCTTTGCACCTGGCGTTTGAATTTCCTCCTTGGCTAACAAGGACAAACCAAGAATGCTTAACTTGGGCTACAGGTATAGCTCAGTGGTAGAGCACTTGTCTAAGCCCTGAGTTCAATTCCCAGGAATGCAAGGAGCGGGGTGAGAGGGGGAGGGATGAGAATTCAACTACAGTTATGAGGTATTTGTTAGATAATGCTCCTGTCTGGAAGAAAAAGAATTAAAAGCTGGAGGTGAGAGTAGTCAGGGGAAGCAATCTGGGCTGATAAGTATTCTATCAATGGTAAGTCACACTTCACTTTTAAGACAGGGCTAAAAGGGTAAAGAAAGAAGTCATTGGAGCTGGTGGAGTGGCTCAAGTGGCAGAGCATCTGCATAGAAAGACTGAGGGCCTTAGTTCAAACCACAGTACCACCACCAACAAAAAAAAATAAGTCATTGGAAAACTGTTTTTTCAGAGCCACCTGATTCATTTCATCTTTGTCAACGTTACTATGATTTTTGCCTTTTTTCTATATTTAATAGTACATGAAGATTTTTTTGTTATAGTAAACCTTTTGATAGCAATTCTCATTTGTATGTTATTCATACATTTTACATGTAAATTACATAAATGTAGACTCACAGCTCCTGAAAGAAAAACAAAATTAAATAATTTACTTGAGATCTGAGAAAAAGTAGAGTCACCAGTAGGCAATAGCTACTTTGCATGAGAATGATACTCTCTGACCCCATCACATTCCAATCCCATCCTGAGAACTGACACACTGAACAACAGGCCTTCTAAGAGGTAGGACCTGTGATTAAGCTACAACTGACATCTTTCTCTTTTTTCTATTTTTTTTTTCATTCAAAAATGTTCAGCCTTTTCTTTGAGTGGGGTTATAAACATTATTTCAAAATTAAGGCTGTGGTTGTGGTTATTTTGTACCAGCTTTGCAAACTTTAGGTCACTAATTACAATAGATACCGGACACTATTGCTTTGATAGCAATGATAAGCCACTAAAAACACACACAAAAATTTACAATTCTTTTTAGGCAATTATTATTTGGGCATTTCAGTGCATCATACCTTTGTGGAAGATACCTTTGGTCTAAGAAAAGTTTTTGACATTATAGACTTTAATAGTTTCCATCCGTAGTACACAACCTGCAGTACATTAAAGTATAATTCACCTGGGGAGGAGGGGGAAGAAAAACACCTCCAATTAAAAACTGTAAGTTCAGAATTACAGTTATTGGTATATACTGACATAATCAACAACATAATAAAGGCTCAACATTACTGACAGAAAACATAGTAAACATAGGAGAACAAATCAAAATAAGACATTTTTTACTTTTATTGATTACAACCTTATCAAATAACGTATCTGTGGTGGCATAAATGGAAAACTTTTCACATGAACTCAACGTATTAAGAGAAAACAAAGCCATATATTTGTGTACTTACCTTCTGTCATAAAGAAAAATAGGGAAAAATATAATTTCAGCAGTTTTCATGCTTATAATTAAAGTATCTTTTTTCAAATTACAGTCGCAAATTAGCTTTTCAATTCCAAATTAAAAAAAAAATTACAATGAAATCAGACTTATCAGTAACTTTGAACAAAGAATTTAAATTCTACCTCAATAAATCTTTCCTATAATTGCCTTCCTAATTTGAACATCTAATTAGACAACTTCATGGCAACATTATGTTCTTCAACTTTCAATATTCTTAAATGTTTCTGCAAACTGGTGAATTCAATAACGTTAAATTAGCCACAAGTTTTTTAAGCCTACAAACCCATATATTGGAAGCGGCAACCACTATTTCAGAGTTTGTAGGTACACACACAAGTCTATAGAGCAAACACTCCCACACAACTGAAAACAAATCCTTCACCTCTCACCTACAAAATAGTTCACGATAAGAGATTTTGAGATTTCAAACAGGTACAGAGAAAGAAAAAAAAAAAACAAAACCTATCTACTTGAGTAAATATAGTTGGCAGGTCGCAGTAAAAGACGCTCACTCTTGCTAAGGTCAAGACTCCAGTCACTCACTGAAAACAAGACTGACAACCACCTCCTTTAAAAACGAGATAACTATCTCTGATAATATCAGGCTCCTGAACTAAGATGTCAGAGATAGAAGACACCTTCAAGACTATTTATAGCAGACCCGCCACCACCCCACCTTGCGCAGGGGACACTAAGCTCAGACATTCGTTCAAGGTAGCCCTGCCATCTGCCGGGAGCCTGGTTAAGTTCGCAAGTCTGACTCAGAACGAGGCTCTGCACCCCCGTCCTTCTCATCTCTAGATGTGATGGGCGGGTCAGGAGGAGGAGGGACGAGGGCCCGGGAAGGCATAAGGTTGAGGTGCCCTCGCGTCCGTAAGACATGTAATACAAATACAGCCGCTGCCGCGTCGGCCTTACTTTCCAGGAGCTGCATCCCCTCGTGGGCGGAGTGGAGCGGTGGAGCCCAGGCTCTACTCCTGGTGGAAGAAGAGCCACCTTGCCCTTTCCCGGCTCAGCTCCTAGCCTCCGGGAGGTCCAGCCTCCTTGGGGTCCTTCCAGATCTGCCGGCGCTTCCGCGACGCAGCCGAAGGGAGGGGACGCCAGAGGAGTGTCCGACTTAGGCGTCCATCCTACTGCCTGACCCCAAGTACGGATAAGAACTGTGCCCCTAGTTTCCACTATGCGATGGAAGCGTGTAATAGAAGGCCAAGTAAACAACAGATAGTGACTGGGCATCGGAGGTGGGTCGGCAGCGCGGCGACGGTCTCGAGGACCTGGGCGGGCGGCTGGCGCTTGCAGCGGCCCGCCGCTTCCGGCTCCTCCCTGGAGTGCTTTAGGCGCGTGAGCTGAGCGCCGGGAGCCGTGGCTGTGTGAGGAGTATGCAGCGCCCCAACATCCTGCTCACGGGTTAGGTCGCGCGGCGGGGGTGGCGAGGGCTGGGCGGCGGGGACGCCTAGTGCTCTGGGGATTTGGGCGCCCTGGTGGGGGCCACTCAGTGTTCTGTTTCGGGGTAGCCGAGGCCGCGTGGCGTTGTCGGGGCCTCAGGACCCGGTCCTCGCGACCGTTGGGGGAGCGGCGGGGGGAGGGGACGCGGAGCGTTAGTTTCGTTGGCTGTGCTCCTGGGTGAAGGGCCAAGGCAGCCACGTCCAGCTCCGGTGTCTAGCAAGCTGCTTAATCTGTGTGAGTATGGTTTTTGCGTGGAAATGGGCTTGTTTTTTTAAACAGTGGTGCTGTAAGGAAGTACCTGGCTCTCGTAGTCCTATCAATGGTGGATTCCTCTCTTCTTAGCCTTCCTCGGTCGTCTTGTACATTTTTCCTTTGCGTCTGGGAAACACTTCAGATTTTGGAAATGAGATGTTTGCGGCGAGGCGTGACTGACTTACAGTGTACGTTCGTTAAGTTAGCATCGGGCTTTTAAAGCTTTTTAGTGCCAAGAAGACATTTTAGCGTTTCTCCTGTTTTCTAGCGTGGGACGCTTTGCAGATCCTGGGCTGATGCGGAGGCTTCAGGTTTTTTGGAGCCATTCTCAGTTTGCGTGTTATCACTAAAGAGAACTAAAGTGCTGCACGATGACTCGAAATTACAGTATTGCTAATGTTTTCACTCGGAAGGTATTTACCATTCGAGCAAAACTCTAATGGGTTGTAGACGCTTTGCCAACATACGGGAAAATACTCTACGGAAACAAAAGCGATAGTTTTATCAATTAACAAAACATAAGCTTGTGGGCTGACCGGGAATCTTTTCTGTTTCTAGGTGCCTCAGATACATCACTCAACAAATAACTGTTAAGATTCCTTAAGGGGAAGATTCTGTATCTGATTTGCCTGGGTCAGACATAGTGCCTTTTGGGTTTTTTTTTCTTTTGTTTTTTGGTGTTACTTGGGTCTTGGGTTTGAATTCTGGGCCTCGTAGGCAGGCGCTTTGCCATTTGAGCTTTTTTTAAACATTGAACCATTTGTAAAAGAATCTGGAGTAAAGGCTCAAGTGGTGGGGCCAAGTGAAGGACCAGTGCCACTCCCATCCCCACCAAAAAAAATCTAGAGAGCATTTTATTGGAAACATTTTAAGTCCAGGGTTTAGACTTAGTGTGTTATAGTGGATTTCAGGTAAATGTTGATTTGCATATGGAGAATTAATAATTTCAGTGGAATTAAACCTGAAAAGCTGAAAATTACACATTTGGTTATTTTGAAATGTAATTGTATTGTGTGAAAAAGGGGGAAGGTAAAGAACAACACATAGTATTGCCATTTATCCAAAAGGGAATATGTGTTACATGTGTGCATATAAACGATATGTGTGTATATGCACAGTATAGTGATAACAGTACTGTACTTTATACATTTATCATTGTGTATACACAAACACGTGCATAAGACTTTTGGAAAGACATGTAGGAAACTGGTTTAGAGTGGTTCCCCTTATGGAAGGATATAGGGAGGGTGTGGAATGGGGGCAGTAGTGGTAATGGGATAATATTTCAGATTGCTTAAATTTCTTTTCCCTTTGGTGATGCCAGACAAGCTCTCTACCACTGAGCTACATCCCCAGCCTTCAGGCTGCTTTATGATTTTTATTATTACTTTTTTTTTTTTTTTTTGCCATGAACAATTATCTTTTAATTAATGAAATAAATGATGGTAGTTGATTTGAGATGGCTAATTCTATTTTGGGCAGTTCCATGTTGGTGGCAGGCAGAACTGACATCAAAATTACCTGAGCCTCCATCCCTGGAGAATCACATACAGAATGAGGTTCTGACACCTAGTCATCTCTGGGAAATTTTGATTAGGTCATAGGGTATATTCATGTATCATTGCTAACTAGGAAAATTTTCCTATCAACTGTTAAGAATCTTAAGGGCAGAAAGTCTAGTATTTCATGAACTAGTAAGTAGTATTTCATGAACTGTGTTTTTCTGTGGCTTATCTTACAGGTACACCAGGGGTTGGAAAAACCACACTGGGCAAAGAACTTGCCTCAAGATCAGGACTGAAGTACATTAATGTTGGTGATTTAGCTCGAGAAGGTAAGGGATTTAAAAAAAATTTTTTAAGTGGATAGTTGAAGTATTAGTGCTAGTGGATATTGTCATGGAGTACACATAGCAGAAGAAATTGGTGTAAGGACTTTATTCTCTGGTTATGTTAACCATTTTTCTTTCCCTGCCCCAAAAGAGCTAGAATTTCTTGTGAACAGAAATAACTGGGAAAAACTCATGAAGAGATTGGGTAGATCAAATCTGAATATGAGGAAGAGAACATTTTGAGTTGGACAGACACAAAAGTTCGGGTGGTACTGAGTATATGTATGAGACAGTGAGTGTATTAATTTTATTGGAAGGGCAGATTATTTTAAACTCAGGTAATAGGATATGATTGTCCTATGATGTAGTATTTAGATCAGCTTGATAGTTGCATGCCCATGTGCAACTGCATACATTAAGTGATTCATGTTTTTATTTTACCCTGTTTTCCCCTAATTTTTTATTGCTCATTTGTGTCTTCACCTTCCTAAATTCTACAATTTATAGAGTAGGAACTCAATACATTTAAGCAAAGGGAACTTTTAAGTATGTCTCATTAAAATTAAAAAGCTGTAACATGTTTTAAATTTTAGATACATTTTTAATTTTTTAACATTAAAAAATAATTTAAATTCCTAACAGTTGCTGCTAAAGTAACTATTTCGGTTTGATCTAATGTACGTATTTTTTTTAAATGACCTAAAGTCTGATCACCGGATATCATGGAGTCTGGCAAGATGGCTTCTCCCAAGAGCATGCCGAAAGATGCACAGATGATGGCACAAATCCTGAAGGATATGGGGATTACAGAATATGAGCCAAGAGTTATAAATCAGATGTTGGAGTTTGCATTCCGATATGTGACCACAATTCTAGATGATGCTAAAATTTATTCGAGCCATGCTAAAAAAGCCACTGTTGATGCAGATGATGTGCGATTGGCAATCCAGTGTCGCGCTGACCAGTCTTTCACCTCTCCGCCCCCAAGAGATTTTTTGTTAGATATTGCAAGGCAAAGAAATCAGACCCCTTTGCCATTGATTAAGCCATATTCAGGTCCTAGATTGCCACCTGATAGATACTGCTTAACAGCTCCAAACTATAGGCTTAAGTCTTTACAAAAAAAAGCATCTACTACTGCAGGAAGAATAACTGTTCCACGGTTAAGTGTTGGTTCAGTTACTAGCAGACCAAGTACTCCCACATTGGGCACACCAACCCCACAAACCATGTCTGTTTCAACTAAAGTAGGGACTCCAATGTCCCTCACAGGGCAAAGGTTTACAGTTCAGATGCCTGCTTCTCAGTCCCCTGCTGTAAAAGCATCAATTCCTGCAACATCAGCAGTTCAAAATGTTCTGATTAATCCGTCATTAATTGGGTCCAAAAATATCCTTATTACCACTAATATGGTATCACAAAATACAACCAATGAATCATCAAATGCATTGAAAAGAAAACGTGAAGATGATGATGATGATGATGATGACGATGACTATGATAATTTGTAATTAGCATTGATGCATGTAACGTGTATACTTGGTCTTGAATCCAATGTACTGAAACAAGCATGCTGGATGTTTTCAAGTTGTATTTTAGAAAGCTTAAATAGTATTTAATGACTACAGTTACTATACTTTTCAGTTGAAGTGTTCAATTTTCTTTCATAGGACTGATTAGTAATGATTTTTCATCAGCCTTTATATGTAAAAAATAAAGTTGTTATTTATCAGTTTGATTGTTGGCAGTTATGTTTTTAAAAGCGATTTCTCCCTCATCACCAGAATGAATAAAGGTTGCAATGATGTGAAGTTGTTACAGGTATCACTGTTAAAACTACTGTCACCCTTATGTCTTCAGATGTTTAGTCATATGGTATGTTTTCTCAGATTGCTGAAGTATTTACCTATGATTCCTATTTGGAGAGACTACTTGGTCAGGATTTTTATTCATACGAATCCTCATCTGCTTGGATTTATCTTCAGTGAGCCAACTTCCTAGGTCCTTTTGGACATATGTGTGTGTGTGTATATGTATAATCCATGTCCTTGGTTTTATATGTATATAAGTATTTGTCAGTACTGGGGTTTGATCTCAGGGCTTAACGCTTGCTTGAGCCTCCGTGATTGTTTAAGGACTGGTGGTACCTTCCAGTTTCCTCTCTACTTTCTAAAAGAAGATTTTTTTTTTTCCCAGTATCCCTTTTTGCAACTTCAGCATTTTTGTCATTTCTGATACTGTAAGCTGGTAACTTACACATTTTTAATCCAGGTCTGGCATCTAGGTTATATTATCTGAAATTTGGATCAAAACATTGGTAGCTATTCTCTATGTTAGTTTATTTTGGTGCTGGTGATTGAACCTAGCCAGGGCCTTGTGGATGCTAAAAACAAGGTCTGCCACTGAGCTACAGCTGCTCATTCTCCATTTTACACCTATGTGAAGTCTGATTTTGTTCTTCACAAAGGAACTTTTATTCACGTATTCTAGTTTTGTTCTTTTAATACTCTTAAAGTTAGTGAAGTTGCTATATGATATGAATAGTATTGAGAGAGCGAGGTGCTGGTGGCTCACGCCTATAATCCTAGCTACTCAGGAGGATCACAGTTCAAAGCCAGCCCGGGCAAATAGTTTGTGAGACCCTATGTCCGGGGTAAAAAAAAAAAAATCAGCAAAGAAAAGGGTTGGCAGAGTGGTTCAAATGGTAGAGTACCTGCCTAGCAAGCGTGAGGCCCTGATTTCAAACTGGCTACCATAATAAATAGGTAGGTAGATAGATAATAGATGATGGAAAGAATCAAGAGGAATGGTAACACCAGACAGTCCCATATGAGTCTTGCCTTCCTCTTCACCAGTTCCTCTCTCACCCATACTTACTGTTTTAGCCAGTTGTGTTTAGCCCAACCATCCTCTTTTATTTATTAGTGAAGTTACTTGAAATGAGATCTGAGTCTTAAAGAAAAAGTTATTTTTTTTCTTTCTGCTGTAAGGTCAGATAAAGGATTTCTGGTCTGACTTGACATGATGTTAGGTGAGGTACTTTTTCTTAGGATGTACCAGATTTTTTTCCCCTTGGTGTTGAATGAATATGTTTGAAAATCTTAACAAGAAAGTGTTATGAGGCAATTGGCCTCATTTTTATTTGTTTTTATTTATTTTTATACTGGGGCTCAAACTCAGCACATTAGGCAAGTTTTTTTTCCCCCTTTTTTTTTTTTTTTGGAGGGGGACAAAGTTTTTGTTTTTTATAAAGTGGTATTTTGGTTATCACAATTGTGTAATGAGCAGATTGAGTTTGCTTCTTAATTGAGTGGCTAGAAGCCAGGGATTATGCCAAACATTCTACAATTCATAGGATAGTCCCAGCCCCACGTTTCTCAAGGGAGTTCATTGACATTCTAGTCAACTTGAATTGCTACGTAACTTGTAAGAGATCACTCTTACTCCACTAAGAAAATATGGTGGGGAGTTAAGCTTAGGAAAACTATTGGAAGTCCTGAATGTGTTAACCATAAAAATGCTTTTTCTTTTTTTGAGAAATAGTCTCACTTTGTTGCTCAGGTTGGCCTTAAACTCCTAAGCTTAAGCCATACTCCGGCCTCAGCCTCTCCAGAGAAGCAGGGATAACTGAGGACACTTCTATTATTCTGTTCTCTCAGTCTCAGAATTCCTCCTGACTTGATATCCTTTCCTTTATGCAATCCTTTTAGCCTTAACTAATTAATCCTTAATTTTCCTGCCACCAGGAAAATTAGCCTGATAAAGGCTAACCCTAGGGTACATACAGCTTTACATAAAGTAAATATAGTGGCATTAGATCATTTCAAATAGAAGTTGTAAAATAGCTTGGTCCTTGCATACGTACTAAACGTATGCTCTACCACTGAGTTATAACCTCACCTCCAACACTTACTACCTTGATGTCCCTCTAACCCCGGAGTTGGGAAGCTTCTGCTGTATTTGTATGACCCATGAGCCATGGATGGAGTTGCAAAGCCTCAAATACTGATTGCTCTGTGAATTCAAGCAACCATTCTGCCCCTCCCACTAATGATCCTATTCACTAGTCACTCCCTTGTGCCAATGACTTGAATTTATAATTAAAATAGCCCAATTTCTAGATACCTACTAGACACAAACATCTGGACAGTTCCTAGACACACATCTCCAACTTAATATGTTTAAAGTATATGCCCTGAAGTCATCCTTGACTCTGCCGATTCCTGATTCCAGATTTCCAAGCATATATGTTCATTCTGTGTACACAGATCCACCTAGCTCCTAAATCCTGGTAGTATCTACAAAACATTCTTAGCTCTGTTCCATCTCTGTGATAACTTGTACTGTGCCTAGAGTCTTTTCAATTTCTTTAGTATCTCTTTCCTCCTTTTTATTACTTGGTTTGAAGAAGGGAAAGGGAATCACATGATTTAAACCTTTTACTTACTTGACCCATAAACTGTACCTGCACTTTCTCTTATTTTCCTTCATTGTACTTACAGTATGTTACTATTCACAAATATGCTGGGAACTTGTGCATAGATATCTTTACACATGCTGTTTACCAGTAAATGCCATCATCTGCCTTAACAAACAACAACTTGAGGGCCCAACTCAGATGTCCTCTCTTTAGTGTAGCTGCTCTAAGCAGAATTGTTCTTTTCTCCCTACATAAAATACCAGGTATTTTCAAAGCACTCAATCCCTCTAAACTAATCACTAACTTGTAGGGATTATATAGCAGTTAAAAGGTTTTTGTTGGGTTGTAAATGTTGTGTTTCCAAGGAAAGAAAATCTGAAAATGTTTTAGGTATTGGAAGCAGCATCAAAATAAATACCTCGTATGCCAATATGATTGTGGTAGCTTCCTTTTTCATGTTCAGTAGGATGGCAGGTAAAATAGCATGCGTTTATAGTTTGACTAACAACAGCTAGGGAGATGTTTTAAGTAAGAATTATCCTCCTAACTCTGGTTCCACAAGTTGATTTTTTTCCTACAGGAACTATATGTTTTATTTGCGTTTTCCTTAAATAAACCATAAAACTTTGTTTAGGGAAACTGACTTAATGTTCTAATCTTTCCATCATTTAATCAAATCAAGCCTTTTAATCTTTGTAAGATCTTTTTACAATCTTTGTAAGATCTTACGTATAAACAACTGTAAATTTGACTTCTAGTTTATACTTTCTAGGAGAGTAGCAAGTTTTTCCTCCTTTGAAATCTGAAGTGAAATTTAAAATCCATTTCCATCCTCCAGTCACTACTGTGGTACAGGTTGTAATCATTCATCCAAACTCTGAGGTAGTGTTGTTAAAGGTGTCCCTGCTGATTCTGGAATTGTTTCTTTCCAACTCATTCTCTACCCAGAAACTAATACGATTTTAAAAAATTTGAAGTTGAGAACTAAAAAGTGTGGCTCAAGTGGTAGAGTACCTGCTTTGCAAGTGTTAAACCCTGACTTCAAACTCCAGGCCTACCAAGAAAAGCTTGAAGTTTGATATTGTTTCATGCGTCAAACGTTTTACTGATCGTCCTTTGCCTTAGGATAAAGTCTAAACTCCTTAATGCAGACTTGAAAACCCTTTTTCTGTTTCGTTTTGTGTGATTGGGGTTTGAACCCAAGACTTAATGTTTGCAAAGCAGGCACTCTATCACTTGAGCCACACCTCCAGTTTTGAAATCCCTTTTTAATCTGGCCTTGGTTTACTTGACAACTTGTACCTATTAACCCTCTAGTTCTGAGAGTCTTCCTTATTTGAAAAGACCTGCTGTCCCTGCCCCTCCTGCACTCCCTCACCATCCTACGCTCCCGTTAACTGCCCGTGCTGCGGCCCCCACAGCACCATGAGCCGTGATGTTAAAGATAGTAGCATTTCCAAGCGCCTTGCCTCTCCTCTCCCATTTTATTTCTTCATCATCCGTCCCTTCAGTCACTAGTATATGGTATTTAAGAAAAGTTTTTTGAAATGAATGTTTAAAAGTTTGAATTCATTTATTGATTGAAGAAATTTGGCATTTCAGCCAGGCACGGATGGCTCAAACCTATAATCCCTAGCTACTCAAGATGCAGAGATTATGATTGCCGTTCCAAGCCAGCCAGGCAAATAGTTCTCAAGATCTTATCTCGAAACTGCCTAACACAATAAAGGGTTAGGGGAGCGACACAAGTGTAGAGAGCCTGCCTTGCAAGCGTGAGGTCCTGAGTTCAAACTCTGGTATCACCAAGAAAAATATTCTGTATTTCATAGTTTTAGTTTAAAGACTACTAAAAATGTTGCTGTAGATGTCTATTTTAGCATATTTTCTTAAAGATTTTGGTAGTGTTAGAGTGAAGGAATTAAAATATGAAGGAACCTCAGCATTTATTACTATTACTTCAAAGAAAAGGATCAGCCATAGGTATTCTTAGATTTTGTGGTATTGTAGGAAAAGAAAATACAATTGGTATTTTGGTCCTTTTATTTGAGGGTTTTATACCCAAGCACTCAGTCAGCTGGATCTGAAATGTTTTGTAAAAAAAAAAAAAAAAAAAGCACAGAGGCATGTACCTGTGATACTGGATTGTTGATCCTGAGTTTGTGTATGGGCACATTGATGATTAAAGGCGCCAGACCAGGAGTTAAGAGTAAAGAAAGCGCAGAGTTTACTGACAGGATAACAGGTCCTGCATGGATGGCAGGGGCTTTGAAAAGTTAAAGCCGTAGTAGAGCTGAAGTCTAGGAGTGATATAGGGCACTAACTAGCTTAGGGCCACCTATTCTCCCTTCAAATTTTTTGATTGGTTGGTGCTGAGTCAGCTTCTCACTGAACTCAGCCACCTGTCCGTCCTTTTCCTTATTAAATTGAGCGTTCCAAGGAGGTCTGGTCAACTTGTCTCGGCCTTGAACGTCTGCTCAATTCATCCTGCTGTGGAACCCACTACCCACACTGTGCAGCTGCATTCTGTTACTTTGGTGAGAGAGAAGCCTGTTGTTTCTCATGCCTTTTTACATGTCTGCTTATAAAGTGCCTCTTTCTCGTCCAAAATGGAGTCACCTCTGTCATTGTTCCTCTTACACCTATACTCACAGCTAGTCAGGAAGCTGAGGCAGATTGATCACTTGCACAGGAGTTTCCACACCAGCCTGGACAACAAAGTGAAACACCATCTCAAATTCAAAAGCAATTTCATCTGTACTGAACATACATTATTATCATTATTTCCTAAACTATATAGTAAAATAACCATTTGTGTTGTATTATTGTAGGAACCTAGGTTGTGAGTAGTTTATATGCAGATTTGAGCATGGGAGTATTCTGGAACAAACCCCTATGGATATCAAGGTGTGACTAATGTAATACATGAAAAAATACCCAAAACCACACTGTTAATTTCACCTTTCCTTTTTCTTTTGTGCCTGTTGCAGACAATTGAACACTGTGTACACTTACCATATTGCTACCTAGTCTGTACTACATAGTCTTATTTACTTCACTTTAAATGTAAAATACAAAATTTTGGTTAAGCCAAGATTTAAACACTTACTGTTGAACTTTTTTTATTTTAAATTAATATGACATACTAGCAGGTTCATTTTAGTTTGCATCTCTTTAATCGCTAGAAAAGTCTTGACATTTTTTCTTGTGTTTACCAGCTGTCTTTGCTACTTTTTTATCCTGTGAGGTTTTTTTTTTTTAGGTACTGAGATTGGAACTCAGGGCTTACACCTTGAGCCACTCCACTAGCCTTTTGAGAACCGGGCTGACTTCAAACTGCCATCCTCCTGATCTCTACCTCCTAAGTAGCTAGGTTTACAGGCATGAGCCACCGGTACCTGGCCCTATCCTGTGAGAATTTTTTAATAGTATTTCTTTTTTTTTAAGTGGTACTGGCTTTTGACCTCAGAGGGCTTCTCCTTGCTTGCTAGGTTGGTGTTCTATCACTTGGGCCTCTCCTCCAGCTTTTTATTTTGAGTTTTAAGGTCTTTACATATCTACATTTCATTCTTTTGTCATATTATAGATATTTCTTCCAGTATGTAGGGTTTTTAAGTTTTATCAGTTTTCATTGAACAGTTTACATTTTATGTAATTAAATCAATCTTTTTTATTTGTCAAATTAAAATGAATCATTAGTTTGTAGCATAAAGTGAAGATTATATTGTTTTGTAAATTATTAACTAGTTTTCAGCTGATAAGAGTTTCTGAACAACAGGCTGCAGAAGCACTAATGTGCTGGAGAGGTGGCAGGTGTGCCCAGAAATCGGCCCACAAGGCCCTTCAGGCAAGACAGTTAAAAAACTGTTTCTTATTCAGAGTACCCCTTTGTTACTTCAGAATTCATGCTCATTTCCTAATTTAAAGCAGTAACAAAATGTTAAGTGTGGTTGGGTATGGTGTCACATGCTTGTAATACAAGATTTGGGAGGTAGAGGCATTAAGCTCTCAAGTTTGAGACCAGCCAGGGCAAAAGTTAGTGAGACACTATCTCAAAAAACAAAATACTGGGTTCAGTGGTAGAGGACTTGCCTAATGCGAGCAATGCCTTGGGTTTAATCCGCACTACTACAAAAAGAAAAGGGGTAGGGAGAGATGTTTTACAGCTGGCTTTAAGTATTACTTAAGTATGATCTAAGTTTGCCTTTGATTATCTACCTTCTAGGAATGAGGGTGGAATTGATATGTTCTAGCTCCTGAAATAAGACTTCCTTTTAAAGCCACCTGTGATTTATTGAAAGTTCTCATGTTAAATTTAACTTTGTCCTCCTTTCTTTTCTTTTCTGGGCTGGGAATCAGAACCCAAATCCTAGTCCGTGCTAGGCAAATGCTCTACCATTGAGCCACACCCCCAGTCCTAAATTTGACTTTTAACTTTGACTTTTAACTTTGCCTATCATTCTTGTTTCACCTTCTTAAATAAGACTATTTAACTGAGGGGAATAGCTGGGGGATGCTGGGGATTTAGAAGAAAAGCTACTGTTCACAGGTATCTTAGTACAGAGTCCTCTTTCCCCTCCTCCATGAAAATGCGAGCTAATTGACAGCAATCAACAACCTGAAGTTGTTTGTAATCCTAGCTACTCGGGAGGCAGAGATCAGGGGACTGCAGTTCAAGGCCAGCCCAAGCTATCTCAAAAATACCCAATGCACACACAGGACTGATAGAGTGGCTCAAGTGGTAGAGTGCTTTCACCAAGCAGGGAAAAAGAAAAAGAAGTTGGTGCTATTGATAAATTCCATATCCTTTACCTCGTAACTTGACCAGATTTAATCTGCTGTTACTGTGTGTTAGAGTGTTTTTATCTATCTGTTCACGTGTTCCTCTTCACAACAATGTGTAGCTCAACAACAAAATGTTCCCTTTTCTAATAACCCCACACACTGTGTTGTTGGTTATTCACTTTTTTAGGTTGGTTTCAACTCTGAAATTTAAAAAAGTTTCAGATACACCAGGCATGGTGGCTATAATCCTATACTAGGGAGGCTGAGGCCTGAGGATCGTGAGTTTGAGGCCAGCCTGAGCTACATAGCAAGATCCTGTCTTAAAAAACAAAACTGAACCAAATAAATAAGCAAAAAGTTTCAGATATATTGCTATTCAAGTTTCGTTCTTTATAAAATGTTAATTTATCAGTGTTGCGCTTTATATTTGACATCTGTGTAACATCTTTTGTATTAGTGGCCCTCCTTTTCATCCAAAAGACTGGTTGGTGATGTTTCCTAAAATCTAAAACTAACTGAAAATTAATTAAGTTAATTTGACAATACTGTCTTAACACGCTAATGTAAATTCTTCTAGGGGAGCTATATGATGGCTATGATGAAGAGTATGATTGTCCCATTTTAGATGAAGATAGAGTAAGTATGACTTTGCATCAAGTGTATATTTACCAAACTTAATAGAAAAAGTCACTTTGGTTTCCCTAGGGAGCATTCATCTTTTTATTTTTTATACAGGTAGTTGATGAGTTAGAGAACCAGATACGAGAAGGTGGTGTTATTGTTGATTACCATGGCTGTGATTTCTTCCCTGAACGCTGGTTTCATATAGTTTTTGTGTTGAGAACAGATAACAGTGTATTGTACAAAAGACTTGAAACAAGGTAAGAAAGTCAAAACATTTAATTCTTAAACCATAATATAAAGTTTTTTTCAGATTCCTGAAATTGGACAGTGACCAGGGTTTCTCTTTGAAAATGTGACTTTATTTGATCTGTAATAAACTAAATCTCTGTAGTACCATCCTACTGAACCTAATGTACATGAGTACATTTGTAAGACACAAATACTTCTGAGTAAATGAAGATCTCAACTCACAGTTTGACCCAGTTAAATATACTATACAGAAACCCATTTAGTCATGATTTCTCCTTGATAAATAAAACCTTCCTAGGGAAAGAGCCAACCAGTAACATTCTTTGCTTGAACATTACCCACTCAGATTATCCCCACATCAGGAATGAAAAAGCTTATGAAAAACTAACAAGATAAATCAGCATTCCATAATATTTAAAATACATTTGAGTTAGCCGGGTGCTAGTGGCTCTGGCTGAGGATCGAGGTTCAAGACCAGCCCAGGCAAATCATTCAGGAGATCCTATCTCCAAAATAACAGAACAAAATGAACTCGAGGTGTGACTCAAGCCATAAAGCACCTGCTTTGGAAGTCTGAAGCCTTGAGTTCAAACCCCAACTGCACCAAAAGTGTGCAGTTTCTGGTATGTTCCTAAAACTATAGTTAATGCATCAGTTTGCTTTTTGTTTGCTTAACCTCTCTTTGCCTTCTAGGGGTTACAGTGAGAAGAAACTACAAGACAATATTCAGTGTGAGATTTTTCAAGTTCTTTATGAAGAAGCCACAGCATCCTACAAAGAAGAAATTGTGCATCAGCTGCCCAGCAATAAACCCGAAGATCTAGAGGATAACATTGATAAGATCTTGAAATGGATTGAGCAATGGATCAAAGATCATAACTCTTGACCTATAAGACTGGCCATATTACAGTCACTCTTGTTGATAGTTTTCTGTCCATTTCATAGAAATTGCCCAAATATCAGTTTAAAAAAAAAGATTAAAACTATATTGTAGGCCTGGCAGGTAGATAATGTAAAGGTTTTGCCTGGGTTTCTTTTTCTCCATGAGAAAGCTAAACATAATGAATATAATATTAAGGTTTGAGAGTAAAAACTGTCATTTAATGCTTCATTTGTGAAATACTCTGAATGGGTAGTTTTTAAGTTCATTACAGAAGAAAATGCAGATGATCTCTTAAAAAGTAAGCTAAAACATCAGAGTATCACTTTTCCTTACAAAAATTAGAAGAGGCAGTATTTGTATGTAAAATTCAGAAGGTACAAAATGGTATACTGAAGGGTTGGTTTCCCTTCTAGGCCACACCGGTCTCCATGCATGCTAGGTCACTTTAAGAAATAATGTTACTGGTTTCTGTATATCTTTTTAAGAGTTTAAATGCTAATATGGCATGTGTGTATATATTTTTTAAAAAGAATATAGTAGCACACCTTGCACCCTTTTTTTTTGGTGGTACTAGGCTTTGAACTCAGGGCCTCATGCTTGCTAGGCAAGCATTCTACCACTTGAGCTGCTCCACCAGCATTTTTTTCCAATTGGGTATATTCAAGATAGGGTCTTGTGAACTATTTATCCAAGCTGTCTTTGAACTGTAATCCTCCTGATCTCTGCCTCCGGAATAGCTAGGATTACAGGCATGAGCTATTGGCACGGGCTCCATGAACACTCTACCTTTTTTCATTTAATATATTTGGAGATTATTTTATCTCAGAAAGTATAGACTCCCATATTATCTTTTTTTTTTTTTTTTTAGGTAATTCATACAATAAAATCACTGTCTTAAAGTGTAAAATGGGTGGGGGTATGACTCAGTGGTAGAGTGCATGTTTAACATGTATGAAGACCTGAGTTTGATCATCACACCATGTACGAGTCACTGGTTTTAGCATACCACCAATCACACGTTTTTAGCCTCTTGCAGTCGCTAATCTATATTCTGTCTCTGAACTTGCCTATTCTGAACATTTCACATAAATGGAGTCAAAAATGTGGCCTTTTGTGTCTAGTTTCTTTCATGTAGTATGTTTTCAAGGTTCATCCATGTTGTAGCATGAATTACCACCTTGTTCTTTTTTATGGCCAAATAATATTCCATTACATGGACCACATTTTGTCTGTTCATCCCATCACTTTACTTGTAGCCACTCTTTGTCTTACAAGGTAGCATACTTCATAGTAGCATACTGTGAACATTCATGCACGTGTTTTTATGCAGATTTATGTTTTCAGTTTTTTGGATATATACCCAGGAGGGAAATTTCTGGGTTATAGAGCAACTATGTTTAACATATTCACAAGGTCATGCACTGTCACCACTAGTTTTGGAACATTTTGTAACACATTTTGAGGGGAACCTGTGCATGCTAGGTAAGCGCTCTAATACTGAACTATACCCCCAAAATGCCAAACTTTCCCAAAGTGGTTGCCCCATCTTATGTTCCTACCATCGATACATTACAGACCCAATTTCTCCACATCCTCATCAACACTTTCTTTTTATAGCCATAATTTCTCACTTGATTTCATTACATTTCTCTAATGACCAGTGATGTTGAAATTTTTTTTTTCCTTTTTTTAAATTTTGAAACTTAGCCTTAGCCCAGACTGCTTCACATTCCTTATCCCCTCTTCTGCCTCCCACCACACCTAACTGGTGTTGAACTTAGCTTCCTTTGGAGTCTTAAGTTTTAAGATTCATATTATCTTTTCATGTTTTTGGGTGCATATTAATTGTACAATGTGTATGGGGGTTGTTATATTTCTGTACATTTACAGAATATACTTTGATCATATTCAGTCTCTTTCTTACTATTTTTTGTTGGCAGCACTGGGCTTTCAACTCAGGGCCTCACGCTTGCTAGGGAGTTGTTCTTATGGCTTGAGCCACTCAGCCAGCTCTTTTTTTTGTGATGGGTTTTTTCAAGATCGGGTATCCAACTGTTTGCCCAGGCTGCCTTTGAACTGCATTCCTCCTGATCTCTGCCTCCAAAGTAGCTATGATTGCAGGTGTGAGCCTCTGACGGTGGCCCTTTCTTGTAATAATTCAAATGGATTTCATCATGACTTTTCCATACCTGCCAACCATATACTTCCACCATCTTTACTTCTTGATGTCTTTCCCCTTCCTACTTCCTGCTGGTTCTCTCCCCCTCTTGTAGTCCTCCATTTAAACTTGTCTTTCTCTTTAGCTTTCCCTTCTGCATCTGAGAGAAAACAGGCAGTATTTGTCTTTGAGTATAGTTTGTTTCACTTAACATGATTACCTTTGGTTCCATCCACTTTCCTATAAATGACCTAATTTCGTTCTTTACCACTGAATTATATCCCATAGTGTGTGTGTATATAGATCTATCTTTCTATCTATATATATATATAAATATATATCACATTTTCTTTATCCATTCACCTGTTGATGGGTACCTGTAGGATTCCCAATTTTTTAAATGTTTGTAGAGGATGTGCCATGATTGACTTAATCAGTTTCCTAATGGACATTTAGATTGCTTTCAGATTTTTACTATTACAAACGATGCAAGAATGATGAGTAACATTTAATCCTAACTCAGGAGGCAGAGATCAGGAGGATCGCGATTTGAAGCAAGCCCAGGCAGATAGTTTGAGAGCCCCTATCTCAAAAAAACCCAACTCAAAAAAAAAGCTTGTGGAGTGGCTCAAGGTGTAGGCCCCGAGTTCAAGCCCCAGAACCGGGGTGGGGGGGGGGGCAGGAATCCGAATCCAGACAAACACCCTTCGAGGTAGGTTACACAGAAGTTAGGTGATTGTTGTTTTTGTATGTGCAAGAGTCCACGTACATCATCACTGTGAAGGCAAGGCCTCCCAAGGTATGTTCAATTCTAAGTCTGGTTTTCTTAATATTTTTCTTTTTTTTTTTCGGCAGTCCTGGGCTTTGCAACCAGGGCGTTGCCCTTGCTAGACTGCTGCCCTAACACTTGAGCCACACCTCTGACCCTTAAGTCTGGTTTTCCATGTACTTAAGTATGTTTACTTTGGGGGAGTGGACACTTAGGGGAAACTGTAGGCTGAATGGATCTGGAGTAGAAGTTTATTACTGCTAAGAGAAGCGTTTAGGTGGTGTGGTTCATGCCTGCAATCCCAGCTACTTCGGAGGCTCTCAATCAAAAACTGGGCGCGGTGCAGGAGGCAGTTGTGGTTCCAGCTATTCAGGAGCCACAAAGGTAGGAGGATTACACTCGGGAGGCTGGTCCGGAGCAAAACCATGACACCCTATCGGAAAATGACTCAACGAAAAAAGGCTGGGGGGGTGGTTCAAGTGGCACCCTTACCTGAGTTCAAGCCCCAGCACCACCAAACAAACAAAAAAACGTGTTTAGTCTTTATTTGTAAGCCAGACCCAGGCGAGTTTCTGAGCACTGGAATTCGGGGTGGCTACGGCAAAGTGCGGGTGGAGGAGCAGCACCCGGGTCCCTGCGCGGCCATGCGGTCCCGGACCAGGTCTGGTCCTCGGTCACGCGCACCTGTCTCGCAGGTGCCTGGAGACGGCGGCGGGCCCGCCCAGCCGCACAAGCGACGCTCATCTCGTCCTGCCCTGCTTGGGTCTCACGCCATCACCCGGCCGCTGCGGTCCCCGCGGCCTCCGGAGAAAGCGGAGGCGGACGACTTAATTCAGCCGCCCGGGGGCCCGAGTGGTGGCTGGGAGCGCTGCGGCCCTTCCGGTCACGTGGCCCAAGAACGCGCGGCGCGCCACGCAGGGCTCCGCGCGCGGGGGGGCGGGGGGGCTCGCCGGGTGGGCGGGGCCTGGCGCGGGCCGCGGGAGCGCGAGCGGTGTCGGAGCCGCGGCGCGGACTCCCGGGTGCCCTGCAGGTGCTGGTGTGGCCGCACCGGCAGGCTGGTTCGCTTCCCTGACGCCGGGCTAGGGGCCTCGCCCGACGTGGAAAACGTAACCGTACATTTGTGAGGCCCTGGCTCTATTCCTCCCGCCTGTGCTGTTTTTACCTATGGACGTGGACCCTGGGAAGCGCAGCGCACCGCAGGCCAGGTAGCATCCGGGCTCCGTCCTCGTCAGTCCGCTTTAGTTGATGGCGTGCCCCGGTGTCAGGTCCTCAGTAACGCCGACTCTCGAGGAGTTTGAGTAGAGGATACAGAGGAGCTTTAAATACTACCTTTGCCACTTACTCAACCCCAGTTACTCTGAAACAGCCATTGTTCACTGACGGGTTCCAGTTGTCTTGGCCAAGCTCAGTAGGAAGTGCGCGTGTTTGGCCAACCTGTTTGTTTGGGCAGGGTGGGCGGGCTGTGGTGCAGACGCCTGTAGCACACGTCTCCCGCGGGAACTTGGCGGGAAGTCTTTCGGGCCTCCCCATCACATCCCTGGGGGACGCCTGTGTGTGGGACTAGCAGGAGCTCGGTCCCGCACAGGCAGTCGGACCCGAGGTCAGGAAGGTAGGAAGGGCTATTTAAAAGGGCCCTACAGAGCGGGGCCGGCCTAGGGAGAGCGGAAATCACGTCAGGCCGGTGGGCGTCAGGAGGGCCCCGGCTGGAGTGCGGGCCTGAGAGGAGAAGGCATTCCGGGACGGAGGATGGCATCCTCAGAGGCGCGGAGGGGACCCAGGGAGTCCTGACGGGTGGAACAAGACGTGAGATCTGGAGCCACGTAGAAAACAGGGTGGCATATACTTTAATTATATATGCCATGGAATTATTAGATGTGTGTTTGGAGATTAGTGACTTGGTGGCAGTGTGAAGGATCGTACTAGAACCGGTGAAGCTCCAGGGAGGAGGTCTTCAAAAGGGAGGAAGTCCCTGCCCCTTGGGTACCAGGTTCATGGTGTCGCAAAAAAACGAATTTTAAGAGTCCAAGAAAGTTTATTAATAAAGCAAAGCAAAGGAAAAATAGAAAGCAGTGCACAGCCCAGTCACGGGTGCGGGCACATCTGATGGCAGGTGCAATGGGTGTTTTAACATCTGGGGTGTTTATGGTGAAGAAGTGGGTTGGGGGTTTGGTTCAAATTTGCCTTAGGATGAGTACACCCCTTTTTCTCAACACCTGTATTTAATCATTCCTGGGCCCCGAGATTTCAAGATTGGCCTGCTCATTAAATTTGGGTCACTATGATATAGATGTCTGAGCATTCTGTCAAACAAAGGATGGGTCCTGCCAGGTGTTCCCTTCTAGAGAGGTGTCCATCCTCCAGACAAATATTTTTCTTTGCAAACTCTTTTTTGTGCAAAGAGGACACATAACACCAAATGTTTTTTCTAGAGCCCACTAATTATTTGGGCAGGTGGGCAAAGTCAGAGAGAGAGAACTGCTCTTTTTGCCTTTTCCTAAATATTGAAGCTTCTTGAAGGAGTGTAAGGCTTAAAGCAAAGCAAATAGTGTTTGTGCTTTTAATAAAGCTATTCATAATACAGTTTTTATCTTTGTATTCCTAGTTGCTGTTTTCTTTGCCTCTTTTTCTCCGGTCTATCCTGCTTCAGGATGCCTTTGGGTAAATCAATTAAAGAACTACTGATTTAGACTGGGAGAAATAACAAGAAGTTCAACCAGGGCAGTGAAGTTAATGTGCACAAAATAGTAAGGTTTTTGGAAATATTTTTGGATCTAGAGGATTTGACAACTGAGTGCATGTGAGGACCAGAGAGAAAAAAACAATTGGAAAGTTGTGCACCTGAATGTCTTGTAGCATGGTTGGTGTACTGCAAAAATAGAGGAGTCAGGGTTGGGGAGCAGAGAGGATAATGGTTTTGTTTGAACAAGGTGTGTTTGCATCGCTGGCAGGATATTCAGAGTGTTAAGAGTTTCCACTGCCAAACATTCACAGAAGGGACAGGAAGAGGAAAAGGAGTCTGAGGGGCAGAGAGGAGGCAGTTAGGGACAAAGGAGGAGGATCTGATTTCTCCTGGTGTTGAGGAGCTGGTGTCCAGGGGCCTGGTGTGGGGAGTTAAAGGTGTCACAGCTTCTGCAGATGTGAAGGAAGCTGAGGAATGTGGCAGATCTCAGATTGAGTTCAAACCTCAGCACAGAGAGAGGGAGGGAGAGATTTAAAAGTTTAAAAGGCTAGATGGTGGTTCAAATGTTAGTCATCTGTCATTTTTCAAAGAGCCGTTTGCATGGAAAAGTAGGAAGACTACTGAAATCTATTCATTCTGTGTCCTTTCCCAGTGACCAGAGGACTTGGCAAGGAGCCAGGTATGTTTCTAGTGCTGGCTATACTTCACCCCCCTGAGTGATTTGGGGCAAGTCATGCACACCTGGATGGAATAGGAAACCACATCTCTCAGTAGAACCAAAAAGACCATTTTATTCCTAGCAAGACCTAACAGGTTAACACTAATTCCATGGAGTACACTTTGAAAAATGCTTATACAGAAACAAGTTTAGAGCTCTAAAGAACCAAAAGCTTGTATTTAATCCCTCATTTGATAAGTAAACAATGCTCGTAGTGAGAGGGGACTCACTATGTTTCCCAGGTTGGTCTTGAACGTGGGCTTAAGTGATCCTTCTGCCCGCATGTGCCCCAGTGAGCATCTACAGTAGTTATACTCAAGCTCATTTTAGAGATAAAACAGGCCCTGAGATGTAACTCAGTGACTTGTCCAGAGTCAAAGAGTGACAAATGATGAGCGAGATTTGAACCCAGACCTCTTGAGGCACTGCCTTCTCTGTTCCACATCTTCCTGCTTCCCTAGTCATCAACATTGAAAGGGGCTGGAGGCTCCTGCCTCACAAGTTTGAAGCCTTGAGTTCAACCCCCAGTACCGTCAAAACAGAGAAAAAGAGAGGGGGTGGGGCAGGGGAGGGAGAGAAAGAGAGAGACGTGTTTAAAAGTAAGGCTGGAGGTGTGGCTCAAGTGGTAGAGGGCTTGCCTAGCAAGTGTGAGGCCTTGAGTTCAAACCCTACTACCAGTACCACTAAACAAAAGAAAACACTGAACATATTAAATGCACTAGGTTAGGAATTCTAAATATTTTCATTTTCTCAGAAATAATGTGTCCCAAAGTGAATTTTGTAATACTGCACAGCTAACAGCCCTCAAAGTTACATTTTTAAAAACACTAGTGGGGTGAGGATGTAGGTCAATGATAGAGTGCTTGTCTACCATGTGCAAGGCCTTAGGTTCCAGCACTAAAAAAAACACAAAGGCAGTAGAGCACTAAAGTATGGGAAAACTCATTATATTCTGTTCTGAACAGCAGGAAGGCAGACCATGACACCTGAATTTATGTAGTAAATTCAGCATATGAATATGTAGCATTAAAAAATATTCTTAAGCCAGGCATGGTAGTGTGTACCTGTAATCCCAGAACTCTGAAGGCTAAAGTAGATCAAAAGTTTGAGGCCAGCCTAAACTATGTAACAAGACCCTGTCTCAAAAAGAAAAAAAAATCTTAGCCAACCATGATTGCTTACACTTCCTGTTACAGTTGTTCCCCCTGGTGTTGTGTTGGCCAATTCTATCTTCTTTGCTGCTGCTCTCCTAATCCTGACCACAGCACTTCATAAAAGGAATCTGCTGCGTGGGAGTAAGATGTTGCCTCTGAAAAGATTGTTCTTTGGTTCAAAAAATAATTCCCTATCTGCCTTTCTGCCTTGACAAGATAAAATAGATCTACTTTCTTGTTGTTTTTTGAGATAGGGTCTTGGTGTGTAGCCCAGGCTGGTCTCAAACTCATGATTTTCCTGCCTCAGCCTCCTGAGTATTTTTTGTTGTTTTATTTATTTATTAATTGCAGTACTGGAGCTTGAACTCAGGGCCTACACCTTGAGCCACTCCACCAGCCTTTTGTGATGGGTATTTTCGAGATAGGGTCTCTCAAACTATTTGCCTGGGCTGGCTTTGAACCTCAATCCTCCTAATCTCTGCCTCCTACATAGCTAGGGTTACAGGCGTGAGCTACCAGCACTGTAATCCTGATCTAATTTTTAAGGAACTAACCATGTAAAAGAACCAAAATGAGCTGGGTACCAGTGGCTCATAGCTATAATCTTAGCTACCTGGGAGGCTGGGATCAGGAGGATCACAGTTCAAGGCCAGTCTGGCAAATAGTTCTCAACACCCCATCTCCAAAATAACCAGAGCAAAATGGACTGGAGGCGTGGTTCAAGTGATAGAGTGCCTGCTTTGTGAGTGTGAAGCCCTGAGTTCAAACCCTAGGAATGAATCCAGTAGGCTGTATTGAATGTTGCTCTAATTAGCTATTTAGATTTTTATTTTTCGTTCTATTTCATGTCATAAATAATAGAAATTTGGAATATTCTGTAATCGCATTGAAGTTCTCCAGATGATATAAAATTATGGCCATGAATGTTAGTTTGGATACCAGAGTCTAGACTCAAAACTCTGTCTCCACCTCTTGTTAGCTGTGTTGCTCAAACTCTGTGCTTCAGTTAATTGTCTATACCTAAAAAATAATCCTTTGTCTTGAATAGTGTTTGTGAAAAACAACCTAAGTAAAACACTTAGTATCTAACACAGAAAAAAAACAAACAATAGGGGCTGGCTATTTACAACAGGGGCTGGGCATGGTGGTGCACACTTATAATCTAGCACTCAGGAGGGTGCTGAGCTCAACTTCAGCCTGGGCAATGTAGCGTTCCGATTTAATCAGTTTCTTTTCTAGGACAGCACAACTAATTGACATATATTTTTCTTGTCACTTAGTTCAGTTGTATTTATTGTTTTTAAAATCTTTTAAGATATTCGCTAGGCACAGTGGCTCACACCTGTAGTCCTAGTTACTCAGGAGGCAGACATCAGGAAGACTGGTTCGAGCCAGCCTAGGCAAATAGTTCATGAGACCTGATCTCGAAAAAACCTATCACAAAAAAGGTCTGATGGAATGGCTCAAGGTGCAGGCCCTGAGTTCAATCCCCAGTACTGCAAAAAGAGAAAAAAAAAGAAAAGATGTTATTTAGGGCCAGGGGCTCACAACTGTCATCTCAGCTTCTCGGGAGGCATAGGTAGGTAGATCACTAGCTGAGGGCAGTTCTAGCAAAACACAAAATCCTATCTGAAAAAACAGATAAAAAGGGACTGGGGGTGTGGCTTCAGTAGTGCAGAGACTGCCTCAAAGGTGCAAGGCTCTGAGTTCAAACCCAGTACCACCAAAAAAATATTATTTAGGTATAATTTACATATAATAAAATGTATCCATTGTGGGTATGTGGCTCACTGAATTTTGACAAACTGCCACTCTGGTCAAGATATAGGACTGTCCCATCACCCCCCAAAATTTCCCTCATGTTTTTGAGGCCAAGCCTGTCACTTTAGGCAACCATTGATCTGTTAACTGTTATTATGCATTTGTTTTATCAGTGTGCTTCGTGGTTAGCATAAAGTCTGAAATTCATCGGTGTTTTGTATATCAGATGCAATAAATGCATTATTACTTGTTGCTGAGTATTTTCGCTTGTATGGACGTACCACAATTACAGGTTGTTTGCAGTTTTTGACTATTTGAGTAATGCATGAACATTCACAAACACTTCTTTCTGTGGACATATGATTCCCTTTGTCGGGTAAATACTGAAGAACGCGGTTGCTGGGGCACATGTGTATGTGTGACTCTGTCACCCTCTTTTCCACAGTGGGTATGGTTTCATCCTCCCACCGACAGTGTCTGAGAGTTTGTGTTACTCTACACCCTCAGCTGCACCTGGAATGTCAAGGGGTTTAAATTTACAACTGCCCGATGTTGAGTGTCTCTTTCCATCCATGCGCCTTCTTTTATGACTTACCTGTTCAAATCTTTTAAGGGCCCATGTTTCTAGCATTGAAAATCTGTAGTGCTTTGGCTCTAGGAGCAGAAACCTTTCACATGTACACTATGAGATACATGTGAGGGTTTTGTTTGTTTTTTGGTTTTTGGCAGTGCTGGGATTTTGAACATAGGGCCTTGAACTTGCTAGGCACGTGCTCTACCTGTAAGCCATGCCCCCAGTGCTTTTGCTTTAGTTATTTTTCAGATGGGGTCTCACTTTTGTCCATGGGCCTTGGACCACAATCCTCCTACCTAAGCCTCTCAGGTAGCTGGGATTACAGGTGTGAACCATAGCATCCGGCTCTACATGTGGTTTTGATAGTGGAAGAATAAGATAGAGATCTCAGCAAAAAATGCAAGACTGGCCACTTTCTTTAAAAGTCCTGGAAAACTACGAAAACGGCAGGGTATTTAGAGAGCAATGTCAGATATGTTTATTTCCGCTCCCATCTCTACCAAATTTATTTCTTCTCTCTCTCCTTTCTGTGCCTCCCTCCCTCCTTACTGACTTGAAGCTCAACTCAGTTTTTTTTAACATCCTTGAGGAAAGGATGAAATATTTCTAAACAGCCGCACAAGCCCTATTTTGAAATGCCTGGTGGTGTAAGTGTGTCTTTGCTGCACTCCATGCTATCCAGCTGCCCCACTGTCACCAGGTAGGTGACTGTAGTGTCTGACAGACAGGTCAAGGGCTCAGTGGTGTTGATTTCTTCTGGAAAGGGTAGTCAGTGGTAGTCCTGCAGTGCCCACCTGCTGAGGTGACTTCTGTTTTCCTGTTCTAAGGCAAGTACTTGTAGCTTGTTCTTTCCTTCCTTCTTTTACTCATGTATTAAACACTTTACAGAGCGAGTTTTATTTTATTTTTTGGTTTTTTGAGATGGTCTCACCATGTAGCCCAGGCTGGTCTGGAACTCACCATTCTCCCGAGTGCCGGCGAGCCTGCAATTCTAGATGGTCTGCCAAGAAAGGCCCCTCTGAGATGGTGACACTGAAGTAAAGACCCAAAGAGAGTAAGGGAGCAGCTGTGCAAATGTCTAGGGGAGGAGCAGTGAGACAGAGCAGCACAAGGCTCTGAGTGCAGATGGCCTGGCCCTTCCACGAGCAGTGGGGAGGTCAGGGGCCCGCCTAGGCTAGCAATGAGGAGAAAGGGAGCATGATGGCCTTTGGCTGAGAAAAGACTTTGGCTTTTACTCTGATTAGGTGCAAAATACTGGAATTTTTGAACACTGGCATGACATGATTCTAGAAAGGAAAGACAGTAGGGCAGCTGGATAGCCTGGAGTGCAGTATAGTAAGGGGACAGAACACCTTCACTCCCACCTATTCACTGTCCCAAATTAGAAACCTCTGCTAATTGTGTCTGTACCAAAACAGACAATGAGCCAAGTGGGGTGAAAGCAGAGACCCAAAGCTCCTGAGAAGGGACCAGGGCGGGGTGGGACACTTCGTCTAAGCTGGATAGTCAAGTCAGGTCATTGGACATTTTTTTTTTTTTGGTGGTGCTGGGGTTTAAACTCTACCTCACACTTGCTAGGCAGGTGCTCTACCAATGAGCCAAGCCCCTGGCAGATAGGTCACTGGAAGCCTCATTTTTCTGGCTTTCCTGAATCACATGGTGCTTTGGGCTTGCACAGACAGGACCATTTTGCAGGAGCTTATGCATTGTAAGAGCGAAGGCTGATGTGCTCTGCTCTCAGCAGTAGGGTGCTGAGTTTACACCAGTGCCTCTGCTGCTTCCCTGAAGGTCACTGCACGCTTGGACTTCTAGGTGGATTGTGAGGGCGATTTGTTTTTTTTTTTTTCATTTTTCTTTTATTATTCATATGTGCATACAAGGCTTGGTTCATTTCTCCCCCGTGTGAGGGCAGTTTGTGTGTTAGCCAATTACTGGGCTATTCATGCCTCCATGGTATAGAAAGATCCATTTTCCCTTGGAAAACCCGACTTTGTTATACTGACAGTTGTTTTTCTGTAATAAAAGAAAAAGTTAAAATGAATACAGTGTTAAAGGTTTCAATTGGCTTTGGTGGTTCTAGACTCTGGCAGCAGTCTAGACCAAAAAATGGTTTAGAATGCTGTGCAGCAGCAAATATGCAGGTTCTGGATAGCCAGAAAAAACCGGAAGGGACATACAGAAAGCAGAACTGAGGTATAGAAATAGCTGTAGTGGTTGAAGCTTGGTGTTTTGAAAAGTTGGCTTCCTGTATTTGACTGAAGCTCAGCTGCTATGATTGGCTGAGACTCAGCCACCTGTTACAAGGATAGGTTGTTGTGTGTTTACACATCAAGTTAGGTTGCAGTTCACTAAGTACAGAGAAACCTTTAGGCCAAACATAATTTAATGGTTTTTGTTTTTAATTTTATTTGTAAATTGACAAATTATAATTGTATACATTTATGGGATACAAAATGATGTTATGATTTATGAATGCAATGTGGAACACTTAGGCAAGCCAATTAGCATATCCCTCACATCAAAGGCTTGTTTTTTGTGATAGAGCATTTGAAATTTACTTAGTGAATTTCTTTTTTTTTTTTTTTTCCAGTGCTGGGATTTAAACTCAGGACCTTGCTAAGCATGTGCTCTACTGCTTGAGCCACTCCGCCAACCCTACTTAGTGATTTTGAAATGTACAATACATTACCACATTTTCCATGCTGTGCAGTATGTCACAAAGGAAAAAAAAAACCAGATTTTTTTCCTGTTTAACTGAGGCTTTGTACCCTTTGGCCATTATCTCAGCATTTCCACCTTCCCTCAACCTCAGTAACCAACACTCTACTCTCTGTTTCTTTCAGTTCTATTTTTACATTCCTCATATAAGTAAGATCCTGTAGTATTTGTCTTTCTGTGCCTGACTTATTTTGTGTGGCATAATGTTATTCAAGTCCATTCATGTTGTGGGAAAATAACTTTTTTTTTTAAGTTTAAATAATATTCCATTTGTGTGTGTGTGTGTGTGTGTGTGTGTGTGTGTCCTGTTCCTGTTTTCTTTATTCATAATTTGGCTATTGTGAACAGTGCTGCAATAAACATGGAAGTGCAGATATCTCTTTAACATAACGATTTCAAATACTGGGTATATGAAATTCTGGGTATATGAAATACTGGGATTGCTGGATCTACTGACTGTTTTGTCAACAACTGATTTTCCTAACTACAGACAACCCATTGACCAATGAGCAAGGAGGTGAGGTCATTGAGTGAGTCAGAGGTGCAGCTCTGGGGAACAGAAGAGGATGACATGACGGAAGGTGATCTAGGGTATGGCCTTGGAAGAAGACCCGGTGGGATTTATGAAGTGGACATTTCACACCTACTTACATCTAGAAAAAGATCAGATGGGAAAAACTTTAGCCCTCCTCCACTTCCAAGCAAGGGGGAAGAAAGAAGTGGAGCCATTTTTCAGTACTCCAAGCACAAGAGTTTGCAAGATAGACATCCTCAAGGGTCCACAATTGCCAATTACAGACGACAAAGCAGCACTGGTAAGAATGCTGAATTTCCCCTCCTTCCTTTCTCTGTGAAAATGATCAGTGCTGTCACTGTTCAAACACACGAAGATAACCATAGTAGGTTTAGAAGTTCTTCTTCACTCTTCTCTAGAGATAATGCTGACAGTACAAAAATACCTGATTTAATAATTCCAAGTGTGTGCAAATCATGAAGTACGTAGTTATTCTGCATTAATAACGTGTGTAGTGATTCCAGCAGGGGATTTCCTACCTTCTTTTTTGATGCACTTTTATTATTATTTATTGGGTACCACTAAATGCTAGGCACAGGTCGGTTCTGGGAATAATGTCAGTGAACAAAATAGGCAAAGGCGCTAATGTCACAAATTTCAGATTCCAGTAGAGGAAATACAAAATAAACTCACAAATCAATAATGCTTAGCAAGTTAAAAAAAACAAACCAAGTGATGATTGTGGGGTATGGGGTGCTGCTATCTTAGACCAGGGTTACAGAAGGCCTCTCTAAGGAGATGAGATTTGGGCACCTGAATAAAGTTGGGAGTGAGCCAGGTTATTGTCAAGAGAGTACTCCAGGCAAAACACACTTGCTTCTGGAGATTTAAAAATTTGTCAAAACAAAATTGACCTTAATTTATCATAACCAAGAAGAAATTATGCCTTACATTAGAAAAGGCTAAAATTTACAATCATATTGTGATGAATCCATGTCTGAACTGTGTACCAGCTCTTGTCTGGCTGAATATACTCTGTAAAACTTCCTCTTCTGAAACTCCCTACCACCACCCATTTGAATAAACACATTAGGACAGCACAAAATCAAAGTAGGTCCTCCTAGTGAATGTGTTCCACATCCTCAGGTTCAACCAACTAATATCAAAATAAGCACCATTAGAAAAAATAACAGGGCTGGCGAAGTGACTCAAAAGTGGTAAAGTGCCTGCCTAGCAAGCATGAGGCCCTGAGTTCAAACCCTAATACCGCCCAAAACAAAAAAGCAATATAAACCATGTGTGGTGGTTCACACCTGTAATCCCTGCACTCCAGAGGCTGAAGTATGAGGATTGTAAGTTCAAAGCCAGCTTAGACTACACAAGATTCTGTCTCAACAAAACAAAACAAACAACAAAATACAACAGGAAAAATAATACAAATAAAAACACTAATACAACATGACAACTATTTTTATAGTGCTTATATTGTATTAGGTATTGTAAATGATCTAAAGATGATTTAAGAGCTGTGTGGTAGAGATGGGCTGGAGATTTGCATGTGCAAGGGCCTAGTCAGACCCCAGTACTGCAAACAAAACAAAACAAAACCTTATGTGGGGGAGATTATGTTAAAAAACAAACATGCCGTTCTATATTATTTAACAGTTGAGCATCTGCAGATTTTGGTATCCTGAACCAGTCCCCCTTGAATGCTAAGGAACGTGACAACTTAGGAGGGGGTTTCAGAGTCACATGTTCAAAAGGGCCTTGTGCTAGTTTCTTTCTTCCTTGTGCTGGGGATTTGAACCCAGAGCCTTGTGCATGCTAAGCATGCTAAGCATATGCTCTAGCACTGAACTACACCTCAGCTGCTGTGTTACTTTCTTATTGCTAACAGGTTACAATTTCTAAAATACCACAAACTTAGTGACATAACACAACACAAATTTATTATCTTTACAGTTCTGTAGGTCTGAAGTGCAAAACTAATTTCACTGGGCAACATCAGAATATCAGCAAGCCTGTGCTCCTTCTGGAAGCACTGGGAAGAAGCCATTCCCTTACTCTTTCCCAGCTTCCAGAGGCCACCTGTGTTCCTTGGCTTGTGTCCCCTTCCTCCACCTTCAGAGCCACCAATGGCTGCTTGAGGCTTTGTCACATGGTATCACTCTGGCACTGACTCGCTTGGCTCTTTCATTTGTAAGGACTTTGATTAGCTCACTGGACCTACTGGACAATCTGCAATAATCTACACTCGCGATTCTTACTGCAAAGCCTCTCTGCTATGACGCACAGGCTCTGGGGATCAGGACATGGATATCTTTGGGGCCGTTACTCTGCCGTCCACAAACATTACTAGAACAGAACTTATCACTGCCACCCCAATGTCACTGCGTCCCTCCTTGCAGCTCTGTATGTATCATCACAGAAAAAAATAATTCAGATTTTGCCCTGGATACATCATACTGAGTTTAGAATAGTAAGGAAAACATTGTTTTGAGAGATATTCAATGTATCTCACAATATTCTAAAATGTTTTTTTCCTTCCTCTTAGTATTTCTTTTCTGGCAGCACTGGGATTTGAACTCAGGGCCTCACATTCTAGGCAGGCGCTCTACCACTTAAACCACTCCGCTTAGCCCCTCTTACAATTTCTTACACTTTTGTAATTTACCACCTTAATATTTTTCATTGTCAGTGAGATAGAAATGAAATGTATCTCCTAGGAAGCTCTGTTTATTTCTTTTTGAGCAGTGGTACTGGGGTTTGAACTCGGGTTTCAACTCAGGGCCTTGCACTTGCTAGGCAGGTGCTCTACCTCTTAGCCACACTCCCACCCCTTTTTTTGCTTTAGTTATATTTTCAGTTGGGATCTATGGTTTTTGGACAGGGGCCAGCCTCAGACCACAATCTTCCTACCTACTATCTCTCAAGTAGCTGGGATTACAGAAGTGTACCACTCAGCCTGGCTTTCAATTTTTTTTTTTTTTTGTAGGAGAAAGCAAAGATTTGTTAGGATGCCATTAAAAGGGGAGAGAATGAGGCATAGGTAAGCAAAGGAGCAGATTGCCAGTTTAATTTCTTGATTGATCACATAAAGGAAAGGATAACTGCAGTTACAGGAGACATCTAATTGGCCATTCTCCTTGGAAAGATATCAAATTCAGGTTTATTTCCTAGATGTGTATATTACTATTTTGATCAAGCTCAAGCCAAACTCAAAATCTACTCATTTTACTCACCAGCATTTGTGTTTTTCTGCACACTGAGTTTGGATGTAGTAATTAGCCACTTTTTTTAACATAAGGTTTGTATTACAGTCCTTTTTAAAAGTCTTATTTAAAACTATGTGTTTGCATTTGTGAAATGTTTTAAGCCACTTGCTAATGTCCTGTATGTATTTACAGAAAATAGATAAGTTTTATTTTTCCCCTAATAGATTCTAATTCAGAATTGTCAAATGAAGAATTAAGACAGTGTCTTCATGAAACTTTAGAGGTAGGTCCTCTGGCTAATTCTCCTGGAATAAAAACGTCTGCTGATAATTTGTTTAAACAGTACTAACATTGTATGGAAGGTGCTGGCTTTGCAGAAAGTTGTGTTTTTGTGGCTGGGATTTGAACTCGGGGCTTTGAGGTTGCAAAGCAGGTGCTCTACCATTTGAGTCACTCCTCCAGTCTGTTTTGCTCTGGCTTTGGAGATGGGGTCTTGAGAACTATTTGCCTGGTCCAAAATAAGGCAAAGGCTGAGCTGTTCTCACCAATATGCTATTTCTGTACCTCACTTCTATTTTTCTACCTATAAATGCTGCCTGCCCAGAGAGTGGGGCTTTGTTAGCCTCTTCTGGTGCCAAGAGCTGCCTGAATTGCAATTGCTTTGCTCAATTAAAGTCTGATAAATTTGATTTGTCTCAAACCTTTAAAAAAAAAACCCCTAAGACCCTCCTTTCCAAATTAGGTCATATTTATCCTACCTTGGGTAAGGACTTGAACATATATTTTTCTTGGCAGTACTGGGGTTTGAACTCAGGGCCTCACAGTTGCTAGGCAGGTGCTTTACCACTTGAGCCACTCCACCAGCCCTCCACATCTTTTTTGGGGGAAATAACCTCACAGTTGCTAGGCAGGTGCTTTACCACTTGAGCCACTCCACCAGCCCTCCACATCTTTTTTGGGGAAATAATTCAAACTGTAGCAGCTACTGTAGATGCAGAGATAGTCATGTGCTTTTTTTGGTGACCTAAAGATTTTTTTTTCCCCACATTATTATGAGGCTTGAATGGGAAAAAGCAAAAGATTTTGGGCTGGTGCTTGATAGTGAGGTTCTCAATTTTAGCCTAACTGGTTCACTCACCAACCTCATTTGTGGGTGCTCTGCGCCCAGAGCACATGTGGACAAACCACAGTGTTAACTTTAGGGTTGCACGTCTCGCAGATAGGAAGACTAATCTTATTTCTGTCCTTAGGAAGTAGAAATTTTAAAAACTGAACTTGAAGCATCTCAAAGACAACTTGAAGGTAAAGAGGAAGCATTGAAAATTCTTCAGATATTTTTAGCTCTTAAAACAAGAGCAGCAGTGCTTACTATTGTTTTTTAGTATGGAGTTTTAAGTGTGTTGTAATTTACATACTGCAAATTTCACTTGTTTTAAGTACTGTAGCCCCAGTGGAATCTGCTGGTCTGTGGTTGCAAGGAGACCACCCCTGCTCAGAATGCATAGAGCTCAATGCTGGAATGCAGATGCTTGGTTCATTTTTCCCATAATGGCCTCAACTTCCATTAAAGATAGGTTGCCTTCTAACAAACTTCAAAATTTTACTTAATCATTTCAATGAAGCACATTCATTTTTACCTTGATTCTTAGGTACCATTTGCTTTGGGGGAGGCAGATTTTCACAAAACTAAGGACATGGAAATAGCAGATCACAAGGATTTAACACAACTGATGATAACACGGAACTGACTGAGCTGTGTGGGAATTTAAAATTTTGTTTTTGAAATTTCTTTCAATATTTATTTTGACCATGCTTAGTCAAAACTGTGCTCAATAAATCCACAAATAAGGTGGGCTTACTGTATGCAATACAATTTATTTTTACTAAACTTTGAGTTGTGCAACCATCACTAAATATACTTAAGAACATTTTCACCACCCCAAAAAAGGGCCCTTAGAGCCATTATAGTCATTTTGCAATCCTATTCCTAGCCCCAAATGATGGCCTCTGATGTACTTTTTTTTTGTGGTACTGGGGTTTGAACTTGGGGCTTCACATTAACTAGGCAGGCACTCTACCAGTTGAGCCAATCTGCCAGCCCTGTTTTATGTTGGATAGTTTTGAGATAGTATATTGAAAACTATTTGCCCAGGCTGGCTTCAAAACATGATCCTCCCTATCTTTGCCTGCTGAGTAGTAGCTAGGATTATGGGCACCTGGCTGATCTACTTTCCATAATAAAGATTTGTCTAAGCTGGGCATGGTAGTGCTTGCCTGTAATCCAGCACTCAGGAGGCAGAGACAAGAGAATTGAGAGTTCAAGGACAGCCTGGCTACATAGTGAGACCCTGTCTCAAAAAATAAAACAACAAAAAAGAAATTTTAACCTCAAATTAATTTTTTTTTTTTTTGAGATAGAGTCTCGCTATGTATCTTGACCTCTGGATCCTTGTGCCTTAGCCTCCCCAGTGCTAGGATTACAGACATGCCCTACCATGCCTTGCCTGTTATCTTAAAATGAAAATGTGATTTGGTATTTAATTTATACTGATGCTATTTTAATTTTTCTTAGGCAGTACTTGGCAAAGCCACAAGTCACACCCAGGCAGTGCTTCAAAAAACCATGGAACAAAAGAAATCCTTGGAGAAGGTATTTAGCACTTTTAGCATCAACTTGTTTAATTCAGTAATATATTTATTTAAAGCTGGTGGGTTTATTTATTTACTTATTTTTGGTGGGACTGGATTTTGAACTCAGTGCCTCATGTTTGCTAGGCAGGCGTTCTGTCACTTGGGCCACACCTCCAGCCTCAATCCCGTAAGATTTAAATAGAGTTTCCTTAACCTCCCCATACTGGTGGCTATGTCACTTCAGTATACCCTCTGCTAGGTGTGCTCAGTCTCTGATGGTCTTCCTTTTGGGAGCTTGCAATTTCAGACAGATTACTACATGGGCAAAGAATTGAGGTTTCTTTTATTCCCCCATTTATGGTACTAGGAGGCCTGCCAAATTGGTGCTTCTTACTTTTCTTTTTAAAACTCCTCTTCTTCCCTGGTAGGGTATCCATCTGCACTGTAAAGTTAGTTACATCCCTCCCTTGATGGGCCATTTGGACTACGACAGATTTTGTTTTGTTTGTGGTGTTTACATGGTCAGGGGTGGGCACTGAGAAATCTGGGCTTAGTCCAGCAAATTTCGAATCCAAACAATTCAAAATTTTTTCCGTATTAAGTGAGCTTTGGTAAAGTTTTTCTGAGTGCTAAGGAATCAGGTTAGATTTTTTTTTTTTCTTTTTTTTGCAGTACTGGGGTGTGAATTCAGGGTTTCACACTGGGCAGGTCCTCTACCACTTGCGCCATGCTCCCAGCCCTTTTTGCTCTGGTTATTTTGAAGGGAGGGTCTCACTTTATGCCCAGACTGGAATGGACTACATGCACCACAAGTGTGCACCACTACACCCAGGCATTGGTTGAGATAGGGTTTTGTGAATTTTTTGCCAGGGATGGTGTGAACCTTGATCCTCCCAATCTCTGCCTCCCAAGTACCCCAACACAAATGTCATACACTCTTTTTGGTGATTTTTTTTTCTCTTTAAACCACTTTAATGAAATGGTTTAATGATTTATTTTACCTGCACACAGTGTCCTGAAATGGTTTGTTGCAATTTTCCATGAAAGTTCTATTTTCTTTCCATAGGAAATAAATGCCTTGCAGTGGGAGATAGAATTTGATCAGAATAGATTTAAAAACATAGAAGAATCTTGGATGCAAAAATATGACAGGTTGGTATATTATTTTTAATTTTTTACTTAATTTTTTTGTGGTGCTGGGAGTCAAACCCTGGGCCTTATGCATGCTAAGCAAGCTCCATTGCTGGCCCAGGTGTGTACATTATTCCAGAAGGTTCTCATGAAAAGCTTCAAAATGTATGTCATTCAAATGGAACTTAGGCTTTCTTCTTCCTTGAGCTAACTGTTCATTTACTTGCCAGTTCTATTCTTTCGTTAGTGCTATTTTTTCTTTTTTTAAAAAAACATAGTATGACTATTCTTTTAAATACAGTATAAAAGCCATACTTCCCACATTATTTTAGCATTGGAACTTTTTTTTGGCTTTAGTTATTTTTCAGATAAGTTCTCGAAGTTTTCTCTGGGGCTGGCCTTGGACTGCAGTCCTACTTATGCTTATGGCATAGCTGGGATTATAAGCACCTATCACCATGTCCAGCTTATTTGTTAAGACAGGGGTATCACTAACTTTTTTTTTTTTTGGCCTGGGCTGGCCTCAAACCATGATCTTCCTGATTGCTACCTCTGGAGTAGCTGGTATTACTGGCTTGAGCCATTGTACCTGGTAGGAACTGTTTGTTTTTAAAAAAACATATTTTGAGGAACTCTTTTATTAGTGTGAGTTTATTTAATAACTTTAAATTATATACTTACTATAAAGTCAGTTACCTAGAAATTGATCTCATATCTGAAATTATAAATATCTTCAGTACTTAAGTTTTAAATTTGTTATTTTTTAATCTACTTTGAAATAGTTGAAGACTTACAGAAAAGTTGCAAGAACAGTAGAATTTTTATGTATCTTTCACTGAGGTTATGCAATTAATTTATTTAACTTTTTAACCACATTTGCATTATCATTAATTCTCCCTTCTCTTTCTTGTTCTAACTGTAGATTTCGATACATATGGCTTGCCTATAGATCTAGAACCATTTAAAATGAAATTGCACATCTGAGGCTTCCTTACTCTAATTCTTCAACTTGTATTTTTAAAAAGGAAATTCCCTTTCACAAGCATAGTATAATTACCAAAATGAAGACATTAATGTTGACATAATACTGTTATTTAACCTATAGACTATATTCAGATTTTTTTGTGGTACTGGGATTTGAACTCAGGGCCTCACACTTGCTAGGCAGGCACTCTATCACTTGAGCCACTCTGCCAGCCCTTTTTTGTGTTGGCCCAGGCTGGCCTTGAACTGCCACCCTCTTGATTTCTACCTCCTGAGTAGCTAGGATGACAGGTGTGAGCCACCACTGCCCAGTTCCATATTCAGATTTTTCCAGTTGTTCTAATAGCATATAATTTGTCCTTCCAGCAAAAGAGAAAAACATTTTCCTACTCCACGATCCAGTTCAGAAGCAGATGCCTTTGGTTGTCACATGTAAATTTTACTGTCCTTTAATTTAGAGCAGTTCCTTCATGTGTGACTGTGATTACATTGACATGCTTGGAGGTGTGGAGGCCAGTGTTGTATGTTTGGTGCTTGTGGATGGATCTCAGGGTTTGAGGTTGGGGCAGGGTTAGCATGAGGCCATGTATATCCTCAGTGCATCACATTAGGAGACACATGGTGGTGTCTTGTTGATTATGTCATAAACGTGTTAATTTTTTTTTTTGAGGTACTAGGGATTGAGCCCAGAGTCTTATGCACGCGAGGCAAGTGCTCTACCACTTAAGCTAAACTCCCAGCCCTTTGAGACTGGATCTCACTACTTTTGGCTGGCCTCATACTTGTGATCAGTAGTTGAGAGTACAGGCATGTACCGCCACACCTAGTCCCTACAGTGTTAATCTTGATTGCTTTACATATTTTGAGTGTAAGCAAGTGTAGCTTAAGTGGTAGAGCGCCTGCTTTGCAAGTGGAAGCCCTGAATTCAAACCCTAGTCCCACCAAAAAAAAAGTCTGTTCATATTTTGAGTGTATTTTTTCTTTTTTTTCTTTTGGCGATACTGGAGTTTGAACTCAGGGTCTCAAGCTTGCTAGGCAGGCAGTCTACCATTTGAGACACTCCACCAGCAATCTTGATTGCTTTAAGGTGAGGTGTATGCCATGGCACCGTTTTACGCTTGTAATTGTTTTTGTAGTGATTTGAGACTATAAAAACATACTGTTATTCATGTAACTTTCACTCACTAATTTTATATTCACTTATTCAAACTTTAGCAAGTATTACTGTGATAATTACCAAATGATCATTTTCTAACTTCATAATTCTACATTTTGGGGGAGGGGTGTATTAGCTTTGTGACATTGTGACAAAATAAGAAAAGGCAACTTCAAAAGAGGAAAAGTTTGTGTTGGCTCATGTTTTCAGAGGTTTCACATATGGCTGGCTGGCTCCATTGCTTTTAGGCCTGTTACAAGGCAGAAACATGTCAGAAGGGCATGTCAGAAGGACATGTCAGAAGGGCATGTGGATCCAGGAAACAGAGAGAGGTCCAAGCCAGGGATAAGATACACCCTTCAAAGTCACAACCCCAGTGACCTACTTCCTCCAATCAGGCCCTTCCTCCTAATGGCCCCACTCAGCTATTAATTTATCAATGGTAAGGGAGGGGGTGGGGGCAGGGGGGAGAAATGAACCAAGCCTTATATGCACATATGAATAATAAAAAAAAAATGGAAAAAAAATTTATCAATGGATTAATCCATTGATGAAGGTAGCACCATCAGCTGGGGACTACACCTTTAGCACATGAGCCTTTCTGGAGGACACTTCATTTCCAAACCCTAACAGTAGGCATTTTACTGTAAGAAACAGCTTTTCCTTCTTGTTTATACCAATAGAGAATCATGGATTCTTAGTTTAGTCAATGGTTTAAAAGCTATTAGTCATCTTTTTTTTTTTTTTTTTGATGCCTAAAATTTCTCACTTATGGTCAGTGGGAACCCCTAGAGTCAGCTCCTGGGATGTTCAGACATCTCCCTATTGTCCTTTGAGCACTTTCTTGCTTTCTGGTACAGCAAGATATTCTGGGCCAATATGTCTACAATAGTAGGCATTTCTTCAAGGAGCCATGGTTTCATTTAGTGAGAATAGTGTTTAATAACCAGAACCTAGGTATGCTCACTGCTATTGGAGAGTCAGTGCTAGAGGTCTTCCCAGAGGACAGCTGGAAAACGCACACACATATGCAGACGCATGACTCACATGCATGTCTGTTAATTCATCTATCCATCCATCCACCAGTCAAAAACTGTGTTGGGGCTAAGGATGTAGCTCAGTGGCCACACTTAGGCACCTACCTAGTATACAGAGGGCCCTGGAATTGATCCTTAACTCCGTAAATCCAAAACAATTCCCTATGAAAACCAAAAGCCTAAAGACTCAGGAAACCTATTTCACATTTTATTAGTTAAGTAATCACTAGAAAAGGAAAAGTTTATAGATTTACATTTTTCTTTTAATAGAGAAGCTTTAATATCATGGCCATTTTTTTTTTTTAAGGATCTGAGGTCAATTGTTAACATGCCATAAAAAAATCTCAAGTATTTTTATTTAAAGCTATAGAGGAAGTAATGTTTTAGTTATTTGAAGCATGCTATTTTCTCAGACTAAACTGTGACAATGCCATCCTCAAAGAGGATTTGAAAGTGAAAACAGCAGAAATTAAAACACTGAAGTCTGAAAATGCAGGTAAGTAAAGAATGGTATTTTGATGGTTCTTTTAAAATATTATGTTGAAGGATGAGGTTTATATATAGTGTCCTGTAGAAAGAACACACTTAGCAATAGAGTATTTAAAGGATATTAAAAGGAAAATGATTGAGGTTTTTAAAATAATATGTACCAAAATGAAATCCACAGAACATAAAATTAACCACTTAGTGCTTGTTTCAGCAGCACATATACTAAAATTGGAATGATACAGAGAAGATTAGCATGACCCCTGAGCAAGGATGACACGCAAATTGGTGAAGCGTTTCATATTAAAAAAAGCTAACCATTCAAAAGTAAGTAATTTGGACCGGGAGTAGAGAACTCACCAAGGAAGCGCAAGGCCTCCGGTTCATGCCAAAAACACAAAGTGAGCAATTCAAGGGGCATGGACAACAGTGCGCAGCCACCACCTGAATTTCCAAACCATTTCTAGCAGTCCTCAGTAAAGCCTATACTCATTAAGCAGTTTCTCCCAATCTCCAACCCCTTTTGACTTAGTTTCAGTGCACAGCAAAGTGGTACAGTGAGATGCTTGAGGAAACTGAGTAGAAATTGTGTGGACCTGCATACATAAATTTATATGTTATATATCCCTTCATAATGAAGCACCTTTATGATGAAAGGTGGTGCAAGGATAGTAAGGTGTTTGCTACTTACTTTTTACAAATTTTTAAGAGAAGATGCTATTCCTCCTTCTTGGCATAAACTAAGTGGGACCTGAAGGAGACAAAACAAGTTCCAAATCAGGCCTATAGCTAAGAGAGGCCTCGTACATCATGTTTCACTGAGGCTGTGAGTGGCTCCAGATGAGATCTGCACACACAGGTGTATGAGCACAAAGTTACTGAGCCCACAGAGTTGCTGCCTGTGTTAGATTGGCTTAGACAGAAGTTGCCACAATCACAGCCCCTTCCTTTCTTCCCTGCCACTCTGTCTTGTGCTGGGGAACCCAAGATTTCTTGCCTGCCAGGTAAGCACTCTACTACTGAGCTGCACTCCCCAGCCCTCCTCACATTCTAATGTGTGATGAGAGCCTCTTGTGAAAACTCTTCATTAACAGAAAAACTGGACAGAATTTGGATAGCTGGTACATTTGACATGAAAACAATACACGAGATCTCACCATGTAGCCCTTTCACTATCTGCAGAGTCTCTGAATAATTTCCTTTACACATTCCCTTTCTGAAAATCCTACAAATTTTTCCAAGAGCAAACAGAGCAGACTTGGATTGCAAAGTTAAGGTGATTCCCCATTAAAAATAACATGTAAAGCTGGGCATGGTGATGCACCAATGCCTTTAATACCAGCACTCAGGAGGCTGAGATAGGAGGATCACAAGTTCAGGACCAGTCAGGCTGCACAGTGACACCTTTTCTCCAAAACCAATCAACAAACAACAATAATTAACAAAATCTAGCATTATATATCTGTTATTTCCCGTGACACTCATCATTCTGTCAAATACGTTTTCTGGATGGAGCCTGATCTTACAGGTACTATCTGTTGAGTATGTGCTGCTTAGAAGAAATGAGTATATGATGTCAGGGTAACTGGATTAGAGGAGGTAGAGTCAGGCCTCAGAACTAACATTTTCATGTGTGGCCCTTCCCAGTTTTGAATCAACAGTATTTGGAAGCCCTCGCCATGCTTGATATTGAACAGCAGAAAATTGCTCAGGAAAACATATGCCAGGATAAAAGTGGCTTTACAGAGGTATCAAGTCTTGAGGTAGGTGTGCACATATGAAAGGAGAACAGGTGGAACCTCTTCATATAAGTACCGCACGCTTACCAATTGTGCCACTGGAGCTCCAGGAGGGACCTTTTCTGCTGTCCTTTCCTGGCCTGATACCTGTCCTAGGACACCACCACACTTAGCCATCTGAGATAGGGTGAGTAAGGCCCGTGGGTTTGCCCAGGTCAGTTCTTCCCACCTGGCTACCAGGCCCTCAGGCCTGCCATTCTTGACATCAGGGAATGTACCGGCTGCTTCTGTCCTGCAGCAGAAGCTGTGTGAGTAGTGCCTCACTCTTGGGTTGGAGTGTACAGTTTAAGGGAATTGTCCCATGTTACTTTATCTAATCCTCACAGTGGTCTCCTGACAGCTGCAAAGTTGCTGTTTTCCAGCTAAGACTTGGATAAGTTCAGTTACTTTTTTGGGGGGTAGGGAGGATGCTGGGGATGAACCCAGAGCCTCAGGCATGCTAGGCAAGCACTCTACAACTTGAGCCACACCTCCAGTCCAGTCCAGTTATTTTCCCAAGGTGACAAGGCAGGCTTGGTTAAGCCAAATTCAGAACAAAGATTTGCTGTGTTGTTAATGGCTTCCGATGTAGGGTTCTGACTAATAAGGTACAAAGGGTCCTGGGATTCATAAGAAGTAACTGCAGCCTCTTACTCATTGTAGATTATTAAGAAAAGCAACAACAGTTGTTTTCAATACTAGTAAACACTAGCATGGTGCTCAGCAAGTGCCAAGTGTTGTCTAAGTGGCTCATATAGATTGATGTATTTAGTCCTTACATCTACCGCACAGAGTGGGTGCTAAGTTAATCATACTTTACAAATGGAGTAACAGAGGCACTGAGGGAGTAAGGGATTTGCCCAAAGTCACACAGCTACTAATTTGTCCTTAGGAAGACTGGGTTTAGAGTCTGCTTATGATCACCTCATTCTACTGCTGAGGTAAAATCTGACATGCTCCAAAATCAGAGCCTTTTGAGCACCAACACGTGCCACAAGTGGAAATCCCACACCTGACCTCACGTGACACTTGTAAGCACCATTCTCCTTAGAGAGAAATGGAAGTCAAAACACAGGTACACTAAAAATATCAAATCAAATTATCTCCAGGCTGTGTGTCTAAGGTATATATGAAACAAATGAATTTTGTGCTTAGACTTGGATCTCATCCCCAAGATATTTCACTGTGTATATTAAAATATTTGAAACCTAAAAATTCCCAAATGCAAAACACTTCTAGTGCCAGGCATTTCAGGTAAGTATTACTCAACCTGTAGCAGCAAAAAAGGAAAAATAGAACAAAGTAAACTTTCTGCCTGGGCTGGCTTCAAATTATGATCTTCCTAATCTCTGCCTCCTGAGTAGGTGTGATTACAGACATGAGCCACCTTGCCTGGCCAGAGTATTTTTCTTTTTAAGGAGTGATTGAGTAAGGATGATTATTTTCTTCTTTGGCAATTTAAAATCCCGTGTACTTGTTGGGAACTTCGAAGCCAGTGTCAGGAAGTCATGTTGTAGATGTGAATTTTAACTACAATTGTTAGGCAAACTTCTTGCCAGAAACTCAAAACTATGAGACTGATGCCTAGATAAAGGTTTTCAGAGTAAAAAGAAGGCAGGCACAATACCTTGAACTTTTTGTTGCAAGAATGACATTCATTTACATTTGTAGTTAATTTCCACTTGGATCCTGAAATCCTGGTCTCAGCTTTTGTTCTATTTTTTTTTCCTTTTCAGTGTCTGTGGATCAGTTGCTTGAATTGTGATTGCATGGTATGTGTGGGATGCTTGTGTTATGTGTCAGTTCCTAATGGGGGTAATGCTTTTGGGTTCAAGCTGGCAGTCCTCGGAGCCTGCCTGTGTCACGGCCCTGGAGGGAGCCCCTGTTCTTGTGCTAAAATGGCGGCATCCACCCGGAAACTGGTTCTTCAGCTCAAACACGAGGTATCTACGACATTATCACGATAGCAGAAGCTTTGGCTCTGTTTCTCTATTAATAGTAGACTAAATGGAGATGTGTAGAATAATTAATTCCACCTAGTAGTCACTGGTTTACTTCTATGTGATAGAATTAACTTATAAGATTTTTGTTTACCTGGTTCTGAGACACAAATAGTACTTGGCATGATATCTGAAGCCATGTAAAGTTGTTTGTCTAAGTTTGTAGCTAGTATTTTTTATGGTATATAGCCCTAAAATTCCTATATAAAAGAGGGAAAGCTTAAAATCACTAATGTTATTTCTGATTAATGGGGAGGTGAGCATGGAGCTTATTTGAAAAGCACCAAAGTACAGCAGAAGGAAGCCAGGCCTAGGTGTGCATCTTAGCTCCATCATTTAGACAAAGGGTAATAACTGCCTTAGAGGGTTGTTGTGAGAATAGAGGAAACAGACATACAGTGTTTGACACAGTGCCATGAACATACCCAGGGTTTAATCAGTTGATAGCTGTCATTATAATTGGACTTTAATTACCAATATGGCATATTTGTAAACCAAATTTTTAATTTGGTAAAGTTGTGAAAATGTTCTGCCTTATTTGTAGGTATGAAATTTAGAGCCTTTAGACTACACTGGAAAACTAACAGCTAAACTTTACAATCAGTCCATTAAGAAAAGCATAAGGCCAGGCAGTGGTGGCATATGCCTATAATCCTAGCACTCAGGAAGCTAAGACATGAGGGTAACAAATTTGGGGCTTGCCTGGGCTGTACAATAATGCCCTGTCTCAAAAAAAAAAAAAAAAAGAGAGAAAAAGAAAAAAGAAGAACAGAAAGTACAGCATTACATGGACCAGAGTCACAGACAGCTGTGGTGTTGGGAAGGTGTCCAGTGGTACTGTCTGCAATGACCTAAGGCTGGATTGAAATGCAGGCTTTGGCATCCTCCCTTCTTTTAGCTGAACTCTTCCTCCAGAATTTGGGAAGAGCACATTCAGGGTTTAGCTGGGGTAGTGAGTTCCAAGAGTTCAATTAGGGAGTCCACAGGGAGCCTACTGGTGATCTGGATCAGAGTGGGCTGCTAGAATGGGCAAGTTGTAGTTTAAGCAGACAAGTTACGTTCAAAACAGGCAACAGATTGTTGCAAGGCAGGAAGACAGTATATGCTAATTTGAGCATTCAGGCAAGGGATTGTTCTAGTTTTGCCTCTAACACCTCCAAACTTTCTTTTAAAACCAGCTGGCACTTTTGCAGAAGAGTAAAGAAGAAGCTTACGTAATGGCAGATGCATTCAGAATTGCATTTGAGCAACAATTAATGAGGAAAAATGACCAGGCATTAAGATTGACGCAAATGGGTAAAATATGTAAAAAAGCAACAAAATGGATAAGTTGGAGGCACCCTAAAGAGGATGGTAACTATAAATCATAATGGTAGTACTCACATGTATTTTTAGTTGGTTTGAGTTATAATAAAAAATTAATGAATCATGGCTAATTCAATGTATATGGGGCTATATAGCTGAAACTTCACATGTAGCTCTGATTTATTTAAACACTTAGCAATTATAAAGTACCAGGTGTGGTGGTGTATGCCTATAATCTCAACACTCAGGAAGCAGAGACAGGAAGATTAAGTTTGAGGCCAGCCTGGGCTACATAGCAAGTGCCAGGACAGCACAGGATACATAGTAAAACCCTACCTCATAAAACTGAAAAATTCAGGCTGGGAGTGTAGCTTATCATTAGCACTAGTTGGCATGTATAACTACCGGGATTCATTCCCAGCACCACAAAATAATCAGTTTATCTTTTAAAGCTTTTACAAATCTAAACTAATTTTAGCAGAGTTTATAAGTGACAAGACTTTGATTCACTTTAGTAGTATATTCAATAAGCTGAAGAGGTGTAGGATGGTTGGTATAGGTTATATTCTTATGCTTAGTAACATTTATAAGTACCAACTTTGCTTTTGCTGTGGCAGCTTAGACAACTTCTCAGGTTATAGGCATTTTCTTTTTTTAGATTGAAAATAGAGACATAAAGCCAGTGAGGTGATGCTAGGGCAGGAGACCCTCAAGTTCAAGGCCAACCTGGCTATATAGCAAGACCCCATCTCAAAAAAACCAAAAACAAACAAAAAAACCGGACACGAGTGGTTTATACCTGTAATCCTAGCTACTACTTAGGAGGCAGAGATCAGGAGTGTTGCAGTTTGAAGTCAGAAGCCAGCCCTGCAAATAGTTCTCAAGATCCTATCTCGAAAATACCCAACACAAGAAAGGGCCGCAGACTGGTTCAAGAGCACCTGCCTACAAACATGAGGCCATGTGTTCAAATTTCAGTACTGCCAGAAAAAAAAAAAAAAACAGGAAAGATTAAAAAAATCCCCCAAAGACTCATCCAGTTATCAAAGCTGATTAGTACATCAACTTGTCTGCTTTTTCCTCTTTGCCATAAGCTCCTTTCAAGAAAAAGACAGAGCAATCTGAACCTTCAATGGGTGGGAAGGGGATTGTTCCTCATCTGCTCTTAGTTTTCTATGAAGACCATTTGTAGACCATCCCAAAAACATTCTCAAATTTTCCTCTGTGTAATTTCAAAATCTGTACTTTCTTATTTTTTGAGACAGGGGTCTCTTAATGAGTGCTCATTGTCAGTGTACATACTTCAAGATGCTGAATCTTATCATTCCAATACAAGGGCTAGATGTTTGGGTTTTTTTTAACTATGCGTTTTTTTTGTTTTGTTTTTTTTTTAAGATTTTCAAATTCATTGACATAGGTTTCAATTTTGTTGAGGTTTAATTCACGTTAATAAACTGCACAAGTTTAGAGTCAACAGTAGTCCCACCAGCACTGGTGGAGTGGCTCAAGTGGCAGAGTACCTACCTGATCATGAGTTCAAACCCCAGCCCCACCAAAAAAAACCCCAAAAAACAAAACAATAGTCCTTGACAGATGTATATCGTAAGTAAACAGTCACACCATTGAGATAAAGAATATTTCCATTACCCCCACAAGGGTGTCTTTTTTCGTGATATAATATCCATAGTTTCCCATTTTACCTGTCTTTAAGTAGCATTAAGTACATTGACATAGCTGTGCAGTCATCACCACCATCCAGCTCCAGAACTTTTCATCTTCCAAACAGAAATCCTGTTCCATTGAACAGTAGTAACTCCCTATTCGCTTCTCCACATTCTCATTGCAGCGGTTAAAAAAAAAATGAAGGTTAGAAAAACTCATCTTAAAGTGGCTAGACAAGGACTTGGTGCAGGACTTTTGGGCTCTTAAGCATATTTTTCATGGGCTCAGAGGCTTCTGTGTCCTGAAGACATTTTTTGTTGTTGGATCTGCAGTGTTTGTAAAGAATGTGGAATAGCACCTGACATTTAAAACTGGAAGATTTCTGCTGCTCTTTATTTTATTTTTGCAGTATTAAGAGTTTGAACTCAGGGCCTACACCTTGAGCCACTCTGCCAGCTCTTTTTTGTGAAGGTTTTCTCAAGATAGGGGCTCACCAACTATTTGCTGAACTGGCTTCGAACCTCGATCCTCCTGATCTCTGCCTCCTGAGTAGCTAGGATTATAGGTCTGAGCTTCTGCTGCTCTTTAAGTTGTGATGACGTAGTGACAGACTGCACTCTCATGCAGCCACCAGCTGGTGCTGAGGAGCAGCTGTGGGTGTGATGTGCCCAAGTGTGCACCCCTCCCACAAATCCATGTTCTTCCTACTACATCATGCTAGTGGTCTCAGAGATAGCAACCTTTGGACTGATTTAGGAATTAATAAGCCTAAGTTTACAAATACCTTTTACTAAAGTACATCAATAAATGTGTGCCTGTGTGTATATAATTTTTTTTCTGGTGAGACTGGGGTTTGGACTCAGGGCTTTGCTCTTGCAAAGCAGGTGCTCTATTGTTTGAGCCACATCTAGCCCATTTTGCTCTGGTTATTTTGGAGATGGGGTGTCTCACACTATTTGTAGGGGCTGGTCTTGAACCTCAATCCTCCCGATCTAAGCCTCCCAATAACTAGGATTACAGTTGTGAGCCCCCTGCACCCAGCTTCAGCTGCATTTTCATGTTTAATTTTAGGATATTCATCTCTAAGGAGTAAGAAGACCTTAGGGCAGAAACTATTGAGTATGCTCCCTTCAGAGAATGACTCTAAGATGGCTGAAGACCTGGACAACCCTCAGGAAGTCTTGAAGATGCTAATAGATTTGGTTAGTACTTTCTTTCACTCTTTCTTTGTTGGAGGTATAGTTAATCTAGTCTACCTGCCTCTTCTTGATTCAAAGCTGTACTTGCCCTCTTTCCAGTTGGGGTACCATTCTCCAAATTCACTTCTCCCATATTCCTTCTGTGCATGTTTAAAAGTTCACCTCTGAAAAGAGGGGCTTTTAACTCCCTCAAGCCAACTCTGTTGCCTGCATTTTATATACAGCTTGGGACGGGCTATTTACTCCGGCATTTAAGTGTACAAGTCACTTCCTGAGCCACTACATCCTTTATCATAACCACAACCTGGAAAACAGTCCCATTACACCCTTCCACAGGTGACTCAGCTAAGACAATGGCTCAGGTTTTTTAAATAAACATACTTAAGTCTAATTTATGTAATATCAACGGGCTTATTTCTAAAAGAATACTGAAGTTGCTTCTATCTAAAGTTTTTAAAGAACAATTCTCAAATGTAGCATAACCTTGGGAACCAGGTGATGACTTATTTATTTATATACACTGACTTTATTTGCAAATGTAGGGTTGAATACTTTGATAAAATGCAGTATTCCTTTCTCTGAATAGATTCTATGACTTAGTGACCAGTTGGTACATTTTAAATTTCTGTGCATACAGTTGAATGATAAAGAGGAAGCACTGGCTCATCAAAGAAAAGTCAGTTACATGCTTGCTCGGGCATTGGAAGACAAAGACACTGGCTCAAATGAGAAGAAAGAAAAATGTCCTATGAAAGAGAACGCCCCATTCAAGAACTCCTGGCATAAAACTTCAGAATTCTCTGTTTTGCATGATCCTGTACATTCAGGTTCCCAAATCTTTGATTCCGTGGGTTGCATTCGTTCAGTTCAGCACCTTCAAACAGATCTAAACTACTCAAAAACTCTTAAACGGTCCCGTTCTTTACCACTGAGTATCATATTCTGAAAACAAACCAGATGAAATTAGAACTGAGAGCAGTTAACGTCAAGAGATTTTGGGCTGGAAGTGTAGCTCAGTGATGGAGTACTTGCCTAGCATGGGCAAGGCTCTTCATTCCATCCCCAGCACATGAAAGATCCTTTGAAAAGGCACAAATATTGCTACATCTTGAAAAGTTGTATGTTTTCCATGTGTTTTCAATGTTAGTTTAATTATAATCAAACTTTTCCTACGTTTTCTATAAGAAATTTGTTGGTATTCTGTATTGACATTTCATTTATAAATTACTATATTTTATGATATTTTCAATGTTGGTCAGCATCTTATAAACAAAAAAATCATTCTGGGAAAAACAAACAAATTACATATGTGTGTATATATATATATAAATTTATACAATTATACTGCCAGGTATGGTGAAATACCTGTAATCCTGCACTCAGGAGGCTGAGGCAATAGAATTGAGAGTTTAAGGCCCACCTGGGCTATAGAATGGGAACCTCTCAAACAAAACAAGGCTGGGCACAGTAGTTCACACCTGTAATCCTAGCTACTTGGGAGGCAGAGATCAGGAAGAAGAGATAGAGAAGATTGCCATTCAGGACGGGTTTGGGCAAAGTTAGTGAAACCCCATTTCAACTAATAAAAAAGCTGGGTGCGGTGGTGTGTGCCTGTCATCCCAGCTATACAGGAAGTTTAAATAGGAGATCATTGTTCAACCTGGCCTGGAAAATATCCCTGGTATAAATATGGGATCCTATTCAAAAAATAACTATACCAAAAAAAAGCTAGAGGTGTGGCTGAAGTAGTAGAGCACTTACCTAGCAAGAGTAAAACTCCCAGTATTGCCAAAAAAGCAAACCAAAACAAAAATTATACTTACTAACAATATTTCTTCTCAACTTATTAACAATGTAATACTTACACTCCACTTCAATAAAGTTACAAAGTATATTCAGAGAAATTACCAGCAACTTTTATAGCAATTTTTGGTCAGAGTGGTAACATTTTATAAACAAATCTGCAGATTTCTAGACAAATCTACTAGATGTTTAATAGTGCTCCCTCTCATTATGTCCTGTGGAGTGGATATGACAGTTCAGGGCAGAAGGTCTGAAGAAGCTGCCTAAGGCTACATCTAGTCAGGGCCTGAGCGAAAATGAATTCTATCTAGGCGTAGACTTTTGCCTGCCATGTAATTTTATATAAATTAAGATCTGGATGTCAGATCAGAATGTATTGGGGTCACTGGAAAATGAAAAAACCACTGCAATTTTCTAATCATGAGGTATTAAGTCATATGCCACATGTCAGAGTCACAGTTTGTGTAAATACACTGTTTTCATGATAAGATTGTCTAAGTGCATTTCTCAGAATGTGGCCTTGTCAAGTTATGTATGACTGTACTTGCTATGAAGCACTGAGAATTAAAGAGATAATACTTAAAAGGCCTTGGGTTCAATCCCCAGAACTGGAAGAAAAAAAAAAAAAAGAATTGTGTGAATGCATTTATGTAATTTACCTCAAAGAAATAATATGAAGTTATAGATAAGGAACATTTAGGGAGCAAAAAAACAGGTGTCTTCATAGATTTCCCCTAAATTGAAAATGAGTAGTTGGTATTTCCATGTTTCCGTTTTTTGCATTTTGTAATCAGACTTCTTAACATCTACTGGTCTACTTCATAAAGAACATAGTGACTGTTTGGAAAACTACATAGCATTTTCCAAGCTTTTGGATTATGGTACCCCACCCCCCAGGAGCAATTACTACTATCTTCCCCAACTAGTATTAGAAAATATTGCTCTGGCCTGGGGATGTACCTCAGTGCTTGCCTAGCACACTTTGTTTTAAGGCCCTGGGTTTGCTCCCAGGACTGTGCAAGAACAACAACAACAAAAAGGTTGGTGGCATGGCTCAGTGGTAGAGCACCTACCTACCTGGCAAGCATGAGGCCTAAAGTCAAACCCCACTAAGGGGCAAGTATAGGAAGGTGTTGGACAGAAAAACGAAAATTCTGCTCTGAAATCGTACTCATTTCTATATTTCTATTTGAGTTATTAAGTAGAACTAAGGGAAATGAAAACCTACAAGTCACAGCAGTCATTCTACAAGGATTTTCATTATAGCATTATTGTAAAAAATATGGGAGAACCTAAATGTTAGCGCATAGGGAAACAAGGCCAGTAATGCACATCTGTACTAGAAGTGCATCTCTACATACCTTCATGGAAGAGTGCCACAAGTGAAACATGGCCACATTTTCATTTAGAGAAAAATCAGGTATGCTGATGCATACATCATGCACAAAGATGTACACATACAGAGGAAAGTAAGAATACCTACTAAACTTTTCTGATATGAAGTATAAAAGGAAGGGAGAAGGACATGAAAAGGAATGGAAGGAAAATATTACTATCTCTGTATTTCTCTGTTGGAAAAATTTATGAGCATACATTAAAGAAAAACAATCATAAAGGAAAGAAAAAGGGCACACATATATTATACTTTACAATAAAAGTTAGAATCTACAAAGTTCATGATCCAGCTAGGATCCTGTATACAGTTAGAAATTTCTTTTATAAATGTATTAAGGCTAGAACAGATATCTTAAATGGCTATTTTATGTTATGCTTACAAAAATAAGCATTTGTTTCTAAATTATATAAAGGTTCACTAGTATAAAAACTACCTACATAATGGTACAGCTGTACGTGTGATATGTATTTATATAGTATAACCCTAAGATACAACAAGTAAATAAAGCAAAATGCATTTGTTAGACACACGGAGTGTCCTCAGATTTCCTTTGGCACTCATCTCCTGGACCACTCTTCCAAGGGGATGCTTACAACTTTGTTGCAGTTGCCAACTAACTCAGCTTAATGTAGCTTTGAAGCCAGCCAGATCTTAACTCTGAGTTTGACTGTTCTGCCCTTTTTTTTTTTTTTTGGGTGATATTGGAGAATTAAACCAAGTACCTCATGCAAGCTAGGCAAGCACTCTACCACTTGAGCTATTGTCCCCATTTCCTGGTTTGCTATTTCCAGTCTTGGATGAAATATGCATCACAGGATCCTGAATGCCTGCAAAAGGACTAGATGATGCAATCAAGAAGTACATATATTGGAGAAACTCATGCATATGCATAAACATTGCATTTCTAATAATTACAAAAAACTGAAAACAACTTAAATGTCCATGTGGCAGAATTCTAAAAATGGCCCTTCCAATATTCCTTTTCTGATGCGATCCATTGCTATGTTGGGATGAAGGTATTTTTAAGATGAAATTAAAATCTTAGGTGAACTCACCTTAATATATGGATAGCCAAATCAGGGAGCTTTTTTTTTTAAAGTAGTTTTTGCTTGTGGTAGCACATGAGGATTTGGGGCACAAGGACTCAATGCTTTGTTGCTAGCTTGAAGATGGTGAGTGCTACATGACAAGACATGTGAGGTGCCTTAACAAACTTAGAGAGCCGAGTATGGTAGAACAAGCCTGTAATCCCTGCTAGTCAGGAGACTGAGGCAGGAGGGTCACAGGTTCAAGGCCAGCTTGGGCAACAAAATACCTGTCTCAAAAAAAAGCCGAGAGAAGCCCCTGGCTAACAGCCACAATGCTTGGGGCTTCAAAACTGTAAAAACTGGCACTGGGGATGTAGCTGAGTGGTACAGCACTCACTTAACATACATGAGGCCCTAGAAAATAGAACTCCTTGCTCGGTGCAGTAGTTTATGCCTATACTCCTAGCTACTTGGGAGGGTGAGATCAGGAAGATAAGAGGTTTGAGGCCAGCCCGGGCAAACAGTTCTTGAAATCCCATCTCCAAAATAAGCAGAGTAAAATGGAGTGGAGGTTTTGCTCAAGCAGGAGAAAGCCTGCTTTATAAGGGCAAAGCCCTGAGTTCAAAACCTCAGCTCTCCCCCTGCCAAAAAAAACCCTGCAGGAGCAGATTACCCCTAGAGCCTTGAAAGAGGTAAAAATACACCACTCTGGGATGAGTGCTGGTGACTCACACCTGTAATCCTAGCTACTATTAGTCTATGTCAATGTCACCATTTAACCCAGCTGGGAGAACAGGTGGGGAGGTGGGGTTTTGAGGCCCCTACAGTCTTCATATAAGATCTCATCTAACCAACACCTTAATTTTGACCTTGTGAAACCCTAAATAAAAAACACAGAAGGCTGGGGATATTGCCTAAGCAGTAGAGTGCTTGCCTAGAAAGTGTAAAACCCTGAATTCAAACTCCAGTATAATTTATAAAATAAAAAATCAAAACAAAAAACCCCACAACTGAACAAACTTCACCTGAGAACTGTGAAGAAATAAATCTGTGTTACTTTACTTCTGTATTTAGCAGTGCTGGGAATGAAGCCAGGGCCTCATAAATGCTAGGTAAGTACTACACTGAGCTACATCCAGAGTCCCAAATTTGTGTTACTTTAAGCTGCTACATTTTATGGTAATTTTTACATAGCAATGGAAAAATAACACAGCCCATAAATAAAGCATGGATAGTGTTATATATATGAGATCTATTATATTATTATATTGTAAGGCAGTTAAAGCAAGTTAGTTAGGGCTGGTGGAATGGCTCAGGTGGCCCTGAATTCAAACCCCATACCGCCAAACAACAATAACAACAAAAAAACCAAGTTAATTAGATTTATGTACATTAATGTGGAAGAAAAAAAAGTTGAAAAAAAATCACAGTATGAAATATAGTGTCATTCATATTCAATTTTGAAACCCAAAACACTGCTGCATACATTATCATTACTACATAGCAGAATGAGACCATGGGAAGATATGTACTGATTTCCTGAGAGCCATTTCCCATGAGAAGAGTAAAAACAACAAAAAAATACCGAATGGGATAAAGTATTAATACTCTATCAATTTTATCTGTACCATTTGCTTAAATTTATACTGCAATTTGCTTATTTTAGTATATCTAGGGTGTTAATATTTGCTAAGTCTGGGTAGTAAATATTTGCCACAATGCAAATATTTATTTAAAAATACACAAAACCCCTGGCTCCTATAAATTTATGATACTTTATTATTTTATTGGCCAGAGCTTCAAAATAACTGATAATCCTTTTCCTTGCTTTGTTTTTTTCTTTTTTTTTTTTTTGGTAATTATTTTTATTAGGGTTTCCCTAATGCATTCTTAAATCTACATTTCAGAGACCTAAACTTCCCATTTTTATTTTAAAATACATTTAATAAAATAGCACCCAGTTTTACATATTTTACATGTATAGAATATTTACAAATTCATTTCTACAGCATTTATTTAATGTTTACTATTGTTCCATTATTTGCCTTTTGGACTATTTCCTTCAGTAGTAAAATACTGTCCATGGTCTCTGTAACTAAAAAATTAGCTTCTTGGGCAATCCTCCTAAAGCAAAACAAAACAAAAAGGTGGTTTGCATTTAGTCTTCTAGTATTTTAAGCAGTCCCTGTATTTTCCAACTCCATTACTTTACTTACTGGCACTTGTTAAACATTAAGCATATAGGAATTTATGGAAAGAAGATACACCTCAATAGTTCTCACAACGTGAGGAGTAGTCAAAAGTGCCTGAAGTACCCTCAATGGGAGCAAACATTTAATAGCATTCTATTTTATACAACTTATAAAAGTAAATACAAAAAAGTAAAGGTAGCTCACAAGCTACCTTTCTTAGCTGCCATTTCAGTTACTATGCTTTCTGATGTCATTTGGTTTCTTATAAGCATGTGGATTTTTACCTTGTTCCAAGGCCTCTGTTCTTTTCCGTTTTGTCGCCATGGCTGGATTTGACTGCTCCTTTAAGGCTTCCACTGGACAGTTTGGTCTTGGCAGTTGAGAGCCAGGTGTTGGTCCTGGCCGGTTACTAAAGTACTTAGTTTTCAATGCCTTTTCAAAGAAAAGAAACCAAAGTAAGATTTTATGTGAGTAACTGTATTGTATATATTAAAACAAACTCCAGAATTGTTGAGAACATTAAAAATACCATGTGAACAACCCTACTCCCAAAACAAAGAAATATTAGTGTTAAGTATTTGGACACGCAGATTACTACAAAAAACCATCTAGCACCTTCAGACTGGCTGATAATTCAATTACCATAAGAAAGAGATTCCCTTCTAATGTTTTCACAGTTGAATAGCCTATGTTAATTGTGCACTAAACTGACTAGTACTGTCAATGACAGTACTAATGCAATACTGTACATTTTGGTTCTCTAAACATTATGAGCTGTATAGTTCAAAATAGAAACTTGCTTAAAAAGAACTTACAAGTTTGTCACAACATCCATATGCATTCAAATTCCAAATAACGAAAACAAATTCTTTAAAGGCTTTCTAAGATGCAATAGGTTGGAACCAATGAATTACAATACGACAATCCATTGTAAATGGGAAGAAATTTTCCTTGGAAGGACTGGTCAAAGGTTATTTATATTAACCACCAGTCCAATGTCGTATAATGTATTTTCTTTACTTGGGTTCACAGTTCCAAGAAAAATAGTTTCATCTTTTTTTTTGGTGGGGTGGGGCAGCACTGGGGTTTGAACTCAGGGCTTGTGCTTGCTAGGCAGGTGCTCTACCACGTAAGCCACTCCACCAGCCCTCTAAAGTATTACTTATAAGCTATAACAGTATTATAAGTAAATTAAACTGATTCTGGAATATACAGAGATCTAAGAAAGGAAAGGTATCTTATTTCAACTTTAATGCAGATATTCGTGAGACAAAACCCTTTTTTTTTTTTTGCAGTAGCAGCAGCATTGGCGTTTGAACTCAGGGCCTTACCCTGGCTAGGCAGGTGCTCTTAACAGCTTGAACCACTCTACCACCCTAAAATCCATTTTATAAAATTCTATCAAAATATAACCCAATCTAACAAAATTCTACCCACATAGGTTATTACAAGTATTTTTCAGTAAGTTTTAAGTCAGAATGTTAATTTTAACTGGTAAAATATCAAGTATGTTTATATACTAATATACCATGTACTGCTATAGTGAGAAGACTTAGAAAAGTAAATGCATTTTGTCTATACCAAATGATTTAGTCTATACCAAACCTAAGGGAGAAAAAAAATCACTTCATATACTTGACACATTGTGTGTACTGATAGGTTATGTTAGGTATGAAAACCTGTGAAATTTAATTTTAATTAGTTTCTGCCTTTGCAAGATCAAATCATTGTACTGTATTACATTTCTGCATTGCTATGCTCCAACTGAGTGTTTGTGATAGTACCCTTTTTAGGTGGCTTTGTTTTTATAACAAAGAAAATTTTTTAAACCTAGTCTGCAAGGCTTAAATTTTTGTTTGTTAAACTGCCTCCATTTTTCAGTTTATTTTCACTATTTTTTTCTCTCCCTTCTTTATTTAATTTGGTGGTGCTAGGGATTGAACCAAAGACTATGTATGGTAGTCAAGTACTCTACCAATGAGCTACATTCCCAGCTCTCCCTTCTTTTAAGAGCAGATATTCTTGGTCTTCCAAATTTTTCTTCAGCTTGAATCTTCTTTCTTTTAAATAACTGTCAGTTTCAGTTTATGTTTTATTGCTAGAATCTTTCAATTTCTAGTAAGCATGCAATTGTATCTGACTATACCTTTTTTTCTCCATTATACTTTCTGACTAACAATGACCAGTATGCATTTCTGACCTGCATTTAATGCAGTATTAGGCTTGCCACAAGATTTAAATTAACATATTAAGAGTGCAATTGACACACACTAATTTCTTAACAAATACAAAAGCCTTGATTTTTTTCATCTATAGGTAAGCTACGGAAGCCAATTTATGAGTGGTTCAAACCTAGTACTGCCAAAAAAAAAATAATAAAATACGGATATCTATACATGTATGTTTCCAAGCAAGTATAAACTCTCCTTTAATTATTTCTACATAAAATAATTTAATACCAGTCTGAACAGAGTTTGTAGTTTGGGATAAAGACACAAAGTTTTTTATTATTTATGAAAGTCAACTCTTATTGTATCAATGCTACTGTGAAGACTTCCCCAATATTTTCTAATATAGAGAAAACATGCTAAAATACCTGTGAGGCTGTAATTCGAGTACATGGGTTAAATAAGAATAAGCCTTGTATGAGATCTAGCAAGTCATCTCCTGCTGCAATGAAGATGTGTTGCAATGGGATTCCAGGGAAACTCTTAAACGTCACATAATCTGGAAGACTACACATGTCCTGCAAAAATATTTTGATAGTTCAAGTTTAAGTAAAGGATTAAAGGCACATAGATGGAATAAAGAAACAAAACTCATATTTGCAGATGACATGATAATCTAAGTAGAAAATCCTAAAAAAAAGAAATAAAACTCTAGACTACAGAGTAAAGTAAGGCTACATGACATAAGATAAATATTTTTTTAAAAGATTGTAGTTTTATATATAACCATGAATATGTGAACACCAAGATTAACAACATGTTACAATCATACTAGAAAGAAATAAAGGATAGGTTAAAAAAACAAAAAAACCTAACAAAACATGTATAGACTCATTTACCAAAAGCTATTTACTCAATGCTTATGACATAGAGATCCACGTAAAATGGTGAGAAGAGTCAACACAGCAAGGAAATTAATTCTCTGATACAAGTTTAATGTAACCCTTATTAAACTGTTGACAAAATTAATATACATATAGACTGGATATTCTAAAATTTACACAGAAAGGCAAAAGACTAGAGTAGCTGAAACAATTTAGAAAAGAAAAAAGTGAGAATTATTATTCTACCTGATTTCAAGACTTAATATATAATTGCTTTGAGACTGTAGGGTTTTTTCTCCTTGCAGTGCTAGGGAATGAACGCAAGACTTTCTGTGTAATAGGCTAGCAGGCTTTCTCCCAGCCCTGTTTTTGTAGTTTGTTTTGGGGAGAGGGTCTAGATAACTTTTACCTGGGTGCCTCAAACTTGCCATCCTGCCTCCGCCTCTCAAACAGCTGGATTTTAGGCATGTGCCACCATACCTGGCTAAGGCTGTGGTATTGATAGACACACGGATCAAGGGGACACTACAGAAGACCCAGAAATCCACAAGTATTTGCCCAAAGAAGGTACAAAAGCAAGTCAACAAAAATAAATCTTTTCAGCAGATGGTGCTGGAGCACTTAGACATACAAAGGCAAAAAAAAAAGAAGCCTAGCCAGGCACTGGGGGCTCATGCCTGTAATGCTAGCTATTCAGAAGGCAGACATCAGGAGAATTGAGGTTTAAAGCCAGCTCTGAGCAAACAGTTCAGTTCCAGAGATCTTATCTCAAAAAAACCTTCACAAGGAAAGGGCTGGGGGCGTGACTCAAGTGGTAAAACGCCTGCCTGCAACTGTGAGGCCCTGAGTTCAAACACGCAGTACCACCAAAACAAAACAAAACAAAACTTTTAGGGAAAAAGCCTCCAAAAACTTGTCAGAAAAATCTTTGATCTAGGCAAAAAATCTTCTTCAACTCGACACCAAATGCATGATCCATTAATGGAAAAACTGGTAAAATAAACTTGGTCAGAACTAAAATCTAGAAGCTGGGTGCAGTGGTACAAGTCTATAAACCCAGCATTAGGAAGCAAGAGGATCACAAGTTCAAGGCCAGCCTGGGCTATAGGACAAGAGCCTGTCTCAAAACACCAAAATGGGGTGGGAGGCATGGCTCAAGCAGTAGAGCCTCATGCTTGTTAGGCAAGCACTTTAGCCACACCTCCAGACCAAATTTTCTCTTTTCTAACATTTATTTCTCAGAACCTGGGCTACAATGTAAAGGAAAACCTAAAGTTCTACAATTTTATTTGAAGAATGAGTAAATGAGAATATATTACTGAACTGTAATGTAAAATTTAGCAAGTTAAATTGCTACAAATTTTACAACAAATTTAGTGTCTTTTCTTTCTTTTTTTTTGAGACAGGATCTTGCTTTGTAGTGCATGCTGGTCTAGAACTTCTGGGCTCAATCTTTTTGCCTCAGCCTTCTCAGTGCTGACACTGTATCAGTATACCACTGTACCTGGCTTTATATCTTTCTTTAAGATAATATAATGAAATAAAATAATCATAAAACTGTAACATCTTCATTATGTTAATGATACTATAAATATACATAAATCTATCAAGAAGGCATTGGTTAACTAACATGAAATAGCCATAAGAGAATATTCTCAAGATGGGTGTAATCTCAGCACATGAGAGGCTGAGTAGGAGGATCATGAGTTCAAGGGTGGCCTGGGTTTATATGACAAGACCCTGTCTCAAAAAAACAAGAGAGAGAATATATTGCATAGCCATTTAAAGAAAAAGATCAGCAATTTATGTTAAGCAAAAAGAGCCATGTTCTTAGCAAAACAAAACTAAAGTGTGATCTCTTCCTTTTTTTCTCTTTTCTTTTTGGGGGATGGGGTGGGGAAAGGGCAGTACTGGGGTTTGAAGTCTGCCAGGGTTGGCCTGGATGAGATCAACCTACCTATGTCTCTCATAGAGCTGGGATTACAGTACATAATACCACACTCAGCTCATTTGTTGAGATAGGGTTTGGTAACTTTTTAACTTTGAACCTCAATCCTCCTGATCTCCACCTCCTGAACAGCATGAGCTGCCTTGCCCAACTTTTTTTTCTTTTGGAGCTGAGAGTTAAACCAGGGCCTTGAGCATGTTAATGATAAACATGCTCTAGCACTGAACTATATCCCCAGCCCCCATTTAAAAATTTTTTTTTTGGCAGTACTTGGGTTTGAACTCGGGCTTCACATTTGCTAAGCAGGCTCTCTACCACTTGAGCTACTCATCAGCCCTTATTTGTGGTGGGTATTTTCAATAGGGTCTCACAAACTATTTAGCTGGGCTGGCCTGGATCCTCAAGCATCCTGATCTCTGCTTCTCAAGTAGCTAGGATTACAGATCCTAGCCTGGCCCCAGCCCTTATTTTTATTAAAGACTGAATAAAAGTAACTGCAATCCTACTGTGTATGTTTGTAAGCATACACTCATAACACAGCTTTACACTAAACTGTGAGCAATGAGTAACTTGGAAAAGTGGGGAGAAAGACTATAAGAACATAAGATGTTGAATAGAATGTCACAATTTTAATGTTTTCGTTTTTGTATTTTATAATTTGAACTTTTGTAATAAGGATACATTACTAGTAATTTAAGACAATAAAGGTTGGGATGTAGCTCAGTGGTAGAGCACTTGCCTAGCATGTGCAAGGCCCTGGGCTCAATCCTTAGCACCACAAAAAAAAAAAAAAAAAAAAAGCAATAAAGAAATTTCTTTAATAGTCATGAAGGCACTGTAGAAAGCGTATGACAAGTAACTTTACAGAATCCTAAATACAATTCAAAGAAAATATATGAAAGCTTACAGGCCACTGTTCCTCAGTTGGTGTGCCCAAAGTTTCAAATATTCTTGTTAGTTGATCAAGGTCTGAATCTCCCGGCAAAAAAGGAACCTGAAAGAAAGCAAGAGACAGATATTTCAAGGTGGTCTGTGATAGTTATATAAATAATACCATAAATTTAATAAGAAAAACTAAAAGTCTGTAACAAATATTAAAAATTCAGTCTGAGGTATAATGGATGTGGTATTAGCTCCTGCCACAGCTATCAAAGTAAGCAATATCATAACAACCCATTTTATTCACTCCATGTATGTGTACACACACACACATATGTGTGGCTTGGAGAATCAAACCCAGGGCCTTATGCATGCTATGCAAGTGGTCTATCACTGAGCTATACCCCCTTACCCCTCCACCCTTTTGCTCCTTAATTTTTTTTAAGTCAGTAAACTCAACAGGATCACTCCATAAAATCTTTAATAAAACTTTTTGTGGAGGTGGTGATAGAGGCAAACAGACATTTAATATACGGTGTGCTTAACAGGATCCTAGACCACAGAGGATTAACACAGCTCACTCTGGATGGGTCGGGGAATACTTCCTAAAGGAAGTGGCAGTAAAATATGAGGTATGAGCAGCAGTGAGCCAGAGGAAGAGTGGAAGGAAGAAAACTGTTTTAAGAAAGGCACAAGGCTGGGAGGGAAGAGAATACACTGGTAATATTTCTTAGCAAACTCTCTTTGAAGAAGCAGACTGGCAAACTATAAAAGAGGATTAAACAATTAAAAATTAGTGAACTGGTAAGAAATGATCAAAATCTCTGTTACAAATATCATTTTCCAATTCGTTTTTCTCAGATGCTATGTAAATGTGTGGAAGATAAAAGGCATTTCTCTCTACTCTGTGAACAACAATGGCCTTCAGCACTTTTTTAGGGCTTTCAAAACATTTATAGACTCCCTGGGAAAACCTGAGATTAAGAACAAGGTCTCAAACATTTTAATGTAATTAAGTTAATTAATTTTCAATACTAGGGATCAAATCCAGGGCCTTGCACATACTGAGCAAGTGTTCTACAACTGAGCTACAATTCTAGTCCCTTCTAACATTTTCACCAGCAAAAACAAACACAAAATCACCTCTGGTTCCAGTCATCAATTTATTGCTTTTCAGTTCCAAATTCACCTTTCCTTCTCTATAGAAAACAGACCTGGGCTCTTTAAATACTTCTCTTTCACCAGTGTGCACTGAAGGATGCTGAATGACTATAGGAAAGAAAGGCTTTGCTTTGTGGTATGCTTGCTTAGCTGACTCCTGTGGCACCCTGTGGTTCTCTACCACCAAGCTTCTGCAGCATGTGGCATGGGCAGTTAATTCTTCAGGGCTCTGCTCCAGCAGTGTGGGCAGACAGCAGCCACTTCCCTCACTTCCTTCCCCCAGTCAGTTCTCTAGCAGACTGCTTCCAGACACTTTTCTTCTTGAACAGCTTTCCTCAGCATCCTGTGCTTGATTTCTAGCACATTCCAGAAAGCAACTTTCTGACAAGTTTTACAGTACAAATCCACAGAAACTTTTCTGCCATGTAGTGAGCTTCATCTGCCCACTTCAACAATGTCTAGATCTCAGCCCAGAAGTCCTTGTCCTTGGGTGATCGAAGTGCAATGGTGCTTCTGCTACTCCTACAGTCATTTGTTCACTTTACTTAATAGACAATCCCTCATTATTCCAATGTTCTGTTATACTTAAGTCTTTATATAAAACTTCCCTGAACAAATTAGTGTG